AACAGCTTTATATGAGTTAAATCATTTATTTATTTATTTATTTATTTATTTATTTATTTATTTATTTATTTATTTATTTATTTATTGGTTCAATTTATATGCCGCCCTTTTCCGGAGACTCAGGGCGGCTTACAATGCATTAAGCAATAGCCTTCATACTTTTGTATATACCTGCTTAGTAGGGCTTTCGCCCCCCCCCCAAAGCGGTGTTCTTTTTTATACAAAGTCAGCTTATTGCACCCACAAACCGGGTCCTCATTTTACTTACCTCGAAAGGATGGAAGGCTGAGTCAAACCTGAGCCTGGTGAGATTTGAACTTGCAGTAATTGCAGGCAGCTGGTGTTACTTAACAGTGCTTTAGTCTGCTGCGCCACCAAGGCTCCAATTATGGCTTATTTAAAATGTAGTTAATGAAATGTTAAATAATGGCTACAGTACTGATATGCAAAGAGAAGATACTCTTCTGGATTGGGATGAGGAAGAGAATCAATCAGGTTGCGTTTAATTGGGAGGAAGCCCATTTAAATGAAAAATCATTTTTGATAAACATACAGTATAGGATATCACAATTAGAGCTGCAATTTTGCATAATTTTCTTAAAATAAATTCTGCTTTGTTCAGTATAAGTTATATATCTTTAAGATTGCTTTGTAAATTTAATTTTTGGAATACCATATTAAAAATACATATTTTTAAAACTTTTGAAATAAGATCATCTATGAAAAGAAGGCAAAGATATAATACCCTTAATAATTATAGGAAAGAGTAAATATAAAAAAACTTTTCTACAGGTATAAGGATTGCTCTGCCAGTTATATTTGCGTTTTCTGCTTAGTAACAGGATAAAAACCCTCTCTTAAGAGGATAGTTTCTTTTGAATAAGTTACATTTGCAAGAATACAAAGCTGACATTTACACATAGAAGGAAAGAAAAACTCTAATATTTTTCTCTTTAATTTAAAAAAGTAAATATAGCTTGATTTAACAGAATAACAAAATTAGAAGGGACCTTGGTAGTCTTCTAGTCCAAATTATTGCTTAAGCAGGAAACTATCAGACAAATGGTTGTCCAATCTTATCTTAAAAACCTCCTGTGTTGGACCACCCATAGCTTCGGGAGGCAAGCTGTTCCACTTATTAACTATTCTAACTGTCAGGAATTTTCTCCTTGATTCTAGGTTGGTTCCCTCTTTGATTAGTTTCCATCCATTGCTTCTTGTTCTGCCTTCAGGTGCTTTGGAGAATAAGTTGACCCCCCTCTTCTTTGTGACAGCCCCTTAGACTTCTAGCATGTCACTTCTAATCCTTCTTTTCATTAAACTAGACATACCCAATTCCTGAAATTGTTCTTCATATGCTTTGGCCTCCAGCCCCTAATCATTTTTGTTGTTCTTTTCTGTACTCTTTCTAGAGTCTCAACATTTTTTTAACATTTTTTTTTACATGTTAATGCAGCCTAGGACTGCATTGGCTTTTTTGGCAGCTGCAGCAGACATTGGTAGCTCATATTTTAGTAATTGTCCACTAGATCCAAGATCGCTATTAGAATTGAGCCAGGTATCACCTATTCTATACCTGTGCATTTGGTTTTTCTTGCCTAAATGTAGAACATTACTTTTTTACCACTGAATTTCACTTTGTTAGATAGGGCCCAATGTTCACATCTGTCAAGAGCCTTCTATATCTTAAGCCTATCTTCTGTAGCATTGGCTATTCCTGCCAGCTTTGATGAGTTCCATCTATCCCCCCCATCTATCCCCTCATCTAAATCATTGATGAAGATATTGAATAATACTGGGTCTAAGGCAGAGCCTTGAGATAACCCATTGCATGCTTCCATTCATCTAGTGAATATGCTTTACTGCTCTATATGATCGCAAGAAAAAAGTCTATAATATTGTGTTGTCCAAACTGGTATATTCTGCAGACGTGTATTTGGAACTGATAGTACAATCGTTGATATGTACTGTGATTCTAGAATATGGGCAGGCTGATATGAATAAAAATGCTTCTTCAGCCATTACATTTCAAACTATTTGAAACTTTAAACCTAAAACCAGCACATCTTCCCATCCCATTCATGTCGGAGGCACCATTTTGGTGCTTCCGGGTTAAAATGATTAGCTGCTGACATCACTGTTGCCTGGGGGATACTCGTGGGGGCTCCTTTCATGTCCCTGTCAGGGAGCTAGAGTAAATGACAGGAGCTCTCACTGCCACACAGCAGCATTTGGGGCTCAAATGTGGGCTGGCTAACCCAGCATCCTAACCATATCAGCCACCTTGCTCTTTAAACCAGCACATGAAATACAGAAACATGTTGGAAACCAAATACAGCTGGTATAATATAATGTTGGCATGATATAACAACTATGGTCTCAGCAGTATACAAGCAACATATTCTTCACCACCTAAAACTTCTAAACCATTTTCTAGAAAATTTCAAATATATTGTATCATTATAATCCTTTTCAACATTGTTGATGCATAGATAGCTAGAACAAAATCTTCCTTTGGATAGGATTACAACTGGTATACTAGTCTAAATTAGTAAGCAGTATTGCTAGCTGCTACCTGAGCTTCCCATTAAAGTGGAATCCAGGACAACTGCCAAGCTGCACATTTGGTCCTTCAGGGAAACTCTAAGATTAGTTATGAGCCTTCATATACAATAACTGATTTCTTTACCCAGAGTACCTCAGTTTTGTGTAATTAAATTTGAATAACTTATTCTTCCTTCTCCTTTTGAAAACTACTATTGGGCTATAGGTGTTATTTACAGTACAGATAGAGAAGAATATTTTGATTTAGAAATTATATGTCTGATTGTGGAACTATTTTTATTTTATTTTGCTGTTGTCAGCCACTCAGTCATGTCCAATCCTCAGCCACTCGATGAATCGGCACTCTCCATGCCCCTCTGTCCCATACTGCATCCTTCAGATCTGCCATGTTCATCCCAGTGTCACCCTTGTGTCCAGCTAGTGGGTACTAGGGTGGCCCCTTCTCCTTTTTCTGCTGATCACTCCCAGCATGATTGACTTTTAGAATGAGTCACCTCTCATGACATAACAAAAGTAAAGAAGCCTCTATTTGACGATCTTGGCTTCAAGTAATATTTTTGGGAGGTTTGGCCTAGGACTTCTTTGTTTGTTATTTTGCAGCCTATGGAAGATGTGTAATAGTCGCCTTCAGCACCACAGTTCAAAGGCATCCACCTTTCTCCTATCTGCCTTTTTCAAGAGTCCATGTTTCACAGCCATACGTAGCAATTGGAAAAATGGTTGCATTAACTAATCTGCATTTTATTGTGAGACCGATGTCTTTACTCTTCCAGATGTTATTCATATCAAACATTGCAGTTCTTCCAAGTGCTATACGTCTTCTAATCTCAGCGCTGCAGTCACCACTTTGGTCAATTTTAGAACCCAGGAAGATGAATTCCTTTAGTGTTTCTCATTGTCAATCTACATTCTGGCCTGTGTGTGCTCTAGAGTGGTCATTACCTTTGTTTTCTTGATGTTAACATGTAGTCTAAATTCTTCACTGTTCTTGCTTTCCATGAGCAATGTTGTATCATCTGCATATCGGAGGTTGTTGATATTCATATCACCGATTTTAACTTCAATGGTAATTCCTCCAAATGTGCATTTCTCATAACTATATCAGTCATGTTGAATAGTATAAATTTTATAATATATATTTTATTTAATTCTTATTTATTAGTTTTATATTCTACCCTTCCTCAAGGAGCTCAGGGCACTGTACAAAGCATTTCCTCCTTCCTTCTGTGACTGAAGGTGGACTCCCCATTGCCAGTCCAGCACTGTGCTTACTGCATTATATTGCCCTTGAATTTTTGTAATTGTTCTAAATATAGTTGTGCTTTTAATTAAATTTTAAATCACTGTTTTCATTTTTATTTTTTGTTAGAAAAATTGACATTTTTTTTGAAATAGGTAGAAGAAAAATGTAAAATAAATGTGTACATATCTGTTGTTTTCGCCTATTGAGAATATATTTCATTGCAGAATTCTAGTTCTGCAATGTTGCGAGACAACATTTCTTTGAAAGCAAAAAAAGATGGTTCAGCAAAATTTATGAGGTTTCAGGTATGAAAGATGTATTGAGTGCTATCATATTTAATTTTATATCATCAACAGTAAAGCTTAATTAACTGGTACGTAGTTTATTTTTAGTATAGTAAGAAAAGAATTTTTTAAAATTTAGTTTCCTCTCTCTCTCAGGGTTGAACATACAAATCTAGGCACTGCTGAATCTTTGTGTATTACATAGATACGGAAATTGCCAAAATGAAATAGCCCAAGGCTTCTTTACATGTTAAGGACTTGTTTGGTGCCTTTTATGAATTATTCTGCATAAAACTAAGTATTTTAATAGTTGGATTTTAATACATAGATTGGAAGTGTAATTTCATGAATAAATTAGGGTGAACTAATTTATATGAATAGGATTGATGACTGAAAGGGTAAGAAATCCTCATATGGCCTTAGCTTTAGAATATAACAGTTTTTACTCAAAACTATAGATGTAATAAATATAGCGTTAATACTTTTCTGGATTTGTTGCAACATTTGTGGCACCTTAAAAATTGACATAAGATCTGGCTGATTGTATCTAATTCATTAAATTGAGCTGATACATAAGGTTCCTTTTAACATTGTTTCAGCTAAGAATCTGAGTCCTGTATGGAAAACCTTTAAGAAGGGGTACCAGCACTACATTTAGCATTCTTGTCCCACAATAAATATGCCGTTATGCAGCATGAATATGATTGCATTTGCTACAGTGGAATATGCTGCAATGCTATATAACAATAAAAATCCTTACCGTACAAATATACACTAGGAAGTAAGCCTTACTGAATACAGTCACATTTATTTCCTAATAAGTATATATAAGATTCAAGAGTAAACTTGTTCTACTTTTCCTGATTATTGTTATGCTTAGAGTGGAAATCTATTTTGCTCTTTTGCAGCTTCCCTTTACTGTACTGGGAATGTTCCTTATGCTGATATGGTAACTTCAGAGCAGCAGTCATCACAGGTGAACAAAGGTAAAAATAATTCCTTATTAAAGAATATAATTTACAATTTTTACATTTCAGTTTTGATCTTATGTGTATTTGCATATTACAGATTAGATAGTTATTTTGAGTAGTCAAAGCAATGCATGCAGAGATTCACCTTGTAAGAAGCCTGAGATACTAGCACTGGATATATATATTTAAAGTTTAATTGTGAAATACATTCATACGTCAGTGGATGTATATTATTCTTTTCAGTCTCAGTGCAGTAGAGTATGAGTTTAACTCTTGAGTTTTTACTAGTATGTTATCACTACTCACTTTTGATGCTTCATCTCTATTGCTTGTATCTTATTTCTTATTTCTATATGACGATGTTTAAAAATAATAATTAAAGAGTAGGATGAGATTTGTTAAAGGTCATGAGCTTGATACCGGTAGTATTTTGTAGAAGACTAAATTAGCCTATGAAATTATTCCAGACAATAATTTTATAAATATTGTGTGGTAAATACTATGCTGCAAGAACAAAATTAACATTTCAAGGATTGTTATAGGTCAGTGATGATGAACCTATAGCACGCGTGCCATAGCTGGCACACGTAGCCATATCAGTGGGCACACCAGCTCAGCTCTGGTGCACATGCGCGCGCCGACAAGCTGATTTTCAGGCGTTCTGGGCCCATCAGAAGTAGGGAAACATGCTGTTTACTGCCTCTGGAGTGCCTGGGGGTGGGGTGGAGAAGGCCCGTTTTTCCTTTCTCACCTGGCTCCAGATCCTCTCTAGGCATCTGGGGAAGGCGAAAACAGCCTTCCCCACCCCCCTCTGAGGCCCTCCGGAGGCCTGAAACGTCCCATTTTCCAACTCCCGGTTGGACAGGAAGTGACATTTTTTGCTGTTCCCAGCCTCCAGAGCCTCTCTAGAAGTCTCAAAAACATCACTTCCTGTCGAACCGGAAGTTGGGAAATGGGCCGTTTCAGACCTCTGGAGGACCTCAGAGGGGGTGGGGAAGGCTGTTTTCGCCCTCCCCAGATGCATAGAAAGGATCTGGAGCCAGGTGAGAAAGAAAAACGGATCTACCAGAATGCATAGAATTATGGGCACGCACGTGTGTGAACCTCCCCCGCCCCCCGCCCCCTCCTGGCAGGCAATGGCAAAAAGGTTAGCCATCACTGTTATAGGTTCTTCCTGGAACTTAAGTGTTTGTTGCACAAAATCTGCACCATTAGGTTGGCTAAAGTTATAATTACTAAACAGAAAAATGAAAATGTATACTTTCTTATCTTTATGAAATGAATTATGGTATACAATTTCATTCCTGTTGTGCATTTTTTTTAAAAAAAGAACAGCATAGAATGTTGTAATGGTTTTCTATATTGTTAGGTGGATTTATCAATTAATATAATATGGCCAGTGTAGCACATGACTACACTGCTCAACAAAAGCAAAATCTGGGTAAAAGAAGCAGGTACAGTGTCTCCTAGAATTTTGTGCAGTCTTGTCTTAGTTATGTTGGTCTTACAGGTTTTCTGGCCTGCTAAGAATATTAAGTGCTGGTCAATATAATTCTGTAGCATATGAAAAGTTGTTAGCTTGAAGCAGTTATTGTGAAAATAAATAGGCATCCCACTTAGTGTGGATTTCTGCTGAACAGCTACATGATAGCTTCTTGACACAGATTCAGTTATATTATCTACATTTTTTGTTTGAATTACTACTTTTATATAAGAAATCTCTTCAAAGCTAGAATTTAAAAAAGATTATATGGGCATCTATTTATTTGTTCTCTTTGCTAGTTATAAGGGAAATCTATGATTTTTTTGCAACTAAATTACTATCACTTAATTGGAAATATAAGTGGATTTGGCTGTGTATTTGATTAGGAGATTACATTAATATATTACTTTTGTTTGAACAGTGCCAGTATTGGATCAAATAATCTTCCTATAACATTTCATGTATGTGTTCTGAATAATTATATATAAGAAGCTTCAATAATTATATTGTGGCATTTGAGAGACTGCTAAAATCTCCTTCTGTCTCCCTGCATACAGAAACTGGTTATCTTAAATATATATATATATATATAAAATCAGTCTCTGCAGTTTTAGAATTAAAATATGCTATTTATAGAGCTAGAGAGTGCTAAAACAACCAATATAATTGTCTGATTGCACAGTTAATAGTGTTTTAAAAGGATTGGTTCCATTAGGCTTTTGTTTTTATCTTTGTACAAAAGTATGGTAAATCATTCTTCTCTATGTATTAATCAGAAGAAATAAAAAACTGTAGTGGTGTCCTAGTCTTATTAATACTTTGGAAATTAAGCATTCAACTTTCTATAATACTTTTTTGATAACTTATATTTAAGCTGTTGATAATGTTTTGTTTATCATAATGGCACCCCGTTAGTGCCACGTAATAGGGTGAGCTCCCATTACATGTCCCAGCTTCTGCCAACCTAGCAGTTTGAAAGCATGTAAAAAATGCAAGTAGAAAAATAGGGACCACCTTTGGTGGGAAGTTAACAGTGTTCCGTGTGCCTTTGGCATTTAGTCATGCCGGCCACATGACCACGGAGACGTCTTCGGACAGTGCTGGCTCTTTGGCTTTGAAACAGAGATGAGCACCACCCCCTAGAGTCGGGAACGACTAGCACATATGTGCGAGGGGAACCTTTACTTTAATGTTTTGCTTCTAAAATAATTTTCTGGCATTCTATTAATGTCAATGTAATATTAGCAGTAGTGACATACAATATGGTAAGAATCATGAAAGATGATGCATGGAATGTTGTTCCTCTTATAGACTTCAGATTTATGGAATACCAAAAACCAATATAACACTTCAAACTCTGCAAGAACATTTTTTCTACTGTGTAAAGGCAAAACATGCTTGAACTACTTGAAATTACATCTACAATTTGCCCATATCTATTTCTCTAAGCTACTTGAGTGACTTTATTGGCTAAATAAATTTATAGAAGAATGTATGTATCATTTTTCTTCTTCTGAAGTAACAGATTAAGTAATTTGTCTGGAAACTGTATCCACAACTCTTTTCTAAAGGAGGCTGTCATTATGTAGGATCCGTATATGCAGAGAGCAAAATTTTTCAGAGTTTAAGAAATGGAACACTTCTTCCCAACCGTTTTAATTGTTGTTACATTCAAAAGACAGAAAGGAACACATCACTCCATTTTTTGTTTGCTATCCTAATTCTAACCCTTTATCCCCGAAATATTTTTCAAACTCTTAATTAAACAATCTGGATGCTTTTTTTCTTGTAAGAAAAGTTCTCAGTCATAGACTGAGAGAGCTGGAAAGCATCATTAGACATTGAATCCAACCCTCTGTTCAGTGCAGGAATCCAAATCAAAGCAGTTGTGACAGATGGCTGTGTACCCTTTGTTTGAATACATCCAGTGATGAGAAACCTACTTCCTCTCTGCTCATTTGATGCCGCTATCAAACAGCTCTTTCTTAAAAGGCATTTTTCTTTAATGGTTAACAAAAATATACTATCCTGTAATATAAGACTATTATCCCATGTCTGCACACTAGATCCTAAACAACAAATCTTGGTCTTCTTGTGGTTGAGTTCTTTTCTTAAAGATTGTTTTCAAATTCAGTTTTCTCTTTTTTCCCATAATACATGTCTTAGTCATTATGATCCTACATTTTTTTTCTTTGAAACTCTGTATGTATTCCATGGAAGTCTGCAAATTGCATTCAGGAGCAGTTGCAAAATATTACGAAAACATCCAATATATTGATTTGAATTTTGGGCAGAAAGGACAGAATAAAAATATTACAAATGTTATGCTTTATTCATTCTTAAATACACCAGTATAACTATGCATAGTAATCTGCAATTTTAATTATAATTTTATATTTAGCATACAACCATCATTTTGTTTGCATTTACTGAAATACCAATTTCAGTAAATAATAAGTCCTTTGTACTGGCAACAGAATGTACTGGGATAATTGAGTAAGCAATGATCATTTTAATTTTTAGACAGACAAACAGTATTAATGTCTATAGAAACATTGTCTTGCAATCTATTTTTTAGTTGGTTGAAAAATCAAATAAAATATTCATTTAGTAAACAAATCTATTTAACATTTTATGTAGACAATCCCATAGCAAATGAGTAATGCACACATCTTTAGGTGACCGTTTCTCCCTTAATACCCAATTTGGCTATTGCTTACCAATTCAATAATATTAAATACTGTCTGTCTGTCTGTCTATCTGTCTGCCTGCCTGTCTCCTTCCCTCCCTGTGTGTCTGTGTGTGTATCAATGGACTGATCTAATTGAAGGTAAACTCTTTCAAGTTAGGCTTCTGGTAATTTCATGGACATGCCATTTAGTTTTCTTTGCCTATAATTATAGAATCCCCAAGCTATCCAGATATTAACTAGGACTTTATGGTGCTTAGCTTCTGAAGTCATTTAAGGTTGGTATATGCTGCTATCTGCTAATTGCATATATTTTAAACTATGTCTGGGAAAGGACCTGTCACACGCTCCCTTTTATTTGTAGTTTTCCTTTGAGACCTTTAATGATGCATATTGAAGAAAGCAGGATGGATGGATTTGTGGTTTTTGTTTTTGTGTACAAATAAGTAATGGTGATAGATTAAAAATGTCTTCATTTAAATTCATAGTATATTTATGTATCACCAGATACTTGTATTTGACAAATTTAGATCTTATTTTTCCTTCAAAAGGTCAAGACAAGATGCACTGCATTCCCTCTTCCAGTTGTCCTTAAACAAAAAAGGTAGGTTGAGCTAAGACATAGTGATTAGCTAAAAGTCATATAGTAAATTTCTGTCAGAGGTGGACTTAAACCTGGGTCTTCCCAGTCTAAGTTCATTGTCCTTTGTACACTATATTCTTTCTCTCATGGAACTCTTAAGGATAGTTTTCCTTGGTTGCAGCATTATAAGGCTATGTAAATTGTTCACACATTTATTCACTCATTTTTGTTTATACACTGAAAATGTTGTTTTCATTGTGAGACATGATGGTGCTGATATAGTTGGTGAAGGAGATAAGAAATAATTGCTTTGATTATTCAGTTATTCTTAATAATTTGTAGAAGGGCAAGAAACCTGGTACAGATTTACTGGAGGAAAAGATATGATTTTTAAAAAGAAAATGGAGCAAAGCAAGGAATAACTACTACAATGGTGTAAGGCAGACTAAGATACAGTAGATAAAGGTTGTTAGATTACCATAATGTAGGGATGGACAAAACTGTGCTGGTTTAGTTAGATTGCTGCCTTCCAATTCAAATACCATTAGTGTTAGCATAACAGCCCTCTGTGACTTTATACTAGATATGTGTACTAATAATATCACGAATATTTAATTGGTAGAACTGGGGGAAGTATACGTTTCAGTTTTTAGGCTATCTATAGAATTCTTTACAAATTCAGACAAGAATTTTAGGGACAAGCAAGAACAATTGTATTAGTCTGTCAGATCTTTTATTTTCTGAACCACATGACCTTTTTCTCATCCTTCCAAATTAACTTTGTATCATTGAAAAAATCCTGGAAAATTGATAAGACTACTTCTGAATGATCCTCCAGCTGGGAAGCTGATAGTAATGAAAGTAGTGAAAAACAGAAATGAAGGAAAATCATGGACTTAAACTGTTTAAACATGGACTAGATCCTAATTAAAGCCTTATGATCTGTTTCAGCAGGTAGCAAGATCTGGCTGGCTGTGGGCTCATTCCTACAATTTCCTTATCCTGGTTTGGAGATGGTTCACTTATTGGTAGTTCAGGACCTTTCCTCACAGCTTTCTTCTGTGGTAGGCTGAAGCCAAATCAAGAATATAATGTTTTCCACTAAAAAACAACAACAGTAAAACATTGTGTGTCATATAGAGAAAACCTCACAAATATCAACATTCTGCAGGGTGCCCTCTACACATTCTCATTCCACATTTTCCATTGTGGGTGTCCACAATGAGATCTCATTGCCAGAAGAAAGCTGGCAATGAGATCAGTGGTGGGTTTCAAAAATTTTCACTATTGGTTCGGGGGGGGGGGGGGGCTGGGGGGGGGGGCATGTGACTGAGTGGGCATGGCCAACTTGACATCACATGACCCCCCCACCTAGACATGCCCACAGGAAAGGTAGGAAATTTTTTGGAATTTCCATCTATCTATCCCTGCCCTCCCTTTCCCAGCTGCCCCCGTTTCCCCTCCTTTAGCGGCCCCGGCCCTAGCCCCGCTTCCTCCTCCACCACTGCCTTTTTATTCAGGCTGCTTACCTTCCATGGTGGCTGGTCCACAATCTGAAAGGCAAGCTGACCGGAGTTTTCAGTGGCCCCCAGCCAGTCGCCGCTGCTGGAAAGCAGCTGGCAAAGAAGCTTATTTCAGAGCCGCTTTGTGGCTGTGGCGGCTGGCCAGAGGCACTGAAAAGTACCAGAGGTCGCGGAAAAAGCTGCTGCTGTCGCCGCCCTCTTCTTCAAGCATGCTCATCCCATTGGACTTGCAAGGGCAATGGGATGCGCGTAAGCGAAGAACATGGCTGCAACGAACATGGCGGGTGGGGTGAGCGAGTGGCGACTGGGGGCCTGGTTCAGGGGTGTGGCCAGCCAGCCATCGCTACCGGTTTGGTGACCTTGGCCAAATTTCCACCAACGGTTCGCACGACCTGGTGCGAACCGACTGAATACCACCTCTGAATGAGATGGAGATTCAACTGTGAAGAATGTGTACTACTCATATGCCTTCCCTTTGGTGCTCTCTTTCACTCAGAAGCTGGCCCCAGGTTGGCTTTGGCCTTTCTCAGTAGTGGGTAGGTAGAGAATACATACAAATGAAATTAATGACAAGAACAGCAGTGGCAGCAGTTTGGCTTTGGGGCAGACAGGGAGAAGGATGGATAATCACCACTTTGGTGAATGGAAGTTGCAGTAGCATGGTATGGCATCAGATTGTAGTGCCCACTCTTGTACAGTAGCATTGAATTGGATTAGGCTCTCATGCTTTACTTTTCTTAGAAGGCATCAGGTGTTGTGGTATAGTATGGTGCTAAGAGAGTGCTACTTGTAGGATGGGAGAAGGATGCGTAGGAGCATATCACTTTAGGAACAGAAAGGTTTTGGAAACAAGATTTCCCACTCCCAGAGGGCCCCATTCTACATCCTGAAGATGTAAAGATAAGAAAACAAAGCTCAAGATTGGTTCTTTGTGCTTGGAAAAAGCGGTATGCAACATCATCTCTTGCTGCAAACAGTGTTTCTTCCTAGTCCAGTTGAACCAGTTACCAAATAGGAAATTTGCTTTTTTCTATGCAGGGAACAGTTTTTTATTAACTTTGCTGCAGAATTGTGGCAACAGTATCAAATTTGGGGCAAAGATATAGGAAGTGACGTACACGTACGTAGGAAGTGACAGTTTTTGTCTCAGGAATAGGAGAAAAGCAAATCCATAAGCATGTGTGCATAAGTACCTTATCTGGTCTTGGAAGCTAAAGAAGGTCAAAGTTGGTTAGGATATGGGTGGGAGAATAAAACAACTTGGAAGAAAACAATAGAAAATCACTTATATATTGTTAGATGTATGTGTCCAATTCATCTGAAACAAAACTTCATTGATCTACATTATAATGAAAGGAAGCATCCAATGGAATTTTTTGAGGTGGTAAAAAGTCTTACATATTTGGATCTATAACAAGAAAGATTGAGAGCCCATTGGTTAATTTGCACAGCAGTTTACAAGAAGTATCACTCATATGTCTGATGATTTAAGTGTTGTGGTTCAGATTCAATAGATGTAATGTTGGCCTCTGATTGTCCAGTTGTAATAGATATTTTTAAGTAGTGTAACCTGAATAGAGATCAGGTCTTAACAAGTGTAGTTAGATGGGCTCCTTCTCCTTAAGGCAAATAGAACTTTTTCTGTCACTAAGTGATGTAGTTGTAAAGAAGAAATTAATACTCTGACTTAAAAGCAGCAGGAGCTGCACCTAAAATACTTTCTCAAGTACTGCACATCCAGGCAATAGGGGCTTTGGAGATTCTTTTTGTGTTTCTTTCTCTCAGATGCTTTTGAAGATGTTGTCTTTGCTGCTGTGCCTGTGGAATGGATGGATGCTTGTTTCTGCTACCCAGAATGCGTCTACCATCCCTGTGAAACTGTGGGCTTGTTTTCCAAAAGGAGGAGCATCTGAAATAAAGTTGACATGCCGCATGCATGGATTATATGCCAACAGTTCCAATCCCGGAGTGTTCCAGAGCTTGTACATATTCCATGCTGCTTCAGACTCAGTCAGCTGCCATTGGAGAGATTTGGCTAATTGTACTGTCAAGGCCAGTGGAGAAATTGGACATTTTTGTTATGACATGCAAATGGACAGTTCAACTTTTCATATACCTGTTTCATGCCGACCTTTGCCAACACATTTGGAGTCCCACAGAACTGGAAAGAGCGTAACCCAGGACAATTCATGTGACATTGCCCTAATTTCTGCTGCTTTATGGAAATTTGGTGCACCATTGCATCTGAGAACTATTGTTGGATCTCAAAATGATAAATTTCTTAAAAATCATTTGCAGCTATCCTTAATTTCACCTTCTGGGAAAAAAAACACCCAAACAATTATTAATTGGGAATCACATGACTGGGAATTAAAGGGAAGAGACTTAATTAGACAGGGACCCCCAGATTGGGTAGTTCCAATTAAAGGAACACATTGTGATCAAAGAGCATCCTCTGTTAAGTTTAAATTCTATGGTCATATTTCCATAACAGAAAAAAATAGTGAACAAGGGTTGTATCAGTTAGAACTAGGCTTTCAAAACAAAACAGTTCTTCAATTTAACCCACTGATCACAGATCTTCTTTCTCTGCGCCATATGAGAAATCCAGTTATTGGATCTCATGTATTAAAATTAGATCAGCCTGAGCAAATTGTTAAGAACCCACAGACCTCTCTGAAGGAGGTACAGATTAATTTTGAAGGTTTGAATGTGTCACAGAAAGTGCCCCAGTGTTCTCCCTTTCTTGATATTAGCCACAGAGGTTGGATAGAATGGGTTAAAATGTGGGAAGGAGTACACCATGGAGAAAGAATAAAAAGGGAATTGTTAGATTGGCTGGGTCCCCTGGGGGCGGGAGTTTCTTTTATAGATGCAGCCAACATAGAAGTATTAGCTAATAAACTTTCATATTCCACAAAACAAATAGGAAAACTTACTGCCCCATTAACCAAATCTTTCTCACAACTCACAAAACAACCACAAGCTATCAGTAAAGTGCTTCCAGTCTGGGAAACAATTTTAGAAAATGATAACATACTGATAGTCTCTGGGATTCAGTCTCTCCAAAATAATGTTTCATTGGCTTTAGCATGTGGACAAGCCCAGGTAATCACCCAAAATGTAATCATGGATATGATTCGAGAAGCTAAGGCAGGAAAAATTCCCATGGAGGTAAGCAATTTAATTCGACCAGAACTCACACCAGGTGAAATTGCTTTAGAAGCTTGGTGGAGACTGCTAAATGCATCATATGACTCTACTCAAAACATATTGCGGTTATTCTTAATAACTGTGGAGGCCGCTCAGATAATTCCTATCTATCCAATAGTGCCCCTGGGATTCCAGATTGACAGAGACTTGGTCATGTATTCCAGAGACTCTAATAAATGGGCACACTTGAGGGATGGTGAGTGGCAAAGCGTTAATGTGCAGGGCTGTGTTAAAAAAGAGAATTTAGGCTTTGTATGTGATGATAACAGTTTAGAAGAGCACCATGAATGCTTTTCTCCTCAATTTATAAATAACTCTCATTGTTCTTTTGATGTAGTCCAAGAAGAAATGTCTACTGTTGTATATACTGGCAAGGGCTGTATTTGTGTTAGAACTCCATGCGAATTTATAATCATTAATAGTGTCATCATTCAACCTATGCTGCCATATATCAATCGTTGCTTTTGCAATATTAGCGTGATTGTAGGATGTGATTTCCAATTTCGTGTACCTGTTTGGACTGTGCAACATATGAAAGCCTATCCCTCTTTATATAAAGAAATATTTCCTATTTCACTTGGCCTTGGCCTTTCTACTCTTAAAAATCTGCTTTCTCACCCCTCTCTTAAGCAAGAATTACTGAAACTCAGAGATATGGGTGAAAATGCTGCTCTTGAGATTCACCACAACAATCAGGAAATTGCCCAGATTGTAGCAAAGGTTACATCAGCTGGAGACCATGCCTGGTGGGAAGTGCTCCTAGGATGGTCACCAAGTGCAAATGGAGTACTAAATATTGCTCTACACCCTATTGTGATGATTTTAATCTTTCAAATAGTACTGGTGATTTGCTTATTGGCACTGGTCGGATGGATGAAATGGCAAGCAAGTAGATTACATTATCTACAGAAGCAGATAGTTTCCACCAAAACAAAGATGTGATGGAAATACTTGCCAGGCCACCTGCCATGGAAAGGGAGACATTGCTGTGTCATGTTCTTTTGAAGGCCATATTTATGTTCTTAGTTCTAGTTTGTTTCTACTTACTAAATGTTCAATTGTTAAATGTTTACCACTTTTAGAAAAGAATATTTGTTTGTAAGGGTTGTGTGATAGCTTGTTGTTGTTGTTGAGGAAAAGTGAATGTCTTAGTGCCCAAATCTCTTGGGTACACAAAATCAAAAACTCCTTGTGTCCCAATGCAATCAGGATTGCTATTTACAGCTTTAGAGTTGATAAAATCATATATGTTTCAGTTACTGTTCTATTGGTAAATACCCCAATTCAATATTTAGTGCTCTTCTTTTCTGGAAATAGCTTGGGCATTTCCACTTTTCTATTTGTCATATCTTGATATCCTTCTTGGTAGAGAGATGGTTCTGCTGGTTGAAAGCACCAAAACCCAGTATTCCATTTCTTTCTACTTCAGATGATGCTTTAACACAATCTGAAAAAAATTGACTTAATCCTACCATTGAAGAGTCTTCTTATGCATATGTTAACTCTCAATAGACCCTGCACTCATTCTCTTTTAATATCTTCCTTACGTCAGAGATATTTTGGTTGTGATTTTATCTATTACTGCTTTTAATAAAAATGTTATTTTGTTCCAGTGTCTACTTTGTTTTAATTCACGAGAATGCAAGGTTTCCTATTGAATACTCACAAGTGATCAATATTTAGACCCTGATGATTAAAATTGATCAGCACCTTGCCCCTTTTGATTCACAGTAAGAGAGGTAATTAACTCCGGAGCTTTCCTAGAGGTTCACAAATGTTTTGAGGATGATAAGAGAGTTTAAGGGAAATCTCAGCAATTCTTACTGGCTTTATGCCCCATAAAAATGATTGGATGAAGGGCAATCATTTGGTTGCTTTGGCTAACTGTCTTCCTTATTCTTGATGCTGTGATGAAGTTTGGTTCTAGAGATTTTTTAAATAAATGCATTCAAACTTGGTTTTTTTAAAATAATATCTGAGAAATTTAAGGTGAAAAAAAGGTTTACACATTTTTGATCAAAATAAAAACACTGGATATATATCTAAAGCTGCGATGGAGTTACTAGTGAAAGTATAATGGATGTTTTCACATAATAGTGACAAAAATTATATCCATGCATTTTAATATCTCTTTAATATCTTTAATATTTAAAATCATAAGAGTATGTCTGATTTACTTTGGCCATGTCATGTGTGCAAATTTATTGAAGAAGGCAATGATGCTAGGAGTGGTTTGTGGAACAAGAAGAAGGGGAAGCAAAAAACATGTTGGCTTGATAATGTCAAATCTGATACAAAGCTGAGCATGCAACAATTGAAGTTGTGCTTGATAGAGTAGAATGGACATCACATGCCTATAACGTCACCAAGAGTCAGACATGATTAAATGGTTAAAACAACAACAGCTTTATCTCACCATTGAAACAGTAATCTAGTGATCATCTGGATGCCTCTTGTCATATTAGTTTAATAATATAAATCCAGGTTGTATAATTATATGCAGAAGTCCTAAAAAAAAGCAATAATGACCAGTTTTCTCTTAAGAAAAAAATCATGTTCAGATAAATAGGTTCTGTATTATCTTACTTTATTGCACATATTTGCTATAACTAATTTATCCAATAAATAACTATTCTTCCAGGGTCTTTAATTCTTTCACATAGTGCAAAATTACTTGTGATAAAGAAGCTTTGTTCTTAAAACGTAAATTGTAATTCCATAACAGTGGCCAGTGTTTTGTGAATGTAATTGGTACCATTTATCAGTAACATGCTTCTGCCATTAGCATGTTGTTTTGTGACCTGATGTCCTTGGGAAGTTTTCCAGAGGTTCTGCCTATCTCTAGCAATAATAGTGGTATATAGCAGCATTTCCTGTTTTGCAAGTCTGTTCTGCCAGTATATGGGTTGTCTGCCAATTAGATACAGTCTGTCATTGGATATGATCTAGGACAGCACTAAGACCATGGTGGCAACTGCTATCGTTTATAAATAGGAAAATAGTGTACTTTGTGGAAAAAGTTGTTTTTCCTTTTAGTAATTCAAGTATACAAACCTATTGATAACTTCTTTTAAAATGAGTTCTGGGAATAAGTTGCTGATTGATGCTTATGTAAACGCAATAGGTACAATGTAGTACTTTATTTCCACTGATGTGAATAAAAATAGGAATACATGTCCTAGAATTGTACTTGTTCTCTGGAGGTTTAGAATCCTGACCTGGATCACTCTGTATGAGGATTTTTCCCTAGCTTCAGACCCCAGTGATCTTATAACTCTGACATTATTAAGAGCAAAGCCTATTTATTTCTGGTTCAGAGACAACATATAAAAACTACACTAAAATAAATTAAAATTTGTCACTATTTTGACTACTTGATACATGCGTTATAAATTAATATCGTATTCTAAAGATCTTTGAAATATGAACAGCTGCAACACTATCTCCTAAAGTCAAAACAATTATTACTACATTTTTCTTCAACCACATGTTCTATAGAGCTTTAATGGAACTTACAAGGAAGTTAAGAATTTTGTGGATGGTTTGTAGTCCCACAGACTCCATTCTGGATTTCAGATAGTATTCTTGCCAAGTTCTCATTTCACTTTTTCAAGGCTGTTGTATGCTCAGGAGAAGTTACAAGGATCTACAGAGAGTTTACAAAAAATGAATCAATCCTGGCTGCATTTTCTTGTTCCTGCCATTACAGCAACACTATTGGAGCTGCTGCAAAACAGTTGATATCTGCATTTTTGTTTCCCAATTCATAGTAACATTTTCACAGAAATCAAAAGATTAACACTTTTGCAGCTGGGTAGGTTTCCCTTGTATCCATATTTTTTTCCCCATGGTAAAAAGAGTGCCAGGCAAATGCATGCCATGTGTATTAAAATGTATGTGTGGGATAGAATTTCTAATAATTCATTTTTAATATATATGGTGAGGATGAAGAATTTTAGTGGTGAAATCCCATTTTTTTTATTACCGGTTCTGTGGGCGTGGCTTGGTGGGCGTGGTGGCTTGGTGGGCGTGGTTTGGTGGGTGTGGCAGGGGAAGGGTACTGCAAAATCTCCATTCCCACCCCACTCTGGGGCCAGCCAGAGGTAGTATTTGTCGGTTCTCCGAACTACTCAAAATTTCCACTACCGGTTCTCTGAACTGTTCAAAATTTCTGCTACCAGTTCTCTAGAACCTGTCAGAACCTGCTGGATTTCACCCCTGGTTCTGTTACTTCAGAAGCTTTGTAGCTCAGAAGCAGGGCATTGACTGAATTCTTTTCTCTCCAACCCACCGAGTGTGTGTGTGTGTTTCTCTCTTTCTGAATTCTTTAATCACTGAGAAAGAACACTAAGTAGTTGATGGTTTCATCTATTCTTCATTTTTCAAAGTTTATTTCAAATTACTTTTGAGGGGTTAGGGAACAAAAAGAAGTTTGACATACTGTATGGAGGTTCTATTTATCAGACTTCCATTCAGGATTGTCTAGATTTGTTTTACCGTCTTTTGCAGCTGAACTAGGCAACCTGAATGTACATGAAGTCACAAATAAAAATTGGGGAATAATGCATCATATGATAATATAGTAGCTTAGCTTTTGAACTGTGAGACAGTATATGTTTTACATCCAATCTAATGTGAATGCAGGAAATCCTTTATTTTATCTTCTGTAACTTTTCATCTACAGGTAGGGATTTTTTTGTTTTGTTTTTGAAGACTGCATAATTGCTGAGTTGGAGGTTAAATAAATGCATTCATTTTTTTAACACAACACATTGCACATGCTCATCATATGCACATGTCCTCTTCTTAGAAATATTGATAAAGGTTAATAGAAGGAGAAGAAAAGCATCTTCTTCACACACACACATGCACAACTCTCATGCTATCTTTATTTTCTTCTTTATTAAATAATCAAGGATTTTCAGCTGGATTATTTAAGGGAAGGAAAGCCTACGTTGCCTCCCATTAATCTAAAGAGGGTTGCTGGGAGGAAGGACAAAGTCACAGGTTTTGTCTTTTCTCCTAACAACTTGGCATACCAATTGCTGTTTTTTTTCCTGCAGCATAGAAATCATAATGTTTGGCCTATTGTACAGAACTGTAAAGAAATCCTAAATAGTATACAGGCAGTCCTCAATTTAACAGCGGTTCATTTAGTGATCGTTCAGAGTTATAACAGCACTGAAAAAAGTGTTAGATTTCCTATTCATTTTTTTCTTTCTGAGTTGCTTGTGCAAGATGACAGTTTAGCATTGTTGCTAACTTACTCTTGAGACTAGTTCACTGTAATTAGAATCCCAGTGTTCACATTATTCCTTATATCATTTGTATGCTTTAGTGCCATAATAAATTTTAGCCATAATAATTGAAGAAATCCACTGCAATGGGACTATCTGTTCTGCTGGACTTTAATAGGCCATAGTTACTGTAAATGCCGCTATAAAAATAATAGGAAGAACTACTTGTCTAGGGGTGTCAAACTCACATTGTTACAGCGCTGTCATGTGACATTTTGGGACTTTTTCCCCATTCGCTAAACCGGGTGTGGGCGTGGCCAGCATGTGACTCATCCGGCCTGCAGACCAGGAGTTTGACAGCCCTGTGCTAGTCAGTTGAAGAACAGCAATAGCCAGTGTCATAATGATGTCTCTGATTCTATATGATACAGATGGCTAATCTGTAGTTCTTCCGATGATGTTGAACTCCAGCTCTTGTTCTCTGTGGTGAATTCAAATTGTTCAATAATGTTATATTGTGCTTTTTTTTAAAAAAAGAAAAACCACATTTCCTGCCAAAGCAAGAAAAATGCACAATACCTTCCCCTTGACAAGTGCTTATTAAAGAAAGTTTAGCATTTATTGTACATATTTGGATGTTTTTTTAAACATACGGTATATAGTTTATTATTTTTTAATAGCTAAATTCTAAAAAAAATAAAAGTGAGCATTTTATTTATTTATTTATTTATTTATTTATATTTATATTTATATACCGCCCTTCTCCCCCTAGGGACTCAGGACGGTGAACAGCCGAAATTAAAATACATACAATATAAAAGTTAAGATAGCTAAAATAAATTAAATCAATCGGCCCCCAATTTAAAACCCCAAAGCTATACAATTACAAAAAATGTGTTCATTTTTTAAAAAAATTCTCTGTTTATCATACATAAATTTATATATTTTCTAAATAAATAAAAATAAATCTTATCAGGATAGAAAGCGGGAGACCGTGAATTCTAGTTCTGCCTTGGCAAGCCACTTCTGAAAAACTTGCCAAGAAAACTACAGGGAATAGTCCAGGAAGTTACTAGAAGTCAACACTGATTCAAAGGCACAAAAACAGACAAATCCTATTCCAATTATTTTTGTGATGTGTTCATTGTTGCTTCGTTTGTTTGTTTTAGTTATTAAAGAAAATACATTATGCACATTATGCACTATAGGTAGACCAGCTGCATATGTACAGTACTGTTAGCCAAGAAATTCTTAAAAATTCAACACTTCAGGATTCAGTATGGTATTCAGAAGTTGCTTATCTGGCTGGTACAGCTATTGGAGGTAGACCCAACATGTGGCAATCATTTAGGATAAGAACACCTGCAGTTTATTTTTTGCTATTGGAACATGAAATAGCCATCCTGTTTAATATTATGTGTTCCTTTCTGCTTTAGATTTTATTTTTGTCAGAAACATTTAATGGGGGAGTGGTGGGAAACTAAAGATTCAGATAGCTGAAAGGGAACATTCTCAGCTTTATTGCTCTTAAATTACATCTTGTTCACTCTTCGTAATGTTGTTGCTATAGATAAAATTTTCAAAAGCTTGAATGAATCTCCCTGGAGCATTTTAACTGTTGTTATCCCAGTATTGTTAGCTGACAGTAGCAAAAATCTTTTCTGGCCTGATGACTTTTTAAAGTCTTTTTTTTAAATTTCCTGTTGTATACAACCAAAATGCCTTACAGCACAATGTTCGTTTGTGAAAGTTTTACTTTCACAATGGATTACATTTTAGGTACTGTGTCATACATGTAGTTGCATCTGTATTTTTGACCATGAGAGATGCAATATCCAGTTCAGTCACTTGTATGTAGACTTTTAGCCACTCTGTTAGAACAGAATGTTGCCCAGGGTATACCATTACGGAAGTAGTCTACACTTCATACCCCTTTATAATTATAACATCTATCCTACTTTGAGTCTGTGGTGCCATATTTTATCATGGTTTTTACCTTAAAACTTTATCTTGTATATTGTATTGCCCACATATTGCATATACCCACACACACACACACGCTGATGTTTTATTAAAACTTATACTTGTATTTCTATGTAGGTGTTTTATTAGTATTGTTTATCAGTGATTGCATGACCACTGTAGATCCCATTTGTTAATTAAAAAATACATGTAGCATTATGCTGATTGGATGAATACATTTCCCAAGTTTAATGTGGCCCTGTTGAGTTGAATTAAAGTACCTATAAAGAGCCGTAGTGGCACAGTGGTTAGAATGCAGTACTGCAGGCTACTTCTGCTGACTGCCAGCTCCCTGCAATTTGGCAGTTCGAATCTCACCAGGCTCAAGGTTGACTCAGCCTTCCATCCTTCCGAGGTGGGTAAAATGAGTATCCAGATTGTTGGGGGCAATATGCTGACTCTGTAAAACGCTTGTAAAGCACTCTGAAGTGGTATATAAATCTAAATGCTATTGCTATAAACTATAATCAGTCATATAGTAGTAGTACTAATATCTCATTTCTTAGTAACCAGTTGTCATTTGGAGGCTTGTCATGCTTTGTACAGTTATGACAAGTATTCTGAAGAAGTTGATTAGTTTGTTGCATTGATTGTGTTAGAATTTCAGAATGGGATAGATTGTGTGCTACTAGAATAACTTGCAGATAGCAACCTTTAATTTTATTTTCTGTTTACTCAAATGATTGAGTAAATTGATTGATTACTCATTATAGAAACATTTTAAGGAATGTCCTGGAATCATATTAATCTGGGAACATATAGTATGTAAATTCTTTCCAAAATATAAGTTTTATTGGTTTGATGAATTAAAAAATGAAAATACTCTAATAGGAGATTGAGTAGTTCTTGCATAATATTGGTATTTTAATATGTATTTTTCTATGTCTAGTTTCATCTCAATCTACCTTAATATGCATTAAATGCTCATCCTGAAGATATTGCATTCATTTTATATAGCCTTTTTAAATCAAGCAATTGTTTCTAAATCATGATGAATGGTTTCTCTTTTATATGTGATATTTGCAAGTGTGAAAGGTAAGCCAAAAACAACACTGTATGTGAATGGAGCCTCAGTATCTATTACGAGGCATCATAGAAGGCTCTGAATTTTTCTCTTTTTCCATAACAAAAAAAAAATTAAAATAATCATCTGAGCCAAAGATTAAAGAAGTACCATTTTTAATCTCTAAAATAGATAATTTATAAAGCTGCAGTAAGATAAATAGTAAACTTATATCAGTTATTCAGATAAACTGTATATACATATCATTTGAAAAGACAAAAGATTCACATATAAATCTACTAGCTGAATATCCATGCTCCGCTACGAAACTATGTGATCGGGCTTGATAAATCGACAGTTAGAGTTTGAAAATTAATGAGTAGTTACAATCGGCCTCTCCTCTCCCCTTCTCTCCCCCAGGCTAACCCCACAGAAGCCTCTCCTCTCCTCTCTATCCCCTCCTCTCCCTCAGGCTTGCCTCATAGATCCTCTCCTCTCCCCTTCTCTTCCTCAGGCTGGCCCCACAGAAGCCTCTCCTGTCCTCTCCCCTTCTCTCCATGAGGCTTGCCTCACAGAAGCGGGTCCTATGCTATCCCATTCCCTCCAGAGTTATTTTCAAGTTGGGAGGGGGAGTAGAACATCTAACTAATTAGCATCAGAGCATGTTATAATAATATAGGAAATACTAATGCTCTGAGGGTCATTTCGAAAAATCCTTTCTTAGTGAGCACCTAGAAGCCAAGAGGAATTTATGTGGCAAATTTCAAGTTTGTAGGCTTTATGGTTCTGGAAATTTTGTGATTATTGCATGAATGGTTTTTGCTTTTATATATATAGATTGAATTAGATTCTTTAAAAGTCTTCTGTAAGGTCCCAGACTTATTTAAATGGATGTAATTCATGTTTATTACACAGTGCTAAACTAGGATTTGTATTAAACTATTTTTAATTTTTTTTCAGAAATCATAGTTTTTATTTCTTCTGCTAGAAACAGAGGAAATTGATAGAATATAAGAATAAAAAAATCAGAAATTAAGAGGAAATTAAAAAAAACTGAAGAAGTAAAGTAAGATAAATAACACGAAGCAAACATGAGAAAACAATGGTCAAAAAACTACAAGGGGGAAAACAATATTTCTACCAACACTGGAAAGGCAAACTTACTATACATAAACAGGGAACAAACACCACACTCACTTTCACTGATGATGTTATCAGTTGGGTAATTAAACATCTGCAAGCAAACAGCCATGGTCAGAGAGCACCAAGAACTCCACAATAGCAAGAATCTGTAATTCTTGTGGTTGGAAATAGTAATTTTAGCAATTAGAATGTTTGGTAGCCATATGTCTAATTATCTCTTTTATATATTACTTGTAGTCTATTTTCAAGGAGATCTACTCACACGTGCGCCCTACTATCTATAGAAAGTTTAGAGTAGTGGCAGGTGTTAGCCTCCCACACACTAAAGTCTTATTTTCTATTTAGGGGGCATGTTTTTGTGAATAGTGCAGTGCCACACAGACAAGAGTTTAAAAGTATCTTCCATAGCTTTCTTTTTCTTTTCTTTTGCAGTATCAAATCATCATGGTCCACAGGCCTTTCTCTTCTTTGTATTTGAAATACTAAGACAATTTGCATTGAGGATAGAATTCATATTTTTTTCACATACAAATAGCACCATTATTTTTAAACTTCTAATGCCCTTCGGTGTGTTTTTCTTCTTTTTCATGAAGGTTAGCCGGAACAGCCTGATAGGGGCCCATTTCCAGAGAGACGTGGATGATGCCAGAACTATGACAGGGGCTGCAGTCTTGGCATTGAAGGGAGGTGATCAGTTATGGAACAGCCAAAGGAGGAAGTACCTGAAGTCAGGGAAGAAGAGGAGGAAAAGGAAGAGACAGTGATGGCAGTAAGTGGAACCTCAGAGCCAAATGAAGGTCTAGGTAATTTGGCACCATCTGCCAGGTATACAGGTAAGTTGGAAAAAGATATTAATGCCTTAGAGACACTTAAAGGAGCAATGGACATGTGTTAAATATTTTCCCCCAGTAATTTGTTCTCAGTGGGATGACATTTTCCTTATGATTATAACAAATTTATTACAAGCCTTTATTAATTCCCAGCTCTCAAATATATTAAGAAACTTTCCTTTATTTTTGTTCTGCACACTTAGTGTGCTTTGGGATTTAGGAACCTGGAAGCATGCCTTCTCTTTAGCAGCACCTGCCCTCTGGAATGAGGTTGCCCCTGAGATCTGGGTGCACTGCTGTTATTCAGAAGAGCCTTGAAGACCTGTCTTTTTGCCCAGGCCCTTTGTGAGGGAGAATTAGGACCTTCATCTTATCCGATCTGTCATTATTGCAAATGCTAAGGGCACTACCCTGAGAACTGAAAATGTAAATAATCTGCAAGTTTTAGTAATAAAGATCAAAGATAGTGAAAAAAGCAGGGCTAAAAATATAAAGATGATTAAAATAATGACAACAGGTACTGCAGCCAGCATTACAACTGACAATTAATTTATTGAAATGATAAATTGCTTCTTTTTAGGCTCAACTATCAATAGTAAAGGGACCATCAATAAAGAAATATAAGCATTTAATAGAATAATAATGAAGGCCTTGGAAAATATTTTGTATGCTGAGATGTGTGTATAACTAGAAGGATCAGAATTGTGAAGATGATGATCTTCTCCTTCACACACTATGGAAGAAAAAGTTGGACTTCAAAGAAGCAGGATAGAAATATTGATGCTTTTGAAATTTGTTATTGGAGAATAGCATGGATAGTCAAGAAAGCAAAGAAATAAATACCATGGCTAGTGAAGAAAATATACCCTAATTTTCTCTTGCAACACTGATTGAAATTCCTGCAGTTTGATCACAACACACAAGCCATCTTAAAAGATACATAGATGATAGATAGATAGATAGATAGATAGGTAGGTAGGTAGGTAGATAGATAGATAGATAGATAGATAGATAGATAGATAGATAGATAGATTGAATCTACTAAGTGTATCAGTACAGAGTGATAGTATACAGACGTTGTCTTTTACCTTTTATAGTCGAAAAGCAGTTGTTCATATTATAAAATCATTTGCTTGTACAAAAAAATCTGCTGAATTTATTGTTATGCTATATTGCACATTAGGATAGGAACATATATGGGTCAAAACATACATTACAGCAAGTTTTCAACAAAAGTTGAAAAGAATATGAAAGTAAATATGATTCTGAAAAAAAATATTTTAGTGACTACCAAGCATTGTTGCAAACCCATGTTCAAATTGCTGGAGACAAAGATGGGGATTTTTCCCTGTAAGATAGTTGCTTCCAGATTTTGCATCACAGTGTTTGCTATATAGTAACAGTAGTTGTCAACATATGACTACAATTAAGCTTGGAAATTTGGTTGTACGTTGAGTCATCATGGACATTAAGTGAACATGATTGTTAAGCAAATAACATGGTCATACATCTAAATACAGCTCATCCAATGGGGCAGTTTTTGCTGGAAAACAGCAAAACATGATCATGTAACAATAGGAAAAAGCAGTGGGATTGACTTGTGACCTCCTGCCAGATTCCCAGTGATTTTGCTTGTGGAAAGCTGGCAGGGAAGGTTTCAAATGATGATCAAATGATTGCAGGACGCTACAACCTTTATAAATGTGAGCCAGTTCCTAAGTGTCCAAATCACAATCGTGGGACCATGGGGATGTTGTAATGGTTGCAACTTTGAGGACTGGTCATAACTCCCCTTGTTCAACACTATCATAAGTTTGAATGATCACTGAATGGACATAATCAGAGGACTACTTATACTTTCTCAGATTTGATAATTACAAAGGCAAGGTAAATAAGCAAAGCAAAAAGGCCAGAAATTTGTACCAGATAGTACTTTATTGCAAAATTACAATGTAATACCTTCTCCATTCTGTTTCCTGATAGATCTTTCCCAGAGTTCTTCTCCTTCTTTGTTGGACCAACTCCAGATGGGCTGTGCTGAGGCAAATTCAGGAAGTCTAAATGTGGAATGCAGAGTCTGTGGTGACAAGGCATCAGGGTTTCATTATGGGGTACATGCATGTGAAGGCTGTAAGGTAAGGACATCACAGAGATTAGATATAACTTTATGAGACGTAGACTGTGGGTTCCTTGGTGTTCTCTAAGTTTGGAGGTTTTCTTGCAGATGTTTCATTACCAAACTAGGCAACATTATCCGTATTAAAAGGGTGTGAGGTTTGCTCTTATTCTTATATACTAGTGGCTTGTCCTGCCAGTGTTGATGGGAGTGTGGTTGCTTCTTGATTAAGCTGTTGTTTACTGTTAGCTTGTTTGTTTGTGTTGGTAGTTCCTTGATTGGGGTATTGTTTACTTCTTAATTGTTGGTCTAGTGTTAATCTTGGTGTTAATCTCTGCTCATATGGGTGTTCATTGTTGGGAAGGAGGTGTTTTGGGCTTTTTGATTGTCTCTTTTGAGTGGTATATAGATGTTTAACTCTATGTGTTTGCTGATGGCCAATTTATCTGAATATCAGGCCTCCAGGAATTCTGTGGCGTTTTTGGACATTTTTGATCTAGGATTGCTCACAATTTTCCAGTTGAAACTATGGTCGACTCTGTCCATGTGTTGTGAAATAAATGAGTTTTCATCATGTCTTCTGTCTGCTAGTTGGTGTTCACAGATGTGTTCTACCAATCTTCTACCTGTTTGTTCTATATTGTGGCTTACAATCCTTACACTGTAGGTTGTAGATGACTCCTGTTTTTTTTCTTCTGGGTGTGCTGTGTCTTTTGATTTACTTAGGATGTTTAGGAGGGCTTTAGTCGCTTTGTGTGCTACGATGATGCCATGTGGTCATAATAGTCTGTTGGCAGTTTCTGATACGTTTTTGCTATATGGCAGTGTTATGGTTTATGCTTTCTATAGCTTGTGTTGGTTGAGCTATGGTGTGTTGAATGATCAGGCACTCTTTGATAAAGCGACAGGGATATCCATTTGTTGGAAGATATTGTAGAGTTTCCTTTTTCCAATGTTCAAGGTTGCTGCAGTGTGTTTGCGCTTGTCTAAATAGACAAGCATCTCTTGAGTAGCACCTGGGTTGTGTGGGCAGTTTTTCAATAGACTTGTGTTTCTAATTTATCATCACTGCCTCTGCTGTTGAGAATATCTAGGAAAAGGAGTGTATTGTTGTTTTCTTCTTGTGAATTTTATTCCTTTGAAGATGTTGATAGTTTTGTGTGTTTTTTCTAGTTGATTCTTTTTTTATTATTATGATGTTGCATAATTTGGTAATGAAACATCTGCAAGAAAACAATTGAGATAAGAGAGCACCAAGGAGGCCACAGTTTAACTCTAAGCAACAAATATTCTCTAGGGTGTGAAAGATGGAACTAGAAACCGTGGAAGCCCCCTTTTTGTTGTTCTTATTTGTCATTGAATCTCTCCTCTCAGAATGTAGAGATCGCTTTTAGAAATTAGGCCTGGCTGTGTACATGATAACTGAAGCAAGACCTTTGTATGCATAGAGATGGAAAGATTCAGAGATTCTCACAATGGAAGAATGGGTGGTGAAGTTAATGGAAATAGCCAAGATGGCAAAATTAATTACCTTGATTAAAGAAAAGATTTTGTATAACTTTGTTTCTATGTGGAAACCCCTTTTGGACTTTTTTTTAGAAACTAAAAGAAATGCTATACTGATTTTGGGATTTGACAGCTAGAATGGTTTATTAGTATAGAAATATAATATTGAATTTTAGATCAAATGATTAATGTATTTTATATTTGTAACTGAATCAAAGAAAGTTGGAAGTTACCTTTCTGTTTCTTTTCTTTTCTCCTTATTCCTTTGTACCTTTCTCTTCCGTATTTGTTTTTCCTTCTTAATTTCTTTTATTTCTAGGTTTTTATTTATTTATTTATTTATTTTAATTATTTAGAAGATTTGTATGGCTGCCCACTCTTTCAACAAAAGAACAGCTTACAAACAATAAAAATCAATATAAACAGAATAAAAACAATAACCTCCCACCCACCGCAGCAATAACAAGCAATGAAATGAGCCGCTTGATGGGTTCCAACCCACTTTGAGCTCCCCAGGCCTGTTTGCTGAACCAGATCTTCAGGGCTTTGCAAAAGAGTGTTAAAGTGGGGACCAGTTTAATCTTTGTGGGGATGATGTTCCAAAGGGAGGGAGCCACTGTGGAGAAGGCCCTTCTTCTGGGTCCCAACAGATGTACCTCCTTAGAATACTGGACCCACAACATTTCCCTGCCTCCCCCTCTAGTGGGTTGGGTGGATGTAACTGGGAAAAAACAGAGTCCTTCAGATAACCTGGTCCCAAGCCATGAAGGGCTTTAAAGGTGACATCAGCATTTTGAACTGCACCCGGAAGCAAATCTGCAGCCAATGCAACTATTGCAGGAGAAGTGACACCTATGCACACCTGGGTCTGCATAAAACCATGCAGGCGGCTGCATTTTGAACCAATTTGAACTTCTGGATGCTTTTCAAGGGCAGCCCCCTGTAGAACATGTTGCAATAGTCAAGAAGGGAAGTGAGTAGGACATGAATTTATATTTTATTTTTTGCAGAAATTTAATGAAGTATTTTTTCTTAAAAGAAGAAGCTAAACCTGGCTGAAATGCTGCAGGGCACCTATTAACAGATTCTGTTCCTCATGGTTCCCAGGGTAAATGCTAATAGTATCTTAAGTAATACCAAAAAAGATGAGACAGCAAGGATGTAGTGAAGTTGGGATTTATTGATTACAGAAAAGTCCATCTGGTGGTCACCTGGGAAACTGCATGCCTGCTTCTTCTTTTATTTATTTATTTATTTATTTTTATTTATTAGATTTCTATACCGCCCTACTCCCGAAGGACTCAGGGTGGTGCACAGCCAAACGATAAAAACACATACAATACAAAATTTAAAAAATAGAATAAAATCAAATTAAATAATTTTGGCCCCGACAAATTTAAAACCCCACACTTTTAAAACCAATTTAAAATTGAATATATAAATACTAAAAGATATTTAAAATTTTAAAAATCTTTTATAAAAGAGGGGGAAAATTAGGCCAGGCCAGCCTGGTGAAATAGTAAGGTCTGTAAGGCGCGGCGGAAGATGCGCAGATCCGGGATCCTCCGTATCTCTGGGGGGAGCTCGTTCCAGATAGTAGGTGCCCCCACAGAGAAGGCTCTCCCCCTGGGGGCCGCCAGTCGGCATTGTTTGGCTGACGGCACCCGGAGGAGCCCCTCTCTATGGGAGCGTACCGGCCGGTGGGAGGCTATTGGTGGTAGTAGGCGGTCCCGCAAGTACCCGTGTCCTAAGCCATGGAGCGCTTTAAAGGTGGTAACCAAAACCTTGAAGCGCACCCAGAAGACCACCGGGAGCCAGTGCAGCTCGCGCAGGAGAGGTGTTACATGGGAACGCCATGTCGCTCCCATTACCACTCGCGCGGCCGCACTCTGCGCCAGTTGGAGCCTCCGGGTGCTCCTCAAGGGGAGCCCCATGTAGAGAGCGTTGCAATAGTCCAGGCGGGAGGTGACAAGGGCATGAGTGACAGTGCGTAAAGAGTCCCGATCCAGAAAGGGACGCAACTGGCGAATCAGGCAAACCTTTTTATATATTAAACATATTTATTTAGGTTCTCTCCCCCACCTCCCAATCATTATTTTCTGCATGCATGCATATTTTCATCTTAGAAGGTTTTTTTTTTGTAATATGTTTAAGGCATCTACTTATTGCTGAAAATATTGTCTTAAGATCTAAGGTAATAGTAAACCTGGCATTCTGAAAAGGCTATTAATATCAGAATGAAACATCTTGTTTGTTTCCAACATCTGTCTTATCACTTACCAACAGGGATTCTTTCGTCGAACAATCCGCATGAAGCTAGAGTATGAGAAATGTGAGCGGAATTGTAAAATTCAGAAAAAGAACCGAAACAAGTGCCAGTACTGCCGCTTTCAGAAATGCCTTTCACTAGGCATGTCACACAATGGTGAGATCTCCCTCCTCTTGCTCTGGGTAGGGGTGAAGCATAGAGTTATAGTGAGATCAGTGGAATTATACATTTACTATAAAATTTAATAAGGGGTTGAAATTTGAGGAATGCCTTTCTGGATAGACTTCTACTTTGAAAAAAGATATATTTAAAGCATGGGTATCCTGCATAGTATTTTAAAATACTTTAAAAAATTACAGTAGCTTATACATCAATATCAAATAAAATGAGCTCTAAAAGCTCAAATATCATTTGAGCATAAAATAAAAATATGGTCTATTTGTCCCAAAATATTAGTCCCTGAAGGACTACGGTCCATTTGCATTTCCAGAACAAAAATAAAATTGGTTTCCCTATGAAATCTATATAAAATTATTCTAAATAATTGCATGTCTTTGTTTCTTTTCTTAAAGCATTTTGAGAGTGTTCGGTATATTTCTCTGTGTTAATGCCTATATTGCATAAAGAAAAAACTAAATTAAAAAATCCTAGGGTATGTATATGAAGGCACACAGTGATTTTAATGCAGGCTTGTTGCAACTAAGCAAAATTTGTATAGTCAGTGTCCAATTGGACAACTGTATGGGAATTCAGTGAATGCTGGCCCTCGTTCAAGGTTAGATGGCACTGCAGTAAAAGCTCTGCTTTTGACTATGAAATGGTTAACATCCTACAATAATCTACAATATGTCCAAACTTTGATACTGAACTGAAGACATGAACTAGCTTTGATCTCCTGATCCCGACTGATATATAGGCTGACAGGAGGCAGAATGATTGCATTTGCTTTAGGGCAGTAGGTAGTACTTTTCCTCCCAGGTTTGCCTCTGTGTAACAATATGTTTGTACTGCTGTGCCATAAATTTGAAAATGCCTACTAACTCAGCCTTTCAGTCAGCACAAAAGCACCCATCCAGAAGAATGGAAAGTTTCTTTCCACCAAAAAGACATGTCTTTGCTTGCCTGGAGAAGCCTGCTGACATAGGATATGCTACCTTGCACTCCTCATCAGCATTGTACTTGGGGAGGTAATTATCATTAACTGTGTCACCCTGCATGTGTTTTACTTTTTTGTAGAATGCCCTTAGAAAGATATTGCTATATTTTTGGCTTAAAATGAAATCATTTAAAATGAAGCTTTGTCTGGGACCAGCAGGTGTGGGCATAGTAACTTGAACAGTAAATTAGAACCAGATGACCTCCGTTCAAATCCCACTCAACCCATAATTTTCATTTGTGACCTTGAGCTAAAGTCTGTCTCTCAGCCTAACATACTTCTCACAGCTGTTATGGTGATAAAATGAGGAACATTGTGTATATTTTCCCTAAACTCTTTGAAGAAAAGATGGAATATAAACTGATATATTTATATTTGTCTTTTTCTATAATGTTATGTTACAAACCAAAAGCAGTTTTAAAAGATATGATGGCATGTTAATAAAAATAACTGTTCTTAACCTTTTTAGCTCAAGGCTTCTAAGCCGCCTGCTTTGTTTTGTTTCTTTAGCCATTCGTTTTGGCCGCATGCCAGAAGCTGAAAAAAGGAAGTTAGTGGCAGGACTGACAGCTACTGAAATCAGCTGCCAGAATCAGCAGGTGGCTGATCTGAAAGTCTTTTCCAAGCACATCTACAATGCCTACTTGAAAAATTTCAACATGACCAAAAAGAAAGCACGAGGCATCTTAACTGGAAAAGCCAGTAGCACCCCTGTGAGTACCTCAGTTCCAGAGGTCTATGTAATGTACTAAGCAAGAAAGTCATTATTCTCAAAATAAATTAATATATACCCATATTTTTTTTAAATGCTATTTTTTAAAACTATGAGTAGTATTTAAAAAATTTAGGTGAGATTGGTGTGCTGTATTTATAGATAGCAGTAATTAAATGAACTGCCAGCAATTTACATTCCAGTAAAAACTATATTATAAAACTGCATTTAAAACTTTTATTAATAGAAATGATCAACAAATATAACTTAATAGAAATCATATTTAGGTTTCAAAAGCTCCACAAAGAAACTTCACAGTCCTGTGAAAAATTCCAAGATACATGTTAATCAGACCTCTCATGGAAGGCTTTTCCACAGGGCAGAGCATCCCATGAAAGCACTTCTGGGCCCCCACTCTTCTTATCTCCTGCCTACGGGAAATCCTAAGTATTCCCACCTGAGATGACTCCACAGGATAAACTGATTCTACATGAAGAAGATAGTCTTCAAGATATTTGAAAGTCAGATTTTTTTTTGAGCTTTAATAAAGGCATAAATTGAATTTTAGTGTTATTATTTTTATATAATTCCATATTTTCACATATAATAAAAAATAATGATGTCTTTCAACCTGGTTTGACTAAGCTACATTTACCCGAAGAATCTTGTTCTCAGTTTGTACATTGTATTCTGTTGATTAGCACAAAAAGGGGAGGCTTTAAATGATCACTAGTGTAAATAATATGCATTGTTGCACTCTGCCTCTGTGGCTACCAGCAGGTTTCTCATTACCAAATCCTAACTTTATATGTTATTCTTCATAGCCTTTTGTGATTCATGACATGGATACCCTGTGGCAAGCCGAAAAGGGTCTGGTGTGGAAACAACTGATAAATGGGATGCCACCATACAAGGAGATTGGTGTTCATGTTTTTTACCGCTGCCAGTGTACATCAGTCGAGACCGTGCGGGAGCTCACTGAATTTGCCAAGAGCATTCCTAGCTTCATCAGCCTTTACCTTAACGATCAAATAACTCTCTTGAAATATGGGGTACATGAGGCCATCTTTGCTATGCTTGCCTCTATCATGAACAAGGATGGACTTCTGGTGGCCAATGGCAATGCTTTTGTGACACGTGAATTCTTGCGCAGCTTGCGCAAGCCCTTCAGTGAAATCATGGAGCCCAAATTTGAATTTGCTGTGAAGTTCAATGCCCTGGAGTTAGATGACAGTGACTTGTCTCTATTTGTAGCTGCCATCATCTTATGTGGAGGTAAGAGATTAAAAAAAACATTAAGCAAGGGGAAGAGGTAATTCATTTTTAGGTAGACATCACATTCAGAGCACTTGATAAATCATTGTCTTGTCAGTTTATTTCACAATATTGGGTAGCAGTTTCACAGTATATAATTTTAATTATGTCAGAAATCTAATTGATAGCTTTCAAAACTTTCCTGCTATTAATAATAAAATGAGAGTAATATATGTGTGGATATAAAATCAATTTAATATCAGTGATATTAAATTTAACAGCATAATAGGATGAGTACAAATATTATCAAACAATTTTATTCAATACTAATCAAAATATTATTATGGTCATAGACCAGCATATATTTACCACTAAATTTATTTGTTAGATCCTGCGCTTCCTCCAGAACTTCAAAACATCATATATAACATTTCCTCAAGTTTTTCCATACAAAGACATCCTAGCAAAATTGGCTGAGAAGGCCCAAATAGCCAACTGAATTTTTATTACTGAGGGTGAATCTAGGACTTCCCACTCCTAAAAAGTACTGCTACATGTATTGCTACTGATGTGAAATTAATATAGTGTAGTCCAATCATTTAACTCTTGCAGAATCTTAATTGTGATATAACCAGACTGTAATAACTGAACTAAGAATCCTTAAGCTTCTCTGACACTATTCTATGAATTAATAAAATTAGGAAAAAATCATAATTTCACTGGTGTTATCATCTATAATGAATTGGTATAATTGGAAAAGTCTGTTAATTATAAGAATGATTATAGCTATAACTGTAGAAGAAAATTATCTTTTAGAGAGAGAAAACATTGTTCCCATCATCTTCAATCAGCTAAGGTGTCATATTGCTGACCTTTAAAGGAAATGATAACTTTATATGCTCTTGTTTATAGAAAAAGAAAATGAATGTTACTGTCAGGAAACTTATTTGTAATAGTGATAAAAATAGTTTTAAAAGAAAAACTTCCATGCAAAAGATCATGTCTAAGATGATTTTTAAAAAATTCAAAAAATTTATTTCTCTATGAAGAAATAATGGGTGGAGTACAAACAATCATGCTTTTGTGTTTTGCTTGAAATGATTTTGTTCTCAAATCTTGATGGTTTTCCCAATTTCTCTGCCATCTTTTATATTCAGCAGCATTATGATTTTGCCCCTGAGGCTATAGATATATTAAAGTCTAGGAGAGGATGTTTAGTATCAGTTAATGTTCCTCTATGAAAGAAACTCCCTAAGCATGATACTGTGGGGCAAGGTAGCCTGACATTTATTTCTTAAATATTCCTGAAGAGAAAAAAAAGTAAAAATATTGAAAAAAGTAAGTCACAAAGTCAAATGTTTTATAAATAACTTGGTGTATTTGTTTTCTTGTAGACCGCCCTGGCCTAATGAATGTTAAACAAGTGGAGGCAATACAGGACAATATTCTCCAAGCTCTTGAGTTCCATTTACAAGCTAATCACCCAGACATTCAATATCTCTTTCCTAAATTGCTGCAAAAAATGGCTGACTTGAGACAGTTAGTGACTGAGCATGCACAGTTGGTGCAGAAGATCAAAAAGACAGAGACAGAGACTTCTCTGCACCCTCTCTTACAGGAAATCTACAAGGACATGTATTGAGGAGCTTATATTTATCAGATAGGTGAAAGCCATGGAATCCAGCAAATGCTTGTATATTAGCAAAGAAATCCTTGCGTCTTCCATTTCTTCACTAGAATTATTTTTACTAGATGATTGGTCTATGCTGTATATGGTGGTTTACAGTGGAAAATTGGAAATTTACCACTGGGTATAGACCAGAGGGCTTCCGTTAACATACACTAAATGAAACTTAATTTGTTGCTACAGTTCAGCTCTTAGCACTATTTCAGAGCTGCTGAGGCAATTTATACGCAACCTGTAAATTGTACTTGAATTGTTATATTAGATAAACATGAATTGTGCCCAAATTATTATAGCAAGCAGTACCTTGAATTGGCAGGTACAGAAATAGCACTTCATCATAATCCTGTTACATATTTTTATATTTCAAAAATTTTGGCTGGCCCTAAGTGTAAATTATAGGATACTACAAGGAAATTATGCGAATATATAAATTTTCCAAAGAAATATCCAAGTGTTGCATGAATAGTATGAACACTCCTTGCAGAAATTCTTTTACTTTAATTTTTAACCTAAGTGCACAAAAATAGATTATGTGTTCTGGCTGAAAGGCTTGTCTTCCATGTGGGTTTTTACATGCCTCTGCTCATTCTATACTGCAGATTGTTGAAGCTCTTCATGAATTAGTACAGTGCTTGCTTATTTACATTAAAAAATGGGCTTTCCTTCCCTCTCTGTTCAGGTTCGCCCAGTAAAGAGCTGGGTCTGAAAAAGAGTGGGAATAGCATTTTCTCTTGGATGATAGCTGCCAAAACACATTTGCATCCTTCATTTCAGCTAAAGTAGCTTTAATGTTGTCTAAACTTTGAGAAAAAAGAATCATCCTGATCACCTGAGTGATCAGGTTCACTTTTGGGGAGGGGAGAATACAGTGTAAGAAAGATTTTAAAAGGCAGCAGTTTTGGGGAAATTTGGGTGATTTATGGATGGTAAATAGAGTCAATAGTATTTTATTTTGTGATCTGTGGTGCAACTTCTTATCATGTCCTTTCCAAGAGGAGGATTCCTAATAATTGCACTTGTGTCTTTCCCACAAGCACACAAACACATTATACACTCTTTCATAATTAGTAATTAGGAATACAGGTAGTCCTTGACTTACAACCACAATTGGGACCAGAATTTCTATTGCTAAGCAAGGCAGTTGTTCAGTGAGTCATGCCTGATTTTACAACTTCTTTTTTGCCACAGTTAAGTGAATCATTGCAATCAGTAAGTGAATCTGGCTTCCCTCATTGAGTTTGCTTGTTGGAAGCTGGCTGGGAAGGTTGTAAATGGCTGTCACATGACCCTGGAACAGTGCCACTATTGTAAATGCATGCTGGTTCCCAAGTGCCCAAATTTTGATCATGTGACCATGGGGATGCTGTAACCGTCATAACTGGAAGGCCTGATCATAAGTTATTTCTTCAGTGTCATTGTAACTTCAAATGGTCACTAAAGGAATGGTTATAAGTCAAGGACAACTTAATTGTTTTATGGTAAGTTTTCTATGTTCAGAAAGCATTTAAAAATTCTTTCTCAATGGGTCTCGTCAAAAATTCATGACAATTTACCGTACTTTTTGGAGTATAAGACGCACTTATTTCCCCCCCAAAAGAGGGTGGAAATGTTGGTGGGCCTTATACACCGAATACAGCCATTTTTGGCCTCCCAAAACCCCACCCCATGCGTCCCATTTTTGCAAAAGACGGACCCGTTTTTCGCAAAAACAGTGCACAGAGGCTTTGGGAGGCCTGCAGAGTGCTCCTGTGGGCTGGGGAGGGCAAAAATGCCCCCATTTTTGCAAAAACAGGCAACAAACGGGCCCATTTTTAGCAAAAACAATGCACAGAGGCTGTTTGGAGGCCTACAGGGCAAAAACTTTTTTTTCTTGCTTACCTCTTCAAAATCTTGGTGCGTCTTATACACCGGTGCATCTTATAGTCCGAAAAATACGGTACTATTTCCCAAGCATTTGACTTGGGTTATAATACAATTTTGGTTCCTTTTTCTTTCATGATTGTTCCCGCTTTATTCCATAGTTGTGCCAGACAACTTTTGTTAATATAATTTATCAGCATAGATTTTCTTTACTATAGAAGATTCTTAGGTGTGAGGACTTTGTCACATTGATGTGCCAGTAATAATGGAGTCATTATGCCTACACCATGTTGATACATTGTGGAGTTTGTTGGACTTCTTTTTTTCGTAACTTCCAATGTGTCCTGACTGAGTGCAACATGGTGGTTGAATGTGGTATTAAGAGCATTGTCATGTATTATGATAATGTTTTTCTTGCTACATTGTTAAGTGGATTCTTAACTTTCAGAGAAGAAAAATTATTATAAAAAGAACCATGAATACCAAAAATAGTACATGTACACGTGTACACAACAACAGAATTTTAGATGATGCAAAAATTGCTTAAATTGGCTGGTTGTCCTGACATTTTAGCTCAAATCATGTAGATTTTCTGCTTGTTCTATATAATACTTTAGGTTTTCATTACTGGATTTGGATATAGAAATTGCAAAGAACTTTCAGTCTTAATTCATGACACTAATAAGTAACAATGTTTTCAAACTAACTTTTTTTTTAAAAGTGCTATCATTCTTTGGGGGAAAGGAGCAAATGAAGCAGTGTTTAGCAAGAGCTTTACATGGCGGAAGCCTCCAATTCACAGTATCAGTTAAAACAGGAGTGTCAAACTCGCGGCGTCACATTGTCATCATGTGATGTATTGCAACTTTTTCTCCCTTCACTAAACTGGAGGTGGGCGTAGCCAGCACATGATGAATCCAGCCCGTGGGCCGCAAGTTGACACCCCTGAGTTAAAAGAACCATGAGGCAAGTGATAAAGTTTCCACCTATGCCACTGCCATGGGGCGGGGTGGTGGTGGCATTTGTCAAAAACCAGTTTGATCTTGTACAAATTAGCTTTCTATGCTTTCTTTTATGCTCTTAGCTATTCAAGAAGGAAAATACTACACTATTGCTCTGTTTTGCTGAGACACAAATAAAAAGAAAAGATACACCTTAGGCAACATGTACTCTTGCTTTAGCAAAATACCATTTTTAGCCTAACAAAGCGTAAAGTTACCATTTAGGGATGAGGACTAATTTGCAAACAAGCATGTACTTTAAGTGAAGAAATCCCAGCTTCTGTTTAAAGGTAGGACATCTGTAATCACTGTAAACAGTACTGAGATAAGGCAACTTTCTATTTTGCCTCATTGGTTTGATTATTTAGCTATCCTACCCAATTAATATTCCATTATGACTCATAATATCTAATTTGGTAGATCCAGAGCTTGAGTATCTTTTTTAAAGAAACAAATGCTTATTTTTTTAAAAATAATTAAATGGAAATTTGACCTGGGCAGCCATGTTGGTTAAATTTTATAATCTAGGTAATTTACTACCAACTTTTTAACAAAAACCAGAATGAATTTTGCAAACTGTAGATACTCTTGCAGCCAAAGCACATGTTTTTGGTAATAGACTTATGTTTAACAACTTGCCTAATAGATGCATCTAACTAGGATTTCTGATTAGATTGATGAAGCTAGTGAAAAATGGATTGATAATTTTCTCCACTTCTTTATGTCTGTGGTTGCAGAAAGTATCTTGTTAGAAATACATTTTTACAAATATTGATCCTTTCTTTGCAAGCCACCCTAAAAATCCAGACAACTAGAGACAGGTAAAATATGTTTTGCTGGTGGTAATGCTTTAAAATATTTAAGGGACCGTGTACACATCTATGCAGAAATAAATTATTTGAAGATTGTTTTGCAGCCATAATATTCCTCAATTAATTTTTCTGCTTCAAACGTTTTTTTCATGTGTTCCAATTTCAGACTGCCAATACTATAGTGCTATGTTTCTCTATAGTTGAACCCATAATAGTTATCTTTTGTGATCTTCATGCATAGGATAGTTCCATTAATCAATCTGACATGATAGCTACCATGTATATAACTAGCCAGAATGTTGTTTTCCTTGCTAACTTAAGGGGAAGCAAGGTCCCTTCTTCCAACTCAGCACAGATGTATAGCATTTGCTTTTGTTGTATCTCTATTTCCAGAATGAAATAAGTGGGACGTTCTACCTCTACCTTGCAGGAGTGATGTGAAATGTGTTTTATTATGAGAATTCATGCTTTTGGAGCCACAGGTGGGCAAATCGCTAAAAAAAATGGCTTGTGATTTTTATATTTCAGCATCTGCCTTAGACCTTCATTTTAGCCTCTCTTACTGAAGGCCTCTTTTACCTGCATCTTGCTGTTCCTCAGGAGATGCAGGACAAATACTTGCAGCACTAGAAGAGTCTGCACTTTTTTTCTTCTTTTTTTTTTTTGCTGAGAGTGTGATGGCAGAACAATGTAGCAATCCTCAAACTGAAATGTATATTTTTGCTAGAAGTTCAAATTTCAGATGTTTTAAAACAAATAGGGACTGACAATATAAAAAATAGAAATAAATATTTAAGAAACAATTACAATGTAGCTTTTCTTTTACTTACTTCTAACCTTAGCTTCCCTCAGGACATAAATTAATTTTTCTGTTACAAATTTCACAGAAATGCTGAACAGTATCTCTCAGTCATAATGTATTATGCAATTTTGAGTAATGGTAATTTTTCAATTTAAAATCTTTTTAGGGCAAAATACATTTCTGGTCCTTTCTTTGTTTTACTCTGAATGTGAACCTTTTAAAAAAAATACTGTATTTAAACTGAAATATAAGCATACTGAAACACAAAAACATATTTAAGATATACTTTTTGAAGTACAAATATAAAAATGATTAATTTTGTCTCTAGCATTAATTTAGACTTTCAGGTATAAAATAGATCACATACCTTAATGTTTTCCTATATGCAAATATCATGAAATGCCATTAGTTTCAGAATCTTGTGTTTATACACATAGATCAATTTGCATGTATAAAGCAGCCTTCAGTAACCCACAAGAGACTATCAGTGTGACATATTGTTAATCCAAACCATAACATTTAATTACTTTGTGTGGACTTTGTTCAGTTCAGTACACATAGTCTTAGGCCAAACTAACTACAATTTGAGCTCAGACATAAGAGCTGATAGTTATGCTGACACAAAATTCCAAAAAAGTACTTGTACAAATGATATTTTATTGAGCAAAGTAGGTTATACTTCTGAGAAAAGATACATGTGATTTCAAAGCATGATGTTATATAGTTGTGCAGGTTATTTCATGTTGAATAATTTTGAAAATATTGCTTCATACATGTAAAATACTTCAGTTTTTATTTTAATAAGACTAGTTTGGCAGTGGATCTTTATCTAACTGGATAAATGGGGCCTTATGGTAACTGTTCAATCCCCTTCTAGCTTAAGCAGTTGTTAACAATGGCTTTATGAAATCCATTGCTTCCGATGCATGAAAATGTTTGTTACATAAGTTAAATTAACTTCTAAGAATGTCCAGGACTTCTGGGTTGTTGTTTAACTATACTCCTTTTTAAATTTGGAATTTGGAATTCAAGCTTACAGTGCTTGTAGCTATTTCACATAATATCAAAAAGACATACATAATATAGCTACTGTGTCGGATATTATCTGATATTGAAATATACAGTGATCTATTTGTATGTTCCATATGCATTGGCTCTATGGGAGTGGTTTGCATGTTCTGAAAGAAACATGAGGAAAATATTTAAGGAAGCATGAGGAGAAAAAAACAAATGGAGAAAAGTAATATTTTAGCTTATTGGTGAGTAAGGAAAGGAAAGGTGTCCCTGCAGATTTTACTCTGCTAGTCATTTCCAACTATACGGGGTGGTGTTCATCGCCATTTCAAGGCCATGCTGTCCAAAGACATTTCTATGGTCATATGGCCAGCATGATGTCATGGAACACTGTTTCCTCCCCACCAAAACAGTACTTATATACCTAGTTGCATTTGCATGCTTTCAAACTAGGCAGGAGCTAGGCAAAGACAGGCAATCACACCTGTCACATGATGCTGTCAGGTCTTGAACCCAGGCTGTCGGCTTCCCAACCAAAAAGTCTAGCATCTTAACCACTGAGCCATTGCGCTACCTTTTTGGTGAATAGAGTAACCCATATCCAGTTAAAGAAGACTTTTATGGATAGAACCTAAGCACATGCTGATTTAATAGGGGATATAATTAATATATTAAATACATTAATAAGAAATTGCGTGGTTCCTTTCCCACATTCCCACTCTCATCTCATAATGAATTATTCAAAATAGTGCCTATAAAGTCTCTGAAAAATAATGGTAGTAAGAAAAAGAAATGATATGACCAGATGTTTCCATTAAGTCCACATGTATCAAACTATTGGTATGAATAATTTTATTATTTTTCAATAGGCTGAGAAAGAATTAATAGTATGTGTAGCCTACTTCTTTTTTGCGCAGGCTAAGGAATAAGCTGACTGATTTTCAGTGGGATAGCTCAATCTGATTAACACCTTTTGCACTCTTCTGTTGGTTGGCAAGAGAAGGAACTGACTGGTTGATGCTGTTTCTTGTTCTCATCAGCGTTGTCAGAGGTGAAGGGGCATGTATGACTAGTTTGCAAATGCTTTGAAGTAATAAGGGAATGGAAACAGTACCATGTAGAAGTGTCCTAATTATCCAGGATGTGTTCTCCTCTTAAAGATTATTCTTTTAATTATGAACCATTGAAGATATAAATAGTAATTACAGAAATGAGTAAACACTACTGACTAGTTGCTAAAAAAGCATTTCTACAAGTTCTTACCTAGACAGTATCCTTGTATTTTTAAAGATTCTGATATTGGAAGCATTTCATAGATTTGCTTCAGCAACTTTAACAACAGCTGCATAAGATCAGTATTACTCCGTAGCAGATATAAGTTGGAAGGATGCAGTTAGTGACTAGTTAGATTTGAATCTGACAAAAATGCTATGAACTAAGTCACATTCTCCCAGTTATGTATGCATGCTTCTATACCCCAAAATTAACATGCTTACCTTCCAAACATGTTTCTAGCAAGAGAATGTATGAAGCATTTTGAGTACAAAAAAGTGCCTTAAGAATCCTAAGTGTTATGATATGCAAGTTTTGAACTGGAGGTTTCCAATTCATGTTCTTGGCTTTACCATATGTGTGCCGATAAATTTACATCACAAAGATAACTACAGCTGAGGTCTCATATATTTTGAATCCTAGCACCATGATGCTATGGCACTGTGGCACGTGGAGCCATATTGGTGGGCACGCGAGCTCAGCTCCAGCACGCATGCATGTGCTAGCCAGCTGATTTTTGGGCCTTCTGGGCCCACCGGAAGTCAGGAAACACGTTGTTTCCAGTCTCCAGAGAGCCTCCAGGGGGATGAGGAAGGCCGTTTTTGCCCTCCTCAGGCTCCTAGAAAGGCTATGGAGCCTGGGGAGAGTGAAAAACGGGCCTACCGGGCCCACTGCCATAAGCAGGGGTCACGTGGGCGGGTCACGCACGCATGCATGGGGGAAGGACACATAGAATTATGGGTGTGGACATGCATACGCATGACTCCCCCACGCTCCCCACGCTTTTGGCACACAATGGCAAAAAGGTTAGCCATCACTGTCCTAGCAATTTGACTATTTTAAATATATGATTGTTCTGCTTTCCCCTGCCATATTTTTAGCAGTCTAACATCCTAAATTCATTTATTTCTGGCAAGAGAGCACTGAATCCATGTAATGTTTAATTACTTATAAATGTGCAAGCAAAAGATGTATCCTAAAATAGCACAATTGCAGGATATACCTACAGGGAATGATCTAACCTAGTTTCAAGTGTTCATTCAAACTGCCTCTCAAAAACATTTTGCCAATCAAATCAGAGAAAAGTTCTTATTTATGCCAATCAAGATAACTTGAAACATTAATAGATTTGGAAACATTGAAAGTACAAAATGCTGTTACTGCAGAACTACATAAATGGGAATAAAATAATAAGTCAATCTTATTTGGAATCAACTTAAAAGACATGAAAAATGTGTCCAACCTTTCAAGACCCACCTGCTTCTAAGAAGGTCTGTGGGGTCACTTGCTCCTTTTACTCCAAAAGACTCAGCAATTATACTAGCATCTAGAGATGGATTAAAATGATGTCAGAACAATAGTATTTCTATCTACATTGGAAATTGGGTAGAATCTTTAAATAGTTTGTGGTTCATTTAGAAGCTTTGCAAAGGGCTTCTAGTGTCTTCAAAAAGTACTTTTAAAAGAAAAGCTACTATTCAGAGAAAGACTCTGAATAAATTGTTTAAGATCCTTAAACAGATAAGGTCTTTATGTTGCATCCATCCTATAGAAATCTACTGGAAGTACAAACCAGATTAGTTTATCTTGGTAATCTTGTGTTTCCACCTTTTATTCTTGATTTTCCCATCCCCACCCCAGGAAAGGATGACAGTGTTGCATTATATCTCTTGACTTATAGGGCTAAGAGTCATTACCTAAAAGCTCTTGTATATTTTAATAAGACAAAAGTGATATTTTGGAACATTTTAAAGACTCATTTATTCCACCCTTATACTTATGTTCATTCCTATTCAATTTTACTATCAACTATGAGTAAACATTAAAGATCATCATAATTTGTACTTTTTTCCCAAGATACATTTCAGTTGAAAAATACAAGTTTCATAGTTGATTAAAATAGGTATATTAAGGTTTATGCCATTATTATTTTTGAGTATTAAATGAAACATTTCAGACACTGAATACTTATTTTATATTCGGTCTTATTCTTATAAGTTTAAAAGAGTATATTGGGTTTTCTTGGTTCTTCATTTATCTTCTTTTGCCAACCTTCCTGCTTTGCCAACCTTCATAGAATTGCTCAGCCCTGTTTTTCTTTCCACCAACCTCATGTTTTCAAAATTGAAGATTAGCTATATTTTCTTTGTGATAGAATCTATCACAATAATAGGTAATAGATACATGCACAAGATTAAAGAGGCTTTTTCATTGTCTCCCTCTAATTGATATATGCCAGCAATGCCCCTCTATATTTTATGTAAAACAAACGGTGCATACTTTATGCAAAAGATTAACACAAATTTGTCATCAGGTCTCAGAACAAAGACAAAGTAATATAGTAATATAGTACTAAAGTAATATAGCATTTATACCTCCCTGTTTCAGATCTTAAAGTAACCATTTTATGGGGAAAAAAAAAAGACTTTAGTACCATCGAGTGGGAAGTTGCTGAACTTAAATACATCAAAATGTTTCATTCAAGCACTATGATGCTTTAACACATTACATTTTTTTTTATTGAGAAGGTACTTGTAATTCATCTCACTTGTAACCCATACCTACATAACCAACTTGTCTTCCCCTCCCCCCCTCCCCTCCCTTTGCACTTCACTCCAGTTTAAATCCTCCATCAATCTAGCCATTCCATGCAACCAAGGAATTGCTGTTCACAAAAGCTTGTGACTTCTAATACAATTTGGAAAGATGCTACCAAAACCTTAATGGATTTTTGCCACCATAAAGTTATACAACTGTCCTACAGTGTGTGTTATTTTCAGCATACCTCGTTCATTCATTTTGAATGGCTGTCCATCTCAAATTCATGATTCTGGGCAACTAATATTATTTAAAATATCTAAAAACCATGTAGCAAAACTATAACATATATAGCAGCTCAGAAAAACCAAACAACATAACCATGATATGGGTTTATTCACATATTTGGGGATTGATGACAAAAACCAGATTTTCAAGACCTTAAAAAAAACAAACAGTATTGTGGTAAGTCTGATTTCCAGAGGGCAGATGACACAATCAAAAAGCCTCTCTTCTAGGATTCTGCCACATGATACTCCCTGATCAACAGGATCTGGAGCAAGCCTGACCTGTTGGATCTAACATAGCACGCAGATACTGTACAATCATAGGCAGATGGTCCCACAAATAAATCTTGTAGGGCTTTAAAGGCAACAATTAGCACCTTGATTGAATTTGGAAGCATGCTGGGGACCAATGCAGTTCATGAAATCCAGGCTAAAAATTGTGTGTGTGTGTTGAATTGAAATTTATAGGACTAATATGGGTAATGAACACCTACATAATGTACTGGGATTAGGAAGGAGATGCTCCGAAGTTTCTGAAGTGGTGGTTAACTGCAAAATATTTGGCAATTTCAACTTTTAGAGAAGTTCACACTTCTATTTTGTTTCCATTCTCTGTGATCTCCCTGATGAGACTGGTCAAGCAGCTTAATCAACAATTCTTTGGAAAACAACTATGCCTTGATTTTCTTGCTTGGCCAGAGACTGTCTTGTCTATATGCTCTACTCCCACTCACTAGTCCCTGCTATAATCTTGGTTATACTATACTAGTATTGCCTTAAAAGTAACTATTTTTTTTTTGAAAGAAATCTATTACTACTGTATTTTGTTTTGCCTAACCTGTACATAAAATTGTGACACAATATTTTTGTTTGAAAACAAACCTGTTTGCGTCCTGTTTTATTGTAATTTGGATTTAGTTTGGTAAAAGTCTACTAGAGCAAACTACTACGTTATGGCAGTAAGTAGGACTTGAGAACAACAGAAGTTCAGGATGGAGGAGCCCCGCTCGTAAACACAATCAACCCCTCCCTCCATATGCCTCCTATGCAAAAACACGTCTGGAGTACCTGCTGAGCGATTTATCTCCCGTACTTGAGTATCTCTTGCTCGCTGAGGTGCCGCGAAAGTAACCTTTTCAAAAAAAAAAAAAAAGAGACGAGCCACCCCATTCGATAGTTTTAAAAAGAAACGGGGTGTGTCCATCCTCCCTTCTCCAATGGGCTCTTCTTGCTAAACCCCTCCTCTGTCATAAAGTGCCTCTGGGAAGGGGGAAAGGCCGAGTAGATTTGGGAGTTTCTGCGTGTGGCTGGAAACGCGATGGAGTCTTGGAGAGCTGTAGGAGGAGGCGCTCGCCAGGCCAGCAAGAGGCCTGGATCCAGTAGGATCCCATGCAGGTAAGGCGTTTTTGGAGAGAGCGATCTTGAACGCCGTCCTGTCCTTCTCGGCTAGATCGCCTGCAAAGAGGGGCAGTGGGGGGGGGGGTCTCGTGCAATGCGCGCTCTAGCGAAGTAGCGCTTTGCACTTTTCTAGTCTGGCTTAGCGGGCAACCTTTGCGCAGGCCAGAGAGATTGAGGTTTAGGCGCTATTAAGGAACCGGCTGGTGTGTATTGAAAATGACTCCGCAACACTCTTGCTGTATTGTATCGGGCCCGGCCGCTGAGCGATTCCTTCGCCAGCTGGAAGCAAACTTTTTCTCGCTTTTGTTTCTGCTTGCATCATTTCCCGCCGAGCGTCGCGCCCGGGGTGGCGTGCGCGCGCAGGCTGCGGTTCCACCGGGTTTGCTTCTACGGCCTGCCCGATTCTGTTTGCAGAGGCGGCGTGAGAAAGTGGGGAATGCCTTGCTGCTTTCTTATGATCTCTGACATGAAGTTATTTTTTTTCAAAGGCGCGGCCTTATTTTTTAAAAACGAGGTCCCGAAGTGTATAAAGAGACGCCTTTTTGGTTCTAGGAAGCACCCACACGAAAATGGAGGGCCTCTTCCTGTATTCCTTGTACTTGAAATGGAAAGCGTACATGGTAGCTAAAGCCACACTTGGTTTTAACTAAAAGTTAGGCGGGAATCGCCCATTTTTATGGGTGCATATGTAGGTGGCTGCTGTGTTAGTAACTTGTTAGTGATAGTGGCCTCTTAGCCTGGAGAGTTTGAGAAATACCAGCTAGGCTTGCAGTGGCGGATTAAGGCTCCCTGATGTCCTAAACACAAGATGTTTTAGTTTAGTTTTATTTTATTTTTTTACAAATCTTCATTGGTTTTTTATTTTCTTTCTCAACTTTGTGGTGCCCCCTTTGGGCCTGGTGCCCTAAGCACGTGCTTAGTCTGCTTACCACTATAGGCTTGCCAGTATTTACTCACCCTACCCCCACGGAACAGCAGGAACAAAGAGTTGGAATTGCACTCAACTGCCAAACAACGCCCACTGCTCCTCCTTACATTACCTCGGATCAGCATTCCTACCGATTGGTGAATTTAGTTTCTAGGGATAAGCAAGTTCTTAAAAGGGGAAAGTATCGTAGCTCTTTGCTAGATAATGAAAATTCTTCAAAACCACCACGTACTGATTTCAGTTACAACCACCTATTTTCAATACATATTAGCATTAACTACGAACAAAAAAGTGTCTGTTTACAGAATAACTTTCCCCAATGTGGGCTTCCTTTAAAGGAACTGAACTTCAGCTCTCATAATTCTTAGCCTAGAGGAAGTAGGGGTGGGGGAAACCACTATTGTTATTCATGTTGGGCATTGTTAATAACAATTGGTTAATTTACAAACGTAAGGCCTGCAATTATATGTGGTATCTTTGTGTAAAGTTCACTGTGCCCATCATGGTGAGCATCATGATCATGTTGCTTTTGATATCTGATTTTGTCTCGAACGGTTTTTGTTTTTTTTAAAACTTGCTATCACTGTCTTTCATTGCTCCCCCCACACAAACACACTTTTTTTTCCTAGGACAATACAGCAGCCAAGTTTGGGAAAGCCTTTTCAGCCTTACAGATCAAATGGGAACAGTTTCCCCTTTGCTTTTGCCAATTTCATTAGAACACAGAGAAGAGATGAGAGTAATTAAGATGGTTGTGTAATATATTAAAAAGCAGGGATAGTTTGGTCCAGATGCTGCAAGCTGTTTTTAGAGCTTGTTGAGGCCCCTTTCCCAAATCTGTATCCTGAACCCTAAAGGACTCTTGTCCTAATTCAGCCAATAAAAAGGCATGGAAAAAATTTGTAAACCATTTTGAGTGCTATATAAACATGTGGAATATAAATTTAATAGCTAAATACTGTTCAACAAAAGCATTTAGGAAGATTTTTGTGTGCAAAGATACACATTTCAGAGATAACCAAATAACTGGTGGAATGAGAATTTGAAATTAAGTTATATATTTGCTTAACTGCATGGTCACCATCTCTAGATTCAAACAAGACTGACAATGGGATTAGGGCCCAAAACTCTGCAGATGGAGGTTTCTGTTCCTTGACCTCTCCTGTAGTCACCCACTTTTCTATGCCTTTTCCCCATTCAAATAATGACAAGAAGTGATACATTTTCTTCCTATATTTGATCCTCTACCAGAATGTCAGTGCTTGGAATTATAGAAATGGAAGAAACCTGAATTCTGTCATTTGGTTTATGTGCAGGAAACAAAAACATCTCTGGCAAATATATGCCCACACTTTGAAGAAATGCCAGCCAGGCGAATACCACATCTTATTGTAATCAACTTTACCATGGAACTGTTCCTTCTATTAGGAAGCTTTTCAAAGCATTCTGTCAGCCCCTCCATATAAACTAGACAGAAAACGCAACCATATGAACTAATTCTACTTCATTGTAAAGCTAAATTAACAGAACCTTGCAAGTTTGAAAGTATAAATCTCCCACCATTTTTTAGCCTGATTAATTTAGACAGATATTTCCTAAATTCTTTTTCAGACTGATAAGCAGCTGTGGGCATTTCCCTCCTTTTTATTGTTTCCTAAGCAGTATACCTTCCCCTTTCAAGGTCATTCCACATAGCAGTAAATATTCAAACAGAATCTAGCTTCCTGTAATTGAATACCTTTCAGATGTCAGAAAATAATTAGGGATTTTGTTGTTTGTGACACTCTTTAGTGTGCGTTGCTCTTTATAATGAAGTTTCTGGATTGGATATCACAAAACCATCAAATACTTTCAAACATATATACATAATTAAAAATAAAAATTTAGATTACGCAATTGGCATTTTTGTTATAGTAAGGCCAAATACTTATTAGAATATTGTTGCTTTAGCCTGCCATTTCCTTGTTTGTGATAAGCTTTTAGTTTACTTGATAGTTGAGTATTCAAATATATTTTTGGTGCAGTAATTTTGGTTCTGAACCAGCAAATCCATATATGTTAAAATATTACGTCTTTCATCTCGGATACTAATTTTCTTTCAACACACTCTTAAGAATTAGAGTGAGTGGCTTTGCTGTGTTTATCAAGTCTATTAAATATAAATAAAGCAATATCCTTTGAATGAATGCTTTTGTGAAATCATCTGTTGGCAGCCAAAAGATGGGAACAGGTCTTCCTGTAAAAGTTTGACCTTGCTGGCTTTCTTGGAACATGAGCTTAAAAATGGCATGTTCCCATATCCTTTTTAAAATTCCAAGTGTAACATTGAAGAATGCTTCATAGGCCTATATTTGGGTAATGGAATCTGGTTTAATCAGGAATTTTATTTATTCTCTACTTATCAGATAATATTCTCCTTGTATTGTCTTTCACTTCATTTTTTTTTCTGTTTTCATTTTACAAACTATTAGAGATGGTGTTTGTGGTAAGAATTACAGATAACCCAAAATGGAGTAAAGGGTTTCTCTCCTCCCTCTGTCCTTCCTAGACTTCTAGTTAATGGAAAGTGGAGGGGAAACAAGACTAAGGTGTGATCTGCAGCAAATTGGAAACTTTTTGTCTTTTCTCCACTTCTTACTGAATGAACCAGTGGTGGGATTCAAATTTTTTTACTACCAGTTCTGCGAGTGTGGCTTGGTGGGTGTGGCAGGAGAAGGATACTGTGAAATCACCATTCCCTCCCCACTCCAGGGGAAGGTTACTGCAAAATCCCCATTTCCTCCTGATCAGCTGGGAGGCAGAGAATAGATGGGGGCAGGGCCAGTCAGAGGTGGTATTTACCGGTTCTCCAAACTACTCAAAATTTCCGCTACCAGTTCTCCAGAACTGGTCAGAACCTGCTGAATACCACCTCTGGAATGAACCATATGTGAATGATGCACATTCATGCCTGACAAAACGTGAGTTGATAGCTATCAGACGTCTGATTTAAATGGGTAGCAATGGGATAAGGATAATTATCCATACTGCTATTATTAAATGCTGGTTGTAATATTTTTACTAAGATACTGGCATCCAGATGGCCCTCTTAAGAATTGAATTCTGATTCACATTTTCTTATTATTCTGCATCTAGGAACTTCGCTCGTGGAGCATGTAGATGGGGTCAGAACTGTCGATTTTCCCATGATAGGAAATCTACCCAGATCTGCAGGTATTTCCAGAATGGATTCTGTTGCTATGGAGACTGTTGCAGGTAAATATTTTTTATATATTAATGGTGTGGAGGATGAAAAAAGAAATTTGTTTTAAACTTAGAACAAACCACCAGGTTTGTTCTGCAAATTCTGCCAAATCCTCCTGGGGCAGCTCTAGTTCACCAGGACTGAAATCTGATTCCTTTGGTTTTCCATGTTTTGATCAAAACAAAACCCAGGGAGAACATGTAGAGCAAGGCTGATATGTGTTACTGTCTTCTCTTTTCCTCATATTAGCTCCCTGCATTCATATCCTTAGCTTTCCACCATCAATCTTCACTGCAGGTACTCTATCTTTCCACCCCTTGCCTTTTCTCCTTGTATTTCTCTGCATCTTACTTTCATCCATGTTTCAGAATACTTTCTCAATTTCTTTTAATTAACAGAACTCAAAAAGGCTTGGCCTATGTTCCACATCAGCCACAAACTTTTAAAATAGTCTTCTAACCCTTGATGCCTTCTAGATGCTTAGATTACTGCTCCCAGCTGACAATGAAATCTATAGAAATATCCTCCAATTTAGCCCTCAGTAAATCTCCAGGCATGTCAATTCTAGATAGGAAATAAAAGATTTGCAAAGCATTAGTACAATTTGCTTAGTGCCATACACGAGAAGGACAGAAGAACAAGTCTTCTCTTGGAAATGTATTCAATATCTGTTAGATCTGTGATACAAGTTCTGATGTAGCATCCAGCTTTTGGTTTTGCTTTTAGTGAACTATTTCAGTTTAGGTTAACTTTCCCAGGATTTTACAATGTTACTGGTTTGAATTTTTCTCTGTTGGTTAATGCTTGACATAGTGAACATTTTTAGATGTTGCATAGCAGCAGGAAATTGATTTTAAATACTTTACTTTAGAAAATTTGAGGGTGGGGATGGGGTAGAGGAAGGTTTCATATTACTTCATATTGCAGATAGTGGGTTAAGATTATAATGGCTTGAAAGTCAAAATAGAAACTTCAGACTTTCCAGTCAACATATTATGGTTTAGCAATCAGATTTTCTTCTGGCTACTTATATTCGGAGTTACAGGGCCTGATTCACATATCATGCTAAGCCTTGCTTTATTGAGCAAGCTAGAATGACCTACTTTGCAGATACTACTAAGCCATGGTTGGCTGACACATCTTGTTAAGTACAAATCATACCTAGCTGATTTTAAAGTATGAATGTGGCTTTTGTAGTCCTTTTTCAAAATGTATGTTAAACATATATGCTAAAGTATTAAAATGAAATGGAAATGGTACTTGGAATTCCTATTCTGATTTACCTTGTGAATTAGGCAAACGAACAGTCTCTTTAAAAGGAGTTGTTGTCTTATACATAGGGTTAGCATATCATTTATCCCTTGTGCTGAATATTTTGATTTTCAGAGGGCACAGGGTTAGATCCCAATTGTCCAATCCATGCATGGAAACTATGAATTCACAGAAGGCACGAGGATCCAATAGGGGTAAAAAGAGAGAGTAGAAAAGCCCCTTTCAAGTTTGTGTTTCTTCCCCTTCTATCATCTTTGTTGCTCCTTTAGCTTTCCTAGTACTCTGAGCAACTTTGAGAAAGCACTGACCCCTTCTCTAGCAGGAGTATTTCTAAGTACCATTTGGCAATCATTTTGTAGAGCTATAATGATTCCTGCCTGGTTGGTTATGAAAATGCAGTTTCATTTCCTTGAGAGTAAGACAATTTGGACACTATTTAGCATATGATAACATGGCAGAGGAGAAGTAAACATACACACACACACTTCACATAATTATATACAAAATGTATATGGGGCATGGCAATGGCCTCATAATTGGATGTCCAATTCAGCTGTCCAGGCGATCGCCTCTGGCATCTTTGTGCAGATCTTCTGGGGAACCAGAGAATGCACATCATGGGCAATCTTGCACATGTTTAATGTTCAAGACCTAAAATGGACACCTAACATCAAAAACGTCATCAAAAAAGCACAACAAAGAATGTTCTTTCTGCACCAACTCAGGAAGCTCAAACTGCCCAAGGAGCTGCTGATACAGTTCTACAGAGGAATTATTGAGTCTGTCATCTGCAACCCAACAAGACAGATACAGACTTCAGAGAATAATTAGAACTGCAAAAAAACCCCCGATTACTACCAACCTGCCTTCCATTGAGGACCTGTATGCTGCACAAGTCAAAAAGAGGGCTGTGAAAATATTTACAGACCCCTCACATCCTGGACATAAATTGTTTCAACTCCTACCTTCAAAACGAAGCTATAGAGCACTGCACACCAGAACAACTAGACACACGAACAGTTTTTTCCCGAACACCATCACTCTGCTAAACAAATAATTCCCTCAACACTGTCAAACTATTCACTAAGTCTGCATTACTATTACTATTAATCTTCTCATTGTTCCTATCATCCATCTCCCACTTACGACTATGACTGTAACTTGTTGCTGTATCCTTACTATTTATATTTATTGTTTCCTAGTATGATTCGATTGCTTATTTGTACCCTATGACTATCATTAAGTGTTGTACCTTATGATTCTTGACGAATGTATCTTTTCTTTTTATGTACACTGAGAGCATATGCACCAAAGACAAATTCCTTGTGTGTCCAATCACACTTGGCCAATAATGAATTATATTCTATTAATAGTTTGCATATCAGCACCATAATTGCAGCAAGGAGAATTTGGAAGTTATAGTGCAAGGAGAGATATGTTTGATATATGCTCTCAGTGAAATACTACTGTCACTCCACCTCACTTGCTATTCAATATTTCATTAGCTACCAGCATATCTCAGAAGCTCCAGCCTTCAGCACGTGTGGTACAGAGTCTGCCTACCATGGACTGGAAGAAACTGGATTGTTGAGAAACCATCAAAGGTCGGAGCCAGCCATCTTGCCAGAGGCTTCAGTCAGGAGCCGGAGAGGGTCTTGGCATGAGTCTGAGCCAACAGTCTTGGGCATGGGGCAGCTGCAAAGAAACTTTGAAAGCATGAGCATGTCATTTGATGAGGAAGATGAAGACAAGGAAAAAGCCTTTATCCCTAAGCGTCCACCAAACTGGGCTCTCAGCAAAGAATTTGTCCCTAGGGAGACCAGTGCAGGTAGGCTTCCAGCAGAACTATTATATATTTTATTGGAGTGTTCACAGAAGACATCGAATTCCAGTACGAATTTACAGCTTAGCATGTGTAAAAGCATAGTACTTGCGAGATGTTGCATATCTTGGGCTCATCATTTCAGATGATCTTGTGATTCTCTCTGCATTTTCTAGCTCTTTATTATTTGACTGCTAATATACACTTTTCTCTGTCCAAGTATATTCTCAATATCATCATTTCTAACTTGGAGATTCCATTGTTTATGGTCCACTTGAGCCATGAAAGCAGTTCATAGCCATCTTTTGTTTGAAGATCTTCAAACAACCAAAGTTACATGGAAACTACTTTTCTGAGTGACTCTTTTGCTGCAAGAGTCCATTTAAGTGACCACATAATTGGATAACTTTAACAAAGACTTAATCTGCATATCCAGCTTAATATGCATATCCAGCTCTATATTTTGCATTAAAGTAAAAGAGTTAAAGGCCAAGAACTCATATAAACCACCCATCTGAATGGCCATTTAGTCTTTCCACCATCAACATTGTGCAAAAAGTTCTTTTGCTCTTCCTGCTACTTCTTAAAGTCGGTAAGACTTGGGGATGTGATTTTTGTGATTTAGACTCATTTGTAATATTACATAGAATGAGTTAATGCGAAGAGGTTTTCCTGACTTGCTATATTCCTTCTGCGTAGTTTCTAGCTCCCAAGAACTGAAAATTGGTACCACATCCCTGAAGTCAGAAAATGAATCCGCCAAGGAGACTGCTTCTGCTTCTCTCCCCTCAGAAGAGTCAAAGGTAGGTGGGAGAGCTGAAGATCAAGAGAATAGATACTATCATCTAAAAGCATGCTGTTTTTTTTTGAGTATCCTAGGGCAACAATTTTGTTACATATTGGTTGCATATGGAATATATAGACTATTATATTGGGGGGACCAAATGAAGAGCTATTGCTCCCAAGTATTGAGATCTTAAAACATACTTCTTTGACAATTCATTCTAGAGTGCACTGTGTTAATGGGAATAATGTCTCTAGAAATCACTGAACTGAACTTCTTAGCCAGCATGACTGGTGGCTGGAATTAGTATCAATTGTAGAATATCTGCAGGAACCAGTCTTGCCTCACACACACATCCTGTTCCTCTCCTTCAGTCTGCATTTGCCTAAAAACAAGTTCTACAGGCTATGAACAAGTTGCATTAGGCAATCTTAAGAAAGGGAGAAAAACGGAATGGGTAAAGAATAGATCAAAGTGAGGGAAAGAAATAACAATTAAAAAAAAACAAAAACAAATAATGCAGTACAAACTATCTTGGGTTTTTTTTTTTACAATTATTCCACATTTCTTTGTGTTAAAGTACATTTATTAAAACAAAGCCTGATTGTGGACTTCCCCTACCCTTATAACTTTTGGTTGGAGTTCATTGAAAATTGCAACAATACAATGAGGGGCAACAGTTTGCAGAAAAAAAGTCATCCTATTGAAGGCTACTGTTCTCTTGTGGTTGCTACTAAATCCCTGGGCATTTAAATATTAACATCTAACTATTTATATAAACTTTGTCTAATCTTGTCCCGATGGTGCTTTTTCAAGAGGCAACTGGACTATCTGGACTTTCTTCTCATCCAAGAAACTTCTTCAGCTCTGACTGGATGGTGGGGAATGAACTGTTGAAAGGACTGTGTGGTAGACGGGAGATAGATGATGTCGTATCCCTCCCCCTGTGTTGAGAGAGGGCTGTTCAATTTTGACATAGATAGCCTCAACACAGGGGGAGGAATACAACATCCAGTCTATCATACAGTTCTTTCAACAGTTCAAAGAAGGCTTCACACCCATTTGCACTACTTAGGTGACCACACAGATAAACCTCCAGGTGGCCTCAACTACTCTCTAAAAGAATGCAAATGACCAGCTGTCTGGATGAGAAGTGGAATGTCTTCAAAGAAAAACCAGAAAGTCCAGTTGCCTCTTGAAAAAAGTACCTTTGGGATAACTATGACCTGGATGACTGAGAATCTCCATAGATACTCTGCCTAATCTGTTTGAAGAAGCTTTCTTTCTGTGGGCCAGGCAGAACTGCTAGTTAAGATGAGGTATGACTGTATGAGTTTTGCCCCAATCATTCTCCTACGACTCATAATTTTTCTTTTATCTAAAGCTCCAATAAATAGATTATATAGAAAAATGTTCTAAGTTTAAACTTGTGAAAAAGCAATACAAAAAAAAAAGGATCGATCTGTTTGGTCTTATTTTGTTCTTAAATGTCCTGATGATCTTTTTTAGGCAGCTGGTAGTTCAGAAGCAGCAACAGAAGCTGCAGTGGAACAGAGCAAGGATGTGGTATGTGGTATCTGCATGGACAAAATATCTCAGAAAATCTTACCCGAGGAACGTCTGTTTGGCATTCTTCCCAACTGTACCCATGCTTATTGTGTGGGCTGCATCAGGAAGTGGCGGAAAAGCCGAGACTTTCACAGTGCAGTGATAAAGTAAGCTTTGCATAGTAATTTCAGGTCTTACATAAATGGAATTTATATGTAGGTTAATATCTATTCTGTTGCCTGGCCAGTGCTATGTACCGTCTAAGCTTGCATTTCCATTGTCTATCATTCATGGTACATTCCTTTTCCTACCGCACTGAGTGACTTGGAAGAAAAGAGGGATGCACAGGAATTTTGAAATGCCATCATGCTATACACTGGCAAAATAAAACCACAACAGCCCAGAAACAAGCGCTAAAAAGAAAAGGAGATGCTGGACTCTGCAGTGCTTTCCTTAAGTTTTATGGGATGCAGTACTGTATCCCCTCCTCAAGAAGCCCTCTCTGGATCCGGCTGTTTTGGCTAACTATCGTCCAGTCTCCAACCTTCGCTTCGTTGCGAAGGTTGTTGAGAGTGTGGTGGCGCAACAGCTTCCCCGGTACCTGGATGAAACTGTCTATCTAGACCCGCTCCAGTCCGGCTTCCGGCCTGGGCACAGCACGGAAACGGCATTGGTCGCATTGGTGGATGATCTCTGGAGGGCCCGGGATAGGGGCTGCTCCTCTATCCTGGTCCTGTTAGACCTCTCAGCGGCTTTTGATACCATCGACCATGGTATCATGTTGCACCGGTTGGCGGGGTTGGGGGTGGGAGGCACCGTTCTGCGGTGGTTCTCCTCCTACCTCTCTGACCGGTCGCAATCTGTGTTGACAGGGGGGCAGCGGTCGACCCCGAGGCACCTTGCTTGTGGGGTGCCACAAGGGTCGGTCCTCTCGCCCCTTCTGTTCAACATTTATGTAAAGCCGCTGGGTGAGATCATCCGTGGCTTCGGGGTGGAGTTCCATCAGTACGCTGATGACACCCAGCTGTACATCTCCACCCCAGGCCACCCCAATGATGCCCTTGAAGTGATGTCCCAGTGCCTGGAGGCCGTGCGGGCCTGGATGGGGAGAAACAGGCTCCGACTCAACCCCTCCAAGACCGAGTGGCTGTGGCTTCCGGCGTCCCGATATAGCCAGCTGATGCCATCGCTGGCTATTGGGGGTGAATCACTCGCCCCCACGGAGAGGGCTCGTAACTTGGGCGTCCTCCTGGATGCACGGCTGTCTTTGGAAGATCATTTGATGGCCGTGGCCAGGGGGGCTTTCTATCAGGTTCGCCTGATACGCCAGTTGCGCCCCTTTCTAGATCGGGACTCCCTACGCACAGTCACTCAGGCACTCGTCATTTCCCGCCTGGACTACTGTAACGCTCTCTACATGGGGCTCCCCCTGGGGTGCACCCGGAGGCTCCAGCTGGTCCAGAACGCGGCCGCGCGGGGGATTATGGGGGCGACGAGGCGCTCCCATGTGACACCTCCTGCGCGAGCTGCACTGGCTCCCGGTGGTCTTCCGGGTGCGCTTCAAGGTGTTGGTGACCACCTTTAAAGCGCTCCATGGCTTAGGGCCGGGGTACTTACGAGACCGCCTTCTGCCACCAATAGCCTCCCACCGGCCAGTGCACTCACACAGAGTCGGCCTCCTCAGGGTGCCGTCCGCCAGATAATGTCGGCTGGCGACCCCCAGGGGGAGAGCCTTCTCTGTGGTGGCGCCCACCCTCTGGAACAACCTCCCCCCAGAGTTACGTACAATAACAGACCTCCGGATTTTTCGTCGGGCCCTGAAAACCCATTTATTTCAACTAGCGGGGCTGGCTTGAGTCAAATTTTAAACTGATTTTAAATTGGAATTGTTTTAATCACGGCCAAAAGATTTAATTATTTTAATCAGTTTTTAGATTTTGTATGTTTTGTATGTATGTCTTGTTTTTATTTTCGGCTGTTCACCGCCCTGAGTCCTATATTGGAGAAGGGCGGTATAGAAATTTAAACAAATAAATAAATAAATAAATATTCAGGAAGAAGAGTAAGTCCTCCATAAGAATGATGATGTTAGATGTAGACCTTATGATGCCCATGATATGCAAGGGCCTTATGGCCAGAGAGGCATAATACAAATCATCACTGTTTTTGGTCATAAAAACGTACGTATAATGTTGGTTCCACAAATTATATCTTGAATGTGTGAAAATAATGTATAGCATATGCCAGGAAGACTGAACTCTAATGACATGACGATAAATCATCAAACATGAGGATAAAATAATAATTCAATTCAATGCACCCTTCTCTGTGGGGGCACCCACCCTCTGGAATCAGCTCCCCCCAGAGATAAGGAGAATCCAAGACCTCAGTGCCTTCCGTCGCGCCCTTAAAACCCATTTATTTAAACAAGCCGGGCTGGCTTAAGATGAAATTTTTAACTGTTTTTAAATGTTTTAAACGTTTTTAATTGGTAAATGAGTTTTAATTGGGCCAAATTTATATATCTTTTAATTGTTTTTAATATTTGTTCTGCATGTTTTTTTAATCTGGCTGTACACCGCCCTGAGTCCTTAGGGAGAAGGGCGGTATAGAAATCCAATATAAAATAAAATAAAAATAAAATAAACAGCAAGTATAATTGTACTAGTTAGGGCAAACACTCAGAACCATCTTTGCCCAATCACATTAGCCCATCCCACTCAGTCAGGTAGGGAAGGTATGTTGTGGATCCTGTCAGTTAAAGAATTCCAACTGAAAGGGCCTGGGAAGAGAATCTCTGTAATTTCTCCTGCCTTTTTAAACATTCTTCCAACCACCCCAGAGGTGAAACAGAACAATACTTGGTTCTGTCATCTCAGTTGGGGCTCACAGAGGAGCATGCAGCTATGGGGCTGGTTAGTGCCCTGAAAGCCTCACCCTGCCTTTTAATTAACTTTCAATGTAAATATTACCATTGCCTCTTATTTTAAATTTTTGTATTCCAATTTTTATGTTTTTAACATTTTGCTTGCATGTCGCCCAGAATCTCCCTTGTGAGGGAGTTGGGGTTTTCCTAAATATTTTTATTTTTCATATTTCTGAATCGCCCATCTCGAAGATGGGCAGTGTACAATAAAATGTTAAAATATAAAACAGCATGTATCAAAGTTAAACATTTTGTATGCAACAGTGATTAACTACTATTAAAATTAGTTAAAAGGCAAAGGGAGGTCTACCAGGGGTCCATGGCTATGCGTTCCTCTGGGCTCCTCATGGGAGGCTGCACACAGCCATATTTTAACTCCTTTTCGAAAAGCCAGAAGAATGGGTGCCTGTTTCATCTCCAGAGGAAGAATATTCCACAGGGTGAGGGCAACGGTAGAGAAAGTTCTCTTCCTAGAGCCCGCCAATTGGAGTTCTTTAACTGACCGGTGAGATGGGATGGGATGAAGACAGTTCTATAGGTAAGCGGGCCCCATGCCATGTAGGACTTTTATAGGTCACAATCAACACCTTGAATTGGACCTGGAAGCAAACTGGTGTTAAGTATAGTTTGCAGAGTTGAGGTGTTGCATGCCCTTCTTTGGGTGCCTAAAATTGTCTGTATGGCTGCATTTTGTACCAGCTGAAGCTTCTGGATACTTTTTAAGGGCAGCCCCGTGTAGCCTGTGTTGCGATAGTCCAAACTGGAGATTACCAGGGTATGAGTGATTGAGCAGACAGCCCCCCTGTCCAGGAAAGGGAATAACTGGTGCACAACATGAAGCTGAGCAAAGGCCCTCCTAGCCACCCCTATACCTGCTCTTCAAGCAGGAACCATGAGTCCAGGAGGAGCCCCGGGTTATGCATTAGAGAATACAGGCTTGTCTAAAATCAAAGATGATGAACTCCTTGATAGAGAGGGCCCACCCATAGTGATCTTATCTGTTCGGCCCAAGTCTGTTGTTTTTCCAGGCTCCCACAGTTGTCTGGCACTGCAAAAGAACAACCATTGCATCACTCACTTAACCAGGGACTGAGATATATTGCATAATTGGATAACATCAGTGCACTGGTGATACCTCATCCCAGGATAAATAAATTTGCTGCTGCTTCACTGTTAAGGATAGCAATGCAAATTAAAATTCTGAAGACACCTGCTCTTGTTTAAATCTACATGGTTTTTAATACTTAAGATTGGATTACAATGACAGATGAATTGTCTACTGCATCTTTATCATTGTATTCAATTTCCAGAGGTTGCCCAGAGTGCAGAGTCACGTCAACTTACTTTATTCCCAATAAATACTGGGTTTCTGATACAGAAGAGAAGGAAAAACTGATTGAGAAGTTCAAGGCACGGACTAGGTAAGTAGTTATCTGTCTGATGAGTTACGTGATGTTGATGCTTGAGGTTCAGATAGTTGGAGGCCTTGTGATTTTGAGTTATTGTTTGGCTTTTTATTCCAGCTATCCTTACAATCTTTTATGCTGCTTTGATATCATGTTAATTTTGTTGTTGTTAGCTGTCTAGAGCAGTGATGGAGCACATATGACTGACTGGTCATTTAAAAGCTCAAGACATTGTGGCTTACCTTAGAAAAGTGAATTGGGATGGAGTTCCTCCTGAATTTCCCTAAAATGGGTACTATAGAGAAGGTTTCATGTACTATATATACATACATGTAACATTCCTGTCACTGTTAAAAAATGTTGCCTTATGGCAGTGACTCCAATCCTGCCTGTTGTCTTTCCTGAGAAGTGCAGTGATCTGTTGCAGTGATTAAGATGCTGGATTAGGTAGGAGCAGGAAAACCTGAGTTTTATTCTTGCTGTAGGCACAAAAGCCAATTGCATAACCTTGAGCCGATCACTCCCACTCGGCCTTGAAAAGAAAACAATGGCTAAATGCTTCCAAAAATGCTTAGAAAATTGCAGTGTATTTTTCCAGGAATCAGGTCTGGCTCGGTGAAAAAAAACTTTTCTTATACAAAAATTATTTAATTTTTTTAAAAACCCTAGGACAACACTCAGCTTCAAAAAACTGTGATTCAATTGTTAAGTTACTGGACTGGAATTGTAAAGACCCAGGGTCAAATTCAACTCAGCTCTGTAATCTTGTTAGATAATTTTGGGTCAATCACTATGATTTAAGTCACCCCTCTCACACAAGATGTACCAAAATCTTTGGTATTTGTATAAAATTGTGAGAGGAAGTGCTATGTAGAGAAAATATCATGCCTACATTTTCAATGCAGGTAGTCCTTGATTTACAACACAATTGAGCCCAGAATTTATGTTCTAAGTGAGAAATGTATAAAGTGAGTTTTGCCTCATTTTGCAACTTTTTTGCCACATTTGTTAAGTGAATCACTACAGTTGCTAAATTAGTAACATGGTTGTGAATTTGGCTTCCCCATAGACTTTTGCTTGTCAGAAGGTCTTGAAAGGGGATACTGTGCACATTGCATACTGTGATAATTAAGAAACCAGTTGCCAAGCAATTGAATTTTGATCATGTGATCATGGGGATGCTGCAACAGTCATAAGTGTGAAAAATGGTTATGTCACTTTTTTCAGCGCTGTTGTAAACTTCAAACAGTCACTAAAACAAACAGTTGTAAATCAAGGACTACCTGTATTCCCAGCTATCACATATTTGTAAGCTATAGCTTGTGGGAAGTCCAATTACAAATCTAATTCAATTCCTGAGCTCTTTGGCTTTTGACCTCCTGTTTTAATAATTGGGAAGAAATTGTTGATAGGATTATTTTGTAATTAAGAGTGTAACTCGGTGGTTTAGCTGATTATTTATTTATTTATTGGTGGGTTGGTTGGTTGGTTGGTTCGATTTATATGCCACCCTTCTTCGGACGCTTACAGGGCGGCTTACAATGCTTTTAAGCAATAGCCTTCATACTTTTGTATATATCTGCTTAGTAGGGCTTTCGCGCCCCCCCCAAGCGGTGTTCTTTTTTGACTTGCATTGTATTGCTTTTGTACCTTGTCTACAAAACATTAATGAAGGGAGACACCTGCTATTGTTCTAATAATTACTTCGTTTCTCTTAGCAAAATACGATGCAAATTCTTTGTCCGAAGCAATGGTCACTGTCCGTTTAAATCAGAATGCATCTACCTGCATGAACTTCCTGGTGGGCAGCTTCCTGCTGCAAGGCTGCGACAGAGGCCTAACCGTCGGAATCGGCCACACTTTGTAAGTCAAATTACTTTCATATGGTTGAGATAAAGTGAAACATTTCAGCTATTTGCTGAGCAACAACATATCCATTTCCGAGCTGATTCCAGGCAGTTCTGCTACACAGCCTAGCTCAGTGTGGTACTCTCATAATTCTGAATCTCATTTCAGGCTGGGAATTCTGGAAAATTCAAAGACATCAAGGTGGACAAGGATGCATCATGGAAATATCTTATTTTGACTTCCATAATGTTGCATTAAGCCTTGGGCCAATCTTTGTTACTCCACATATACATTTTGTTTTCCTAAAAGTTGCAGATGAAGTTGGTGCTACTTGAAAAGCATCATTGCCTTAATTTGTTTTTTAAAACTCTGCCAGTATTTTCAATCCTAAACCATTTTCTGGCAGACTGGCGGAGAGATTTTATATCAGTGTGTTATTTATTTTTTTTCTGTCATTTGTCTTCTGTATCACAGGTCTACAATCCATCTCCATCTGAGAGCTCTGATGATGATGATGATGAGGATGACGATGTGGATTTGTGCCTTATTCAGTGGGCTCTTACCTTTGCACTGTTGCACAAAGATACAAACTTTGACTTTTCAGACTATCTCTGGGATTCAAGTGATTCTTCTGATTAGATGATGATGTCCTCTTCAGAGGCCATGTGTAATTGGCTCCAGGAGCAGTGTTGATGAAATGTAAAGTGGTGCCTTGGAGGATGGGTGGGGGATGAAAGATGTCTTTAGTATAATAAGCTTAATGGCTTTTAGTTTTCTGTCGGATGTATTACAATATTTTTACTGTAACCCATAAACTGGGAGAACACAATGCAAGGATTCATTCTATATTGGGAAAGGCCTTCTAATCCACCAGGCAAGATATTCCTATCATCACTGTCAGCACACGATGTACATCTCACCAATTGCACTGCTGTTGCCCTAACCTAGCCTTGCCTTAATTGTTGCATTTTCTGCATTCCCTCCCACCCTTATAGCTGATCGCATATTGGATTCCCCAATGTGTCATATTACAACCTTACAAGTGTTTTATGGAAGGATGCTGGGATCTTCTGATTTTGCATGTATTCTGAAGAAGTCATGTTTTCTGAAGAAGTCACCTGTGGTCATGCTGCTGCTTATTTGTTTCCTCAGGAAAACTGGTTTGCTGAACAATGCTATTTACAGTAGGCAGTATCTGCAACTCACTATTGTATAGCAGTGCTGCTGGATGTCTCTATAGTAGGCCTAATTATGGGGAGTGGGGGGTGGGAGGGGCATGGGAGGAAGTATAAATCTTGAAATTTTAGTATTGGTGCAGTGATCAATTAGCACTGGAGGCTTATAATTATAGCTTAAACCCTTATAAAAGGGATTAGTAAGCCCCTACGTATTTTTTAATTCCAGAAATATTGAGATCATGAAATAAAAAGATAAATATGCAAACATTTGTTCTAGTGATTTTTTTATATCACATCAAATGTAGTCTACATCAAAGACCTGTTTTCAAGAAATACAAAACATTCTGTCTTTTAATGTCTCTCCCCCCACTTTGCTGTCTTGTCTTTTTTCTCAATACTAAAATACAGTACGCTGTGTTGAAGTGATGACAAAAAGTAATATTTCATAGTTCTAAAGAGCACTGAAAATGATTTGGAGGAAATGTACCACTTCATTAAAATAGTCTGATTTTTAGTCTGGCTTCCATCAGAACATGAAAAGGTAGTTGCTTTAAGGAGATGATTTACTAAAGGATAAGTAAAATGACTGAAAGCAACAGCAGCAGTTTTTTTCGGATTTGTAATGTAAAGCAGAAAGGTTCCTGTGTTTTAGGTCTCAAACTGTTCTTCCAAATCATTTTTAAAGCAAACAAAGCTAGCACAATTGGATATGTGTGCAAAAAACCCCACAGTTGAGTATAAAGATGCATTATTCAAAGCTCCTATGAAGTCTTCTGATTAAGGAGAATCTTGAGGTCATTCTTATAAGCTATATCGGAATATGTTCACTAGTGAAATACGTGCTATAACTCTTTCCCCATAGATTGTTGGGCAGCTTCAAAGAATGGTCTGTAATTTAATTTCTTAAATTGGGGGTTTAGTTTCTTCCATTTGATAGAGATACTGCTGCACATCATCTTTCCTTGAACCAATACAGTATGGCCTTAAATTATATTCTTCTAAAATGGAATTTCCAGTCCTCATTCTAGATTTTCAGTATGCACAATTCCCAGTAGTGTTTAAATTTGCTCACTACTGGCCTAGAGTGCTTGATAGATTGCCATCAAGTGATGTCTTTAAATAGAAGTTTCCAAATGTGGCAGTTTTAAGATGTGTTGTGCTCCCAGAATTCCCTAGTCAGATCTACACATGTTAAAGTTGCCACGTTTGAAAAATGCTTTTATAAGAAGAAATTTGGTGGAATTGTGTGTGTGTGTAAATACTTGTTCATGATTGCTTTTCCACTTGAATATGAAGAATTTTATGCCACATTATTTCAAAGATATTTAAAGGTTCCTTCTCAACATTCAAAAGTGCCCTTTCTTCATTTACTCCAAAGCAGTGTTTCTCGCCCTAGTAACTTGGAAGTATGGATTTCAACTCCTAGAATTTCCTGTCCAGGAATTCCTTTTTTTAAAATCTGGTTTTCCAATTTCCAATGGTTTTCTCTTAAAGAACACTTAAGAGAGTGCATTCCTACAATGGGACCTGGAAGTTGCTCGTCCCTAAAGCAGATATGGGGAACCATACCCATGCTATGACTTGTGGACTTCAACTCCCAGAATTCCTCAGCTCAAGGAATTCTGGGAGTTGAAGTCCACAAGTAAAAGAGCCATAGTTCCCCATCTGTTGTAAAAGAAGACATCCTCCCATTTCAGGGCTTCCTTCCACATCAAAACTATAGGTACATCCCTGACTCTGCCTCTTAAGATACCTTATTAAAGAGGAAGCTCGGATGTCCTTCCTGGTTGATAGCCACGCCGTACTTCTAAATGTAAAACTTCCCAGGTAATATTCAAACATGAGTTCCAAAAAGTAAGAGCGACCGCTTTTGTATCTCTCTCTGAAAGTCGATTTCTATCACTGAATGATATTAGCAACTTTTCACTTCCATGTCGAACAAAACTGGTTGGAAGCCCTAGCACAACTAGGGCTTAAAGCAAGGATCTCCAAACTTGGCGACTTTAAGACTTGTGGACTTCAACTCCCAGAGTACTACAGTGGTTTAAAGCACCCTGTTATTAACACAGCTGCCTGCAATTTACTGCTGGTTCGAATCTCTCCAAGGCTCAAGGTTGACTCAGCCTTCCATCCTTTCTAAGGTAGGTTAAATGAGGACCCAGTTTGTGGGGGCAATAAGCTGACTTTGTATAAATATACAAAAGAATGAAGGCTATTGCTTAACGCACTGTAAGCCGCCCTGAGTCTCCGGAGAAGGGCGGCATATAAATCAAATTAAAAAAAAAAAAAAATTCCCCAGCCCGTCAGCATGACGGGCTGGGGAATTCTGGGAGTTGAAGTCCACAAGTCTTAAAGTCGCCAAGTTTGGGGGCTCCTGGCTTAAAGCAATAGTGCCAAGGAACCCCTTAACTACATAGCCTAGCGCAGAGCATAACATAGTTTGTTAGTATATAAGCATATAACAGACTATACAGTATAAATTTGGCAAATTATGAACATAAAAACTACACGCCTACACTACGTGCCTTCGGAGCAGTTCCCTTCCTTACATATTGACTGATCTGGCGTGTACGCTAGAGGAAACTGAGATTCACTCTTCAAAAAAAAAGAAAAGAAACAAACTATGTTAACGAGATATAACTGAGTGGAAGGAAGCGTCCCTTTCTGCAACGGTAATTAAATGAGGAGGAAATCCGCTTTTATTTGGCTTTCTCTTCGAGAAGCAATAAATGTAGATCTCGGAAGTCTGGTTTCTGTTTGGGTGGGGAAGGGTGTACTCTGCACTTTTTATATCTCTGAGGACCTCGCTGCCCCGCCTGCCGCCAATCGCATTGGAGAGTCTCCCTTGCGGAACTGGAGCGCGGGAAGGAAGAAGACCAGGACTGAAGAGGCTTGCGGGGCCTGGGTGGAAGGTGACGGTGTGGCGGAGGGGAGGGAGGGGGACGGCCAATCAACGCTGCTGCTGCTAATTATTATTATGGATCGTCGCACATTCGGCCAGATGTTTAGCCTGGATTTGGCATATTTATTCACCTACTGAGACCTTCCCAAAGACCTGGGTTAGGGTCTAAACCAGGGGTCTCCAACCTTGGAACTTTAAGACTTGTGGACTTCAACTCCCAGAATTCCTCAGCCAGCTTTGCTGGCTGAGGAATTCTGGGAGTTGAAGTCCACAAGTCTTAAAGTTGCCAAGGTTGGAGACCCCTGATCTAAACAATGCTGAAGGTATCAATGCAGTGTGTAAGCCGCTTTAAGTAAAAACTTCCATTTGCAATTGACTGATGGTGATTTTTGTCAATGACAATGGTATTCAAGCAGATGTTTTGGGATTGCTCTCAGGGCACCTATCACTATTGGTATACTATTTTTTGCTTTCTTTTGCCACAGTTGTTCTACTTCTTTTTGCAGGTCTTTGTATTTTGTGATTTTTTTCCCCCAGGTCTTTCTCTTTTGCTGTCTCCAAGCATTGCCAAGGCCGTTTTCTAGACTTTTTTGTCTTTCTGATCAACAGTTGTTATGTTTGGGATGTTAGGTGGCTGGTTCTTTCTGTTTGTTATTATTATTACGACGATTGTCAGCCAGATTGTGATTGTGGTATGACTGAATTTGGCATTTTTATCCACCTATGTAGCCCTTCCCAAGGATCTGGGATAGACAGATGTTGTTGTTTGATGATGTTAAAGGTATCATTGCAAGATGTAAGCTGTTCCAAACAAAGCTGCCTTTGCAATTGACTCATGGTGATTTTGTCATGCCGATGGTGTTCAAGTGTGCTCCTGTTATTTTGGGATTGCATCCAAGCCGCCTATTACTATTGGTACTACTGTTGCTTTCTTTTGCTACAATCATTCTATTTCAATTTTCAGGTCTTTGTATTGTATTATCTTCTCCAATTCTTGGTCTTCAGTTCTGTCTCCAGGTACTGCCATGTCCACTATCCAAGACTTTTTTTTGTTGTCTTTCTTGTCAACATTTGTTAAGTCCGGGTGTTATGTGGCAGCTGCCTGTCTGTTTGAATTGTAAAGTCAAGAACAATTTAGCTTCTTCATTTGTCATGTGGTGTTTGTAGCCTGCCTGTGCAATCTTTTTGCAGCAGCTGATGGGGGATCCACTGTTTCTTCAGCTTCTTTGCAGAGGTGGCACTTGCTATCTGTTGCTGCCTTGTCAATTCCAGTTTTGTATGCATTTGTTCTTAAGGCTTATTATCATTATTGCAGAGGAATTCTGGTAGTGGAAATTCCATATCTTAAAGTTGAGGAACATTGGTATAAACTGTTCTGGTACATTTGATTTTTCTCAGGTGAATACATTGCTTATTTTTCTAGGCTTATTTCATGCCATTTGGGATGGCTTATGGACCTCAGAACAGTAATAAGATGGCAAATTATAACAACCTAAATATACTAACATAAATAACATAGAATAATCCCATCCAGAAAAGACTAAGGCAACTTCCAGATGTCTGCTGAAACAGGTCTTTATGGCTTTACAAAAGATGTGCAGAGTCAAGGCCAGTCTGATATGGGACTATTGCTCCAAAGAACTAAGAATGGCTAAGAATGTCCAGCTCTATTTTCCTTACTGATGATGTTCTATTAAGGGTTGGTGGAGACTTCTCTTCCAGATTCCATAATGTGGGCAGAAAAACAGAGGAAAGATATCCTGCAGATTTAAACTTTGGGGCAAAATAAACGTGCTTTGTATGAGAGTAGTTTCCTGGATACCTTTTCATAAAACTCACTACATTATTTCATACATATCTATTGGGTTCTAAAGATATCTTTGAAAATGCTATTGCTAACGGTGGTTTTGGTTTTCCAAATTTTGAATAGTACCATTATGCATTTGATAGTATTACATTGTAGGGATATTAGTGTAAATTATTCTTTCTGGGCCCATATTGAGTGTTCACATGTAACCCTGTTTTGGTTTAAACTATGATAAATACGCTATATCTCATGTTACTATGGTATCAGTTTGAAAACTGTGGTATAGGAGGTCCTTGCCTTAACAATAGTTCATTTAATGATCATTTGAAGTTACAACGGCACTGAAAAAAATGACTTATGACTATTTTTCACACTTAACAGCTGTTGCAGCATCCCCATGGTCACATCATCAAAATTCAGATGCTTGGCAACTGACTCATATTTACCATGTTTATAAACCAGTCATGTTTGGGACCTTTTTACAAACTGAATCAATGGGGAAGCCAAATTCACTTATCGACTGTTTTATTAACAACTGCAATGATTGTGTGTATTTTTTATAATTATATATACTTATATACTGTGTGTGTGTGTGTGTGTGTGTGTGTGTGTATGAATGAATTTGATCAACAGGTCTATCAACATGGCAAGCCCTATGGCTTCTTTGCTGCGGAGATTTGATAATTCTTCTCGACTTCTTCTCTGCACGCTGATGTCTGGACAGTGGGGGGCCATGGCTGCCTATCAAACCCTTCAACGGTCACTCTCTGTGGAAAAAGAAAGACAACATTTCAATTGGCAGATCTTCACTGAGAAACTATGCTCTCAAGAACCAGTGCTTGAAGAGCCCAACAAGACTCTTACCATGTGAGTTAGGCTTATTTGTCATTAGACAGGTGAGATAAGGGGCCTATTTAGGGATTCTGAAATGTAATTTTCCCCTCATGAAACAGAGAAGATGAACATTAATATGGTAGTTCTGTACCCCTTCCTCCTTTCTTGTCTTCCTCCCTTTCTAAAGAAAAGAAGTTCTTTTATAATGTGGAATCCTAGAAAAACCAGAATTCCACATTATAGATCCTAGATACATTTCAGTTTCCAATCTATGCTGCGTCTAAGTCACATGTGGGCTTGGTATGTAAGATTCTCAGTCTTTATACTTTGCAAGACATTTAACTAGTCAGCAATAGATAACTTGTGGCACTTCAAATACTGTTGAGTTATAATTTCCAGCAGCCCAAGACAATATAGCCAGTGATGAACGATGTAGTTTAATAGCAAGAGAGGGTCTGAAATGCAGTAGAGCGGGGGTCCCCAACCCCGGGTCCATGGAGTTGCACCAGTCTGCAGCATGCCAGAAATCAGGCCACACAAACAAGTGAAGCTCCATTCGACAGGATGCAGGCAGCACGTGATACCATGCCCCTTCCAATCTGCAGAAAAACCTCTCTCCATGGAACCAGTCCCTGGTGCCCAAAAAGTTAGGGGCCACTGCAGTAGAATGTTTACACCTATCAACAGCATAACATGGTGGACAAGGGCTGTTCAACATATGGCAGTAATAAAACTGTTTGTAAAGTTGGTGACAAACCCTAACAGTTCCTTAAAGCCTAGATTCTCATTAGGACAAATATATTGAAAGGAAAAAGAGTCAAATTACAGAATCTTGGAGACTGGATATGCGTGCTTTAGCACCATATTTATCAATAACTGGGTTAAGGCAGAACCGCTTTGATTCCTTTTTTTTACTGAGTAAATGTTATTTCATTTTTGCCTGGTGATAAAAAAGGTGAATACTAATATTTTATGACCTGCAATTTTTGCATTCCTAGCTTCAGAGAGAATTCCATTATAGTTGGTGTGGTGGTTAAATCTTGGGTTGGAATCAGGTACACCTAGTTTCAAATCTTCCCTCCATCTTGAAACTTATTACGCATTTTACTAACTCAATCATAATCTGTGATCCGATCAATCTGTACCTCACAGATTAGATGCTATAAAAATGAAATGAGAGGATACCTTGACTGCCTTGAGCTTCTAAAGGAAATAAGGGCTTTTGGGGTAATAATAAAATTAAAATATTGCCTGTAGGGTGCTGAACAGCGAATTGCACTATCTGTGTTACATAATGAACATTGTTGTCTTATAGAAATGTGTTTTTGTTTTCTATCTTCTATATCATTATTTCAGGAAACCAGTATTGATGCTGCTTCCAGTGTTGTGCCAAAGAAATCTCTTTTCCTTGTTGCTTATAGTACAATCTACAGTGCCAAAGGATTGCCTCAGCTGTCTGCTTCAGGCCTCTAGAAAAGATCCCAATCCAGATTTATGGGTACAGAGATTAAGGGACTTGCTACAAGCAGGGATGGAAGAGAGGAATTTTTTGACCCCTGTATTGCTATCCAGCACATGCCAACAGCAACTGAAACATTTATGCCAGAAGATTATGACCAATGCTAAGAGCAATGCTAATTTAGAAAGAAAATTAAACTGGTTTGCTAAATTGGAAAATCCTTGCTTGGTGCCAGCTGGAAACACTTTTCCGTCTGGGTCTCAGATTAGGAAAAAAAGAAAAGCATCTGAAGAATCTCTGAATCTTGAAGAGGAGACTCGGAGGAAGAGGTCCCAACAGGAAATTAATTTGGATACAGAATTTTCTCAACCACAGCCTGAACTGCAGGATGTTGGAACAGAAAGCACTAAGAATGAACTCGTGCTGGATACTTTTGGAAATGAAGATGTTCACTGCCTAAACAGCGTCAATCAGTTTTCTTTCAAAGAAGATGAAGTAGAAAAGAGAATTGTCGGCCAGAGTTCCAAGCATGACACTGTAACAGAGATTCCTAGTCATATGAAAGTATGTAAACTCTTCTAAATTCTTATGTTGTCTTGCTTTGGTGATGAATTAAGAGTACAAATGTATTTCCAGTGAGGCTTTGCATCCATGTTTCTTTCAATGACAACTAGAACAAGCCATATGTTTGTAAGGAAGCGATAGGAGGCAAAAATAACCTTTTTGTTTTAGTTTATGAAAATAGACAGCAGGATTGACACATATTTTTATGCAGATGTACAATTTGAACCAGGAGTTTCTGTCTCTTTTTCAACTGCTGCTTCTTATCCTAGAACTTCAGTAGAATATATTAAATCAACATTATTTTTAAAACTTTAAAACTTGCGTTAATAAATAGCTTAAGTTAGCATATCCTTAAGCTTTAATCCTGGTATCAAGAGTGATTCATTTTTCTTCTGTATTTTAGAACCATATATCAAAGCTTAAAGAATTGCTAGAGATGCAGTTTGATGTAAGTATTTTTCACTGAATTTGATATTGGAACAGATGGTCTGTATTCTTCGCAATCTCTATAGTTTTTTTTCCCCTTTCAGTGTTCCAATGGAACTGCACCTCCTGAGCTACAGATTCTGAATGAGTGTACTCCAGATCAGGTTAGTACGGTGAAAAATTATACTTTATTTGGAGATTCATAATTGGGTCTCCACATAAGAGCATTTGATCAGACTTCAGGTCTTTATTGAAACCAAACAGCTAACCTTGAATCCCGTTTGTATCTGATCCAAATGCAAGTGATATTGTGGCAATGGATTACTTGAGCAATACGGTGTCTCCTTTCCTTTCCTTTAGCTAGAAGATCTATGTTCACTGCTCAAACTCTCAGAATGCCCAGAGAATGAGCTTCTGCAGTTCTGCTGCTGGATAGTAGCACTTTCACCTGAACTTGGCTACAAGAAGGCAGCAATACTTGCTGAAAAGCTTTTCTTACCTCGGGTATGTATTGAGAATCTGAAACAGGTAAAGAAGAAAAGCCTTTGGTTAAAACATCAATCATTTATGGATTTTACATTCGTCTCTGGCATTTTCGTGGTAAAAGTATCCAGAACTCCTATATTGAGAAAGCTGTAAGAAAAGTAATTCCTTGAATGCTCATTATTTTGACCTTCTGCATAAACAGTGATTATATATTTTATTGTGTTATTTTTCATATATTTAGATCTCATCCTAAATCATACTGATAAAAATTATTTGAAAAAGTCTGAATAAAAACTAAAATAGGCATTACATGGGATAAGTAATAATGTTCCCATTGATATATATCAGGCGAGTATTATGTCCATCTGCTCATAATGTCTATCTTAGTAATACATCCTTTAGAGATCATGTGCTCTCTGCACACCTACTTCTTATTATAGGTATATATTGCATATTTATTTAAATTGTAAATATTCTTGGTTTTGAAGACATAAATTAATACATCCTTGGATAGATTAACAAGTAGGAAATGGGAAAGAGAGAGAGAGAGAGAGATCAGGAAAAGAATGCTGGAACATGCAAAGAATTTAAACTACAGAACTTGTGGAAATCTATTAGGATAAGAAAAAGTCAGGAAAAAGAGAAACTAAATGAGGACAATTTGTCTGGTAGATGAAGATATTATCCCTGTATGTTGCCATAGAATGATTCCCTCCCCGCCCCCATATTATATGTTGGAGGACTATTGCTTAATAACTAAATATACAAGTTTTCCAGTTTGTTCATAAGTGATAAACACTAAACTATAATTTGAAAAACATATACATAAATTAATTAGCGTCAGCTCTAAATCCATTTACAAGCTGCTGCCTTTATGCTGAAAGCAACAATCTTACTGGCATCTACATGTATGGCAACATTTATGTGCATGCCAATATCCCCTTCTCATTTTCCCACTTCAGGGGAATGCCTCCTTACGGATTACTTCACATATTGACTTCCACCAGCAAGCAAAAAAATCTGAAGAGTTTTTCCCTTTCTTTCAGCATCTCTTATTACATGGTGGCTTAGTTAGCATAATCATAAGCATATAGCACCAAACCCTAAACAAAATAGGTGGATTCTTCAACACTAACTAAATAGTAGTGTAGTGCAGTATGTAAACCTAGCCAGTGTTTACTATCCAGGCAATATTTATTTTCTCTCTGTCTTCTTGATCTGTAGGTTCTTTTGCTGATTGAGACAGCTTCCTGGCCTCTCACAACTGCCCTGATGATGTTCTGCTCCAAATATCCTCGCCCAGTCTGTTGCACTTTAATTTCTTCTATTGTGCAAGTTCCAGGGCAAGGTGAATTTATAATTCTTCTTAAAATAAGGTCTACTTGGTTTTGCCTGAGACTTAATTTATTGTGAGAAGTGAAGTATCCCTTCCAATAATAAACCCAGTGTTTGCATGCTGAAAGATTGGAATCAGAATAAAGTTTCACTTGGATAAGTTTTGCAACATTCAGAAATATAAAGAGGGAGATACTGGCCCAGTGAGGATGGCCTCCTGTATTGCATGGGGTGTAACCCAGAGGTGTCCAGTATTGGCAACTTTAAGACTTGTGGACTTCAACTTCCAGAACAACCAGCCTGGCTGGCTAGAGTAATCTGGGATTTGAAGTTCAGAAATTGCCAACGTTGGACGCTCCTGGTGTCAGCTGTAAAAAAAAAAATGTAGTAAGCAGGGAAATGGAAATGTCTTTCTTGAGACTATCTAAATTGAAATTTTCCTGAAGGACTTGAGGCTGCCAGAAAGTTCAAGTCAGGTACATCTCTAGTAGGATATTTTTAGAATCTGTAATCTGATTTTACGCTTTTGCTACAATGTGTGCAGGAAAGAGAAAACAAATGACAACCACAGAAATACCTATTATAGAAACTTCATAAGAAAGCTAATAGGATGAAAATTCATAATGAGCTAAATTGTGTGAAAAATAAGAGGGCAAACTTCAAAACAGGAATGATGAAAGACAAGTAAATAAAATGGGCTAATTAACAAATGAAATTATTACAAAGCAAATACCTTTCTCAAAACAAAACTATTATTAATTCTTCACCTACAGTTCTTATTTTGTCTGTTCCAAGGACTAGGTTTTCTCACCGATAACACCCTTACAGCAAAAACAAATTCTATTTATTTGCACAGAACGTATCATTTTGTCTTTTATTGTGGCTTCTCCATTACGACTCCTTGGTTATGTGCTTAATATAGGGAGCACAAACTGATCAGCTGGAATAGAGATGCACTGCAATATTTTTTGAATAAATTAAATCTTTTCTTTAAAAATCCTTTGTCCATAAGTTTGATCTAAATCAATTTTCAGTCTTGGGAACTTTTGCAATTGTTTAAAGCACTGGGCAAATTAAAATGGCAAAATATTTAATGTACTGTACTCCCTGTCATATCTTTTAGAATACTTTTAGGCAATTTTCAAATCAGATATTTATCTTGTAAAGTCATCCACCCATTATTGTGCCAATACAAGGATATTGTTACATCAATAATAGCTGGATTAATAATTGGCAAATGCTAATGACAACTAGTAGATCCTAGCCAGTCTTGCCTGATCTTGGAAACTGAGTGTGATTGGTCGTGACCGGAATGTAGATGGGAAATCAACTGGGAATTTCAGGGTTATTGGTAAATCTGGGAAATTGAAATAAATCCCAGATGAATGCAGTGGGAAACCATTTCCTGAATGTTAGTCTTTAGGAAACAAGCTTGACTCCAATTCCTCTCTCTGCATTTTTGAGATTCTTGAATGATATAAAGAGAATTTCTGAAATCTTGGTTTTTGCAGGCCTTGAACAATTGAGATTGGTATGCAAACTAATTGAGGAGTGTTTGGAACCAGAATGTGTGAGGCTGGTGTTCAGGTAAGTGGAAACACAAATGTAATACAGATAATCCTCGGTTTACGACTACACTTGGGACTAGAATTGCAGTTGTGACCAGACCTGATTTTATGAAAGAAATTATTGCAATCATTAAGTAAATCCTGCAATTGTAGTCTGAATCAGTTGTAATTATGAACCCATTATCCTGAATATGCAGGTTTTGCCAGAAATCAGCAAAAATGATGTAAATTATGATCACGTGACACTGAAATTATGCAACCAGTCGAAAATGTGAGCCAGTTGCCAAGGCAACATTTTACGATGGTTGTACAGATTGTAAAGCATCTGTTCTGAGGCTGTCATAACTCCGAATGGTCATTAAATGACTGGTTGTAAGTTGAGGGCTACCTCTATTGAGACCGTGTAATCAAAGACACACTGGCTATTGTCTGATGCTCCAGAATATTCAGTTGCTACTATCTGACATATGCAATTGCATTGAAAACTTTGTTACATTTTTATATGAATACAAATTGCAGACATATCTATGAACCATCCTCACTCTTCTTGACCTCTTGCCAGATTTCAGTACCATTGACCAGTATCTTTATGGGTTGGCTCCAGGAGTTGGGGGTTGGAGACACAGTTTGGTGCTGGTTCTCCTCTCCTCAGAGGCCAGTCCCAATTAGTGTTGATAAGGAATGAGAGGTCCAGCCTGCAGCCCCTGTGCTGTGGAATACTGCAAGACTTGGTGATTTCATTCCTTTTAGCATCTATATGAAGCCGCCGGGTGAGCTCATCCTCCACCATGGGCTGAGATATCATCAGCATACATCTCCCACCTGGGCGAACTATATGATGCTGTGGATGTTCTCTCTGGATGCCTGGAGGCTGTGGGGGTCTGGATGAGGAACAACAGGCTTCCACTGAGCCCTGATAAAACACAGTGGTTGTGGGGAGGAGCTTCTCTGTCTGGTCATTTTCCATCTTTGGTTTTAGATGGGGTTGAACTATGGAATCGGTGTGTAATCTGGGGTTCCTCCTCCTCCATGGCAGTTGTGCTAGGAGGGCTTTTGTTCAACTTTGGGTTATGTGCCAGTTGTGCCCCCTTCCTGTGCAAATATCCCATGGATGAAACTTCCCTTTTGTAGTTAAAGAAACATTTTTATTTTGAATTGATTGAAAATATTTTAATAATATAAAACTTATAATTCTAGTGCATCTTCTGTAGCCATTTTCATATGTGAACTTGAACTGGTATGGGTTAACAAACCATGGTTATAATTTATTATTTATTTATTTATTTATTTATTTATTTATTTATTTATTTATTTATTTATTTATTTATTTATTTAATTTATATCCCGCCCTTCTCCCCGAAGGGACTCAGGGCGGTGAACAGCCGAGAATTAAAATAACATGCAATATAAAAGTTAAAATAATTAAGAATAAATTAAATTAAATGGCCACCCCAATTTAAAACCCCTAGCAATACAATTAAAAACCCTTAAAACCTATTCAGGCCAGGCCGGCTTGCTGAAATAAAAACGTCTTCAGGGCCTTACGGAAAGTGCGGAGATCCGGAATCAACCATATTCCGGGAGGTAGCTCGTTCCAGAGGGCAGGTGCTCCCACAGAGAAGGCCCTCCCCCTGGGGGCCGCCAGCCGACATTGCTTGACCGACGGCACCCTGAGGAGGCCCTCTCTGTGAGAGCGTATTGGCCGGTGGGAGGTTATCGGTAGCAGCAGGCGGTCTCATAAATACCCTGGCCCTAAGCCATGGAGCGCTTTAAAGGTGAGAACCAACACCTTGAAGCGCACCTGGAAGACCACTGGGAGCCAGTGCAGCTCGCGCAGGAGAGGTGTTATATGGGAGCGCCATGTCGCTCCCGTAATCACCCACGTGGCCGCATTCTGGACCAGTTGGAGCCTCCGGGTGCTCCTCAAGGGGAGCCCCATGTAGAGAGCGTTAGCGTAGTCCAGGCGAGAAGTGACGAGAGCATGAGTGACTGTGCATAAGGAATCCCGACTCAGAAAGGGGCGCAACTGGCGTATCAGGCGAACCTGATAAAAAGCCCCCCTGGCCACGGCCGTCATATGCTCTTCTAAAGACAGCCGTGTGTCCAGGAGGACGCCCAAGTTGCGAGCCCCCTCTGTGGGGGTCAATGACTCGCCCCCAATAGCCAGTGATGGCGCCAGCTGGCTATATCGGGATGCCGGCATCCACAGCCACTCGGTCTTGGAAGGGTTGAGTCGAAGCCTGTTCCTCCCCATCCAGACCCGCACGGCCTCCAGACACTGGGACATCACTTCAAGGGCATCGTTGGGGTGGTTTGGGGTGGAGATCTACAGCTGAGTGTCATCAGCGTACAGATGGCATCGCACCCCAAATCCACGGATGATCTCACCCAGTGGCTTCACATAAATGTTGAACAGGAGTGGCGAGAGGACCGACCCTTGTGGCACCCCATAAACAAGGCGCCTCGAGGTCGACCTCTGCCCCCCTGCCAACACAGACTGCGACCGGTCGGAGAGATAGGAGGAGAACCACCGCAACACGGTGCCTCCCACCCCCAACCCCTCCAGGCGGTGCAGCATGATACCATGGTCGATGGTATCAAAAGCCGCTGAGAGATCTAATAGGACCAGAACAGAGGAGCAACCCCTGTCCCGAGCCCTCCAGAGATCATCAACCAACGCGACCAATGCCGTTTCCGTGTTGTACCCAGGCCTGAAGCCGGACTGGCACGGGTCTAGATAGACAGTTTCATCCAGGTACTGCGGGAGCTGTTGCGCAACCACACTCTCAACAACCTTCGCAATAAAGCGAAGGTTGGAGACAGGACGGTAGTTAGACATAACAGCCGGATCCAGAGAAGGCTTCTTAAGGAGGGGCCTCACCACCATCTGATTAGTCCAGATTAGTTTCCTGATTTATGTAAATTGAGGAGCACCTACATAATGCTGAAGGATATTACACCATCTTCTACCAATCTAGCTAATATTGTTAAGAATCATTTTTAATAATTAACATAGTCCTAAATCTTGGTGACTGGCAGAACATCCATCTTTTATTATGTCTTTCATTGTTTTGATTTCCCCCATCTCTTTGCAGTCATATTATAAAAGTGCCATGGACAGAAGAGCTTCTCACAGTTGTGCATTCTTTGCTAGAAAGACAGGTGATTGTATGCATTTAAATCTTCTTAAATTTAAGTAATTAAATGAATTGTACTATGGAGTAGCTAAAGATTAGATCTCTCAAATCTAGTAGGTTGTAGTTCTCTAACAAATACTAAATGCAACAAGTCCAACATGTAAATATACTGTATACAGTAATGCAAAGCAGTCACTTGATAGTGAGATGGGCGGCATATAGAATTTAGGCTTATATACCACCCTGTAGCGCTTTATAGCACTCTCTGGACAATTTACAGTGTAGAAGCATTATTTGTATATTGTCCCCAACAATCTGGGTCCTCATTTTACTGACCTTGGAAGGATGGAAGGCTGAGTCATCCTTGAGCCTCATTAGGATCAAACCTCAGGCTGTGGCAAAGTTTGCCTGCAATACTGCACTTTAATCACTGAATCACCAGGAGTTTTATATAAATTTAATAAATAAATAAATACAGATCTGAATTAGTTTAGCATCCAAGACACCTTCCCTGGGTCAAAAATGTACTGGCCTGGTGGAGAATTCGACTGTATAGGTTGGTCTCATATTCCCCAAGCAACTGGAACTTACTTTAGGGTACTTAATACCTGTTTTACCCCTCAATTTTTATCGCCTTCTCTTTTCAGGTAGAATTGTCTAATGAGCTCTTCAATGTGTTGGTCCTTAATCTTTGTCAGATGGCTCAAACGTTTGAAAGTTCAGTACATTATGCAAAACTGATTCTGACCCTGTTGACCAAATATCAAAATGATGTGAGTAATTACCCCAAAATATGGATCACCCTAACTGTTGCATATTCTGGTATCATTAATGAATCTCTTTTTTAGTAACTTATATATAAGCGTATGAAGTAATGCACTTGTTTCATTTACTATTTAACATTAATTTTGATCTCTCTTGAAAAATTCCTCAGTAGTGCGGAATTGCAATTCCTCTTGAACTGTGATTTTTTAATGGGGGAAAAGTCTACCGGCTACTCCTACGGTTCAGGAACTGGAATGCAGGAAAATGGCAGAGTTATTCAACAAAGATAAAGCAGGATTTATGATCTATATACTATTATGAATTAGCTTGCATTTTGTTTCCCTTTTCTAGATCACACTGGGCCACCAGCACCATTTATCATGTGCCCTGGACCTTAACAAAACCATCTTAAAGAAATCTCTCCAGGCTGCATTAAAGAGAGTGACTTCCAGGTGAAAAAATGTAAGGAGCCTTTCGTTCTCCTGCAGTGGCTATGGAATCAAATATGCCTTAAGACTTTGGGACAACTCTGGTTTTTTGTTTTTTTTATCAATTTGCTCAGTGCAACTCATACTTAAGTTAAAATTTAAGTATGCTCAAGATTCAAAATAGTATGTGCATTGCCTTGGATTGGTATGAGTTTCCTTGAGGTAAGATATGCAGCGTAATATATATTTTATAAATAAATAAATAAATAAAATTTCATGTGCATGTTATTTTTTTTTTTTCATTTTTAAATGAAACTAATGAGAACATATAGGCAGTGAATACCTCAGGTTGTCATTCCATTGGTGTGGCTAGTGATCTGTCTGCCTCATGGTTGATTCTAAGAAAACACCTTGAATTGCCTCCAGGAGAAGCCAGTAGTGTTGAAAGAGTAAGAAAGGCCTAGGTATCATCTGGTGCATAAAAGGGAAAGCTGAGGAACACAAGAATTTCAAACTGTCTGCTACTGAGTTCTTTTTATTCACTAAACCTGTGATGGCGAATCTATGGCACGTGTGCCACAGGTGGCACGCGGAGCCATATCAGTGGGCACGCGAGTGTTGCCCTAGCTCAGCACCGGCCAGCTGATTTTTGGGCCTTCGGGGCCTACCAGAAGTCAGGAAACAGGCTATTTCTGGCATCTAGAGGGCCTCCAAGGGGGTGGGGAAGGCCATTTTCGCCCTCCCCAGGCTCCTAGAAAGGCTCTGGAGCCTGGGGAGGTGAAAAATGGGCCTTCCAGTCTCACTGGAAGTTGGCAAATGGGCTGTTTCCAGCCTCCAGGGGGATGGGGAAGGCTGTTTTTGCCCAGGCTCCAAGAAAGCGTCTGGAAATGGGCCTACTGGGCCCACCATGCCATTGCATGCCAAAAGCGGGGGGAGCGCAGGGGTGTCACGTGCACATGCTTGGGGACAGGGCGCACTGAATTATGGGTGTGGGCACGCATGGGTGCTCCCCCCTGTGCTTCCCCCGCTTTTGGCACACGACGGCAAAAAAGGTTAGGCATCACTGCACTAAACATTCTCTTTATTCGTATGAATGTTTCACTTCCATTATATACCACTCTGAAATTTAACAACCAATCTTAAATTCCATATTCACATAAAACGTCTATGACTCAGGCTTATTCAGTGGTGGGTTGCCCCTGGTTTGGACTGGTTCGCAAGAACTGGTAGTAAAACTGGCGGGAGGCTCCACCCACCACCACGGATGTCGTCATAGGCAATCTGCGCATGCGCAGAAGGATTGCATGCGATCCCGTTGCGAACTGGTAGTAAAGGTAAGTAGAACCCACTCCTGGACCTATTAATATACTTTCAACAGACATACAGTAAACTAATTAGTAAACTAATTTTCTCATATTCAGCTTTCCTTACAACTTTGAATATGGCAATGGACTAGGATTAAGACAGAGGCAACTGGCCTGAAAATACAAATGAAATATATTTTGGAATAGTGAACCTTATGGTATTTAAAATGTGGCTTGTCATGTTTCTCAATGCACATTCATCTTACATGTTAACAATACAAAAGACCCTTTGTTCCTCTCGTGAGATTAGGTGCCTTATTTCTTGTGAGAATTGAATTCCTCTTCCCTTTCCCGATGACTAAAAAAAGCCAAGATGAAGACATTTCCCCCTTTCCCTTGCTACTTCCCCTTCAATGTGGCAGCATTTGCTCAACTAGGCTTCCTCTCTGAGCTGCAGCAGAGGAACAGATCAGGTCTTATAGGAAGTAGGTCGGGGTGGGATTCTATCAGTTCGGACTGGTTCGGGTGAACCGGTAACTCCGACAATCAGCTGGAAGCGAAGCGGTTCGCTCTGACGATCAGGTGGGCCCGCCCGCCCGTTCCTGCGCTTTACTGACCTATAGGTAAGTGTTTGTAAAATCGAACTGGTTGTTAAACCGGCAGGATCCCACCACTGAAGTAGGTTAATCTAATAGGAGTTTAGACTTGGGCCAAGTGTGGCTTTACCGTTACAGTTTTGGGAAATGGAATTCTTCTGTAGAGTGATTGGAGAATTGAGCCATTGTAGGCTCAATAAAAAAGACATGAAGCATGTCTTATTTTTTTCACCCACACCAGGTCCTGAAGTTTATTGTCATTTCCCTTAACCTGCTCCTTCAGCTATATCATACTACAACTGATATGGCTCAAGTCCATGTTTCATGGGATGGCTCAAGTCCAGCTTCATGGGATGGGGTGTGCCCCGTCTCTTGTCTCTAGATCCTACCCACATAGCAGTTTGAAAGCATTGTTTGTGAATAGATAAGATAGGTACCACCATTTCGGGGGTGAGAAAATGCCGGCTGTGTTCTTCATGGGGAGTTGGATCTGCCTGGATGCAATCAGTGGAGGAGTGGTAGAGGAAAGCCCTAGATGCGCCAACTTCCTCTGACAATGCTGCAGGTCAGCTGGTGTGAAGTAGTTTGCCCTCTTGTGATGCACTGGTGCAACAAACAGACTAGTGACTGTCCTGCCAAGACTTCTACCATTGTAGCGTCCCTGGTCTTGTATGCCATATTCTGAATGAATGAATGAATGATACTGCAATTTAGAGATGTGTCTTTGGGGATTGGGGGTGGTTGACAGTGTGTTGTGCCGGTTCTCAAGCCCTTGGTCTCTGCTTTGTACAGTACAGTAGGACTTGGTACTTTCTCATCTGTGTCACATCTACAGGAAGATGCTGTGTGACCATTAACTGATAGTTTGGGGTAATGCATTATCAGTATGCAGATGATGCATAGCTTTATATCTCCGTCCTGGGTTGTCTAATGCTTTGGAGGTCCTGTCTCAGAGTCTGGAGGCTGTGGATGTCTAGCTAGGAACAACGGAGTTCAACTGTTCCCTAGTAGGATTAAGCGACTCTGGATTTTAGAGCTCCCAGAGGTTCTGATGATCTTCTCTCTAGCTCTGGGTGGGGTCTACTTGAGAGTCCTGATCTTGTGACTCCTACTTGAAGAGCAAGTGGGAGCCATCGCCATCAAAGGTCTTTGCATAGCTAGGGGTTGTGCGCCAATTGTGTATGTTCCTAGAATGGGAGGTGGTGGTCTGGTCACCTCTCAATTTTACAATAGCAATGCGGTCTATATGGGGATGCACTTGAAGAGTATTTGGAGCTTCAACTGGCGTAGAATGTAGGCCATGAGTAATTACAGGGACTTATCATTGCTACTGTACATGGGACACCTCTACTCTGCCAGCTGCATAGGTTGCCAGTATGCTTCAGGATTCACTTTAAGGTACTAGAGACTAGAACTACAAATCAATTTGAAAAATTACGACCACAAAAGATAAACTTTTTTTTGGCACTGTCAGGTTTGCCATCATTTTGATAAAACTCTATTATTCATTTGTTAATAACTAAATTGTCATCAGATTTGCAGTATTCTAAATTGTTTGTTCAGACATTCCCATTAAAAATGAATATAGAGAGTCATTTCCTTACCCAGAGTTATGAAACACATGGGACAGGTGTGGTGATGCAATGCAGATTTCAGTGAATATTTTAAGAAGCCATATTAGACATGGTTATTAAATATGCTACATAATTAATATATTTGTGTTGCTGTTGCTGTTCAATATGTGAATTCTGTTCTCTTCCTCTCTATCTCTGATCCAAATTGGCTCCGCAACCTAAATTCTCAGTTTTCTGTAGTAATGGATCAACAGCACTGTGATAAGAACAGAACAGTTGATATATAAGCTTTGAAGAAACTAAAGCAACAGGCTAGAAACTGATGAGAACAGAACACTTGATATATAGTGTTTGAAGAAATTTAGGGGGGAAAAAATAAGACAACAGGCTAGAAACCAAGCTAGTCCCACTTTAGGCACAAAGCCAGCAATGGCAAACCATTTCTGAAAACATTGCTAACAAAACTGCAGGAAGTTGTCCAGGCAGTCACTAGGAGACACACTGACTCAAAAGCACCAAAAAAGTGGGAAAAAAGCCTAGGTGAAAACACTGGGATTTGTATACATTGCTTGAAAATGATGAAGATGTTTAGAGAATATTTGAATATGCCAGTAATTATTGCAGTAAAATAACCTTGCAAAAGAGCAAGTCCTATTGAACACAGTGAGACTTAATTTCAAAAAAACATGCCCTGTAACATCCTGTAACATTCTTTACATGTTCATTCAGATGTATTACTAGTTAAGACTGTGTCTACAATTGATAACATCTATTTTGTAATGAATATATTAATAAGTGTGTGCGCCTTTCCATCTGTTACTTAAGAACAACGTAGCTTTCTATGAATATCAGTAAGTATGAAAACCTGCGCTACAGGGGCGAGTTCTACTTACCTTTACTATTGGTTCGCAATGGGAGCGCAAGCATGCGCTTGTTTCACTTGCGCGCTTCTGTGCATGCGCAGAACCTTTTGCACATGCGCAGATCGTCAATTAGGACGTTCAGGCAGGTGGGTGGACCCTTCCACCACTTTTACTACCAGTTCTAAAGAACCGGACAGAACCGGGAGCAACCCACCACTGCCAGAATTAACAGAATTGGAAGGGCCTTTGGAGGTCTTCTAGTGACTAGTCCAACCCCCTGCTCAAGTAGGAAACTCTATTCCATTTCAGACAAATGGTTCAACCTCTTCTTAAAAACCTCCAATGTTGGAGCACCCATGACTTTTGGAAGCAAGTTGTTCCACTGTCATGTTGAATTAATAACTTGATATGGTCTGGGGGAGCAGCTTTAAGCTCTTTTATATTTCCAGTCCAGCATGGGTATTTCTGCTACCTTATCTGATTATACTGTGTAATTTATATATACATCATTGTTACCTATAGAAAAGAATATATTGCTTTTCCGGTCTTAACCTTTTTGAACAGGTCTCTCAAATTTTGGGTCCTACTTTGAACAAAGTTGCAAATTGTCCTTCGTGATTAGAGAAGGGTGGTCGAAAAGGATAAGGTCAACTTTATTATACCGTGTTTTCCCAAAAATATGACCTATTCCAAAAGTAAGTCCTAGCTTGATTTTACATGTGCGCCCAATATAAGCCCTACCCCCCAAAAAGCCCTAATTAAGACCCCGCCCACTACAGGGTGACGGGTAAAAATTAAGCTAGGCTGGATATGGGGAGGGTGGAGCTGCCCTACTACTTACCTTCAGACAGTTGCAGCCAGGCCTCACACACCTCGGCCCATTTCTTCTGCAGCCGGCAAGGCTTTCCTGAAGGCCTCTGTAGCCAATAATAGAGCTTTGGATCGATCCAGAGCTCTGTTATCAGCTTCAGAGGCCTTCAGGAAAGCCTTGCTGGCCTTGCCGGCTGAAGAAATTCTTGAAGGCCTCTGACAGCAAAAACGAGGCGGGAGGCAATGCGCACAAGTGAGATGAATCAGTAGACAACATCTCCCCTGAAAATAAGACCTGGTGCCTTTTTTTGGTGGCAAAAAAATAAAAAATCTTATTTTCGGGGAAACATGTATCATTTTTGAAATGAAAATAAAAATATTCACATCTAGCAAAATTCTTTTGCGGCTTTGTATGCTGAGGAGTCCTATGTTGAGGGGAGTATGTACTTAGACAAGTACAGGTAGTCCTTGGGTTATAACCACTTGCTCAGCAACCATTCAAATTGACAATGGTGCTGAATGAGGGGTACTTAGAACCAGTCCTCAGAGTTTTGGGTGTTGCAGCATCACTCTAGGGTCACGATCGAGGGGCTTGGTATCTGGCTCGCAATTCCAATGTTGCAGTGAGCCGCGGTCATGTGATTTCTGACATTCTGTGTAGGCTTCCAACAAGCAAAGTCCATAGGGAATTCAGCAGGAAGTCAGACATTGCTTGTGCTCCTGCTACTTTTTCGCCTGCCTATGCTCTGTTGTGCCTACCTACACTTTCTACCTGTGCTCTGTAGCAGGGGTCTCCAACCTTGGCAACTTTAAGCCTGGCAGACTTCAACTCCCAGAATTCCCCAGCCAGCTTTGCTTCTGGGAGTTGAAGTCCTCCAGGCTTAAAGTTGCCAAGGTTGGAGACCCCTGCTCCTTAGGATCTATGATAATCCCTAGCAGTACCCACTATCTGCCCGTATATTTTAGAGCCGGCCTGTAGCTGTTGTGCCCATTTGCCCATGCTCTGTAGTGCCTGCCTATATGGCAGCACCTGCACACCTGTCTGCCTAGTATGCAATGGTGAATTGCTGCTGGTTAGGATCGGTTCTGGCGAACCAGTAATTCCGACCAGGGCTGGCCCCACCTACCCACCCTGGCGCTATCACGTCCTATATAATTGGTGGTTTTTCGATGCCGCGTGCGCAGTCACATTTGCAAACCACTTGTTACAACCGGCAGCAGCCCACCCCTGCTTGTATGGCATCAGCCTGTGGCATCCCACCACGGTACCCAAAGCTGCTTGCCTGGGATGAAGGATGAAGAGCCTTCCCTACCAGCTCCCTTATCCCTGCATCCTTTTTCAAATAGTTTTTGCATACCTAAATACATTTCTGGTATCAGAACTCAGCTGAGGAGACAAGTACATAAATTAAAAAAGGTTTTCACTTCTTACTTATATACCTCATTTGATCCCTCCTATTTAGCCCAAGCTCACGTTCTATCTCCATAGATGCTGTAATTAAAGGGACACCATTTCAGAAAAAAAAAAAAACCACTTTTCTTGAAACATATACAGATTTAATTATGCAGTAAAGTGTTACATAAAATAGCCCATGTCCCTTTCCAAGCATAAATTTTGCTCATATGAGGAAGAATGCTTGCATAAACATGAATAATTTTAACAGCAATTTAAATATATATTGTGTGTTAAATTTTACATTTGTGAATATATTAAAGCATGCATAGAATGGATGAAATTTGAAGCTTTTTAAAGAAAGGACCAAAAGAAGTCTATGTGATTTATTCACAGTGTAGTTTATCTGTACACACTCTAGTTCATTCCAGATGTCTATTTTTGTTTGTTTGGTGTTTCTTTTGATTTTTATACTATTTTAAGGCCTAAGCTAGTTTTTGTCTCTCTTACCTCAAAATAGTGATAAAACAAACCATTAATTCTGTTCAGTAGTATAGGCACAAAGAAGAGTCTCATATGAAGAATTGGGACTAAGTTGTCCATATCTAAGTAGTTGCAAGGCTGTGTATCTTCACAGAGCAGCAAAGTGGTGCAGATATTTCAGATAATGGAACTTACAGGATTTAAAATATCAGCTCTTAAAATTATAAATTAGTCAATAAATTAGCTGAGGAATTAAAGAAGTATCCTAGGAGAGATCATAATTCTAAAACCAATGAAATTCTCGCCATTGGAATCCAGATGTGCAGAGTGAGAACGAAGTTTATTTTATTTTTGGACCCCAAAGGTGAAATATGATTAAAAGGAGATGCTTGCATATTCCACAGAATCTGAAGGAGAAACTGTACCAATGGACTCACTGGAATGCTTGTCGATATTTGATCTTAATGGAAATGTTCTGTTGACATCTTTGCTTGATCCGGGCATCTTCACTATGGAATATATTGTGTTCTGTTCTTCATGCAAACTTTGGGCAGTGTTGCTTTCATGAATCTGAACACTCACAAGAAAAGAAAAACACCCTTTTAAAATTAATCTCTTAACTAACCACATTCCATTTTCAATACTGTACAAGGAAATATGTATAGGCATTTGTATTTATGTTATGGACTTGTAATTTAATGTGTGCATATGTTTTGGTGTAGCCAAACTAACATGTTTTTAAAAATAAGTTACTTGAAGTGCTGTCAAGTCCTAAGTCTTGCTGGGCCATGACAGAAATCAAAGTGCCTTCCTCTTCCCATTATTGTATAAAATTACATTCCTTAATTAAGAATAAGAGCAATTGAAGGCAAGTATACCTGTCCCAGGATAATGTTGCAGGATCTAATCTGGGTCGGTCACTGGGCCCAGAGGTTTTGTATTCTGAGCTTTCAAACTCATGCTGGAGCCCATCTTAAGGGAACTTCTCTCTAGCACAATGAGCTGTTCTGTGTGTGGTATTTATAGTACCGGTTGTATGTGGCTTTTAAGATATTGATTGGGGTGTGTTGATGGCAGACTTTTAAGTCGCTAGCTGTCTTTTGCTTGAGCTGCCCAGCCCTTGCCTTCTAAGTACTTGATAGGCTGGTGGTAAATCAGCATTCCTGTGACTCACGAGAGGCCTGTTTCCCAGGCTTCGATCACATCCCTGGCTGTTTTTGTGCCTGCTCTTCCAACAATCTTACTAGCTGTGAAGCTATTGCAGCTTTTGCAGCTAGTAAGATTGTTGGAGAAGCAGCCACAAAAACAGCCAGAGAAGTCCCAGTGACCGATCCAATTGGATCCTGCATTATTTTTTCTGTTCTAAACTTATTCATTATGTTGCTGTAAATTTAAGTAAACAAAACACAATGATGCTACTTTCATTTTTTTCGGTGAAAATAAGTTGAGTGAGAATGTGTATGTTATTAAGGAATTCACAGAAAAGACAATTTACCAGCATTCCAACAGCAATGAATTAACTATGTTTCTTATAATCTATATTAAATGCTGAGTAATGAGACATAGGATTGCATGATACTATTTTTCAGTAACTTTGAGGACAACTGTTAGAAAAGTTTAATACCTAGTTTGAAGTTTAATTCTACACAATGAAAATTGTTCAGATTTCAGTAATTATTTGGACATAATTAATGAATTTGTTTTTTTTCTTGAAAGAATTACTGCTTTAATCCAAACCCAAACCCCAGAATCTTTACACAATTGTTTACAAATATATGAGCTGAGTAGGATGGTAGCAAAGAAAATAATTGTAAAAACTGTGGTACTTGAATAATGAATTTTCTGCAAGGAAGAAACTGTTCAGAATCAAACATTTTCCTCACTTGTTGAAGGGGGTATCTTACCTGTAAGGATATTACTTTACAGTTTGGGTTATCACCATAATTCACGTCATCTTCCACTATTAAGAAGAGAGTCTCATTTTAGTATATACTGTAAGTGTTCCTGCCTTTGGGCCAATTTACATGCTAATGTTTTAGCTGAGCTTCTAAACACCATGTGTACAACTAAAATTAAAATGGGAAATGGATCTATTTTATGGATACATCTGACCGACTGGATATACATTAATGAGCACACTTGGTCCTGCTTGTGTTTGTAGTTTGATGAAGGTGACACACTCAAATGTTTGATTCAAACTTGCATTTCATCTTTTTTCTGCACTCTGGATTTCAAGTTTGAAAGTCATCTTGGGGACTGTGAGAAATATAAAATGAAATTCTAACCTCCTGACTTTGATGCTTGCAATAAATTGATATTCGGCATTAATAAAGATGTTAATAGACCATATTTATATTTTGCAGGATAATTGAATATTAGTATCCACTTCTGCAACAAGTCATACTGATGGAGATGGTGCCATATGTTTTACATCCATATGAATTCCTGGATGCATATCCCCATCGGGTTTATACATGACGATCTGAATCTAGGAAGAAAATCAGCCTATGAAAGAAGTATGGGATTCTCCCTATATCTGTGTTATAGTATATTCTATAGCAGTGATGATGAATCTTTCGGCATTGAGTGCCAAAAAGGGAGTATGCGTGTGTGTCTGGGCCGCAACCCAGAAGAGGAGTTGCCCAGGGCGCATGTGTGCAGCCAAAAATGAACTTCCGGTTTCTGGTGCGCACATGCGCACCAGACAGCTACTCTTCCAGGTTTCTGTTGTGCATGCTCATGCGATGATCAGCTGGCAGGTGTGCATGCTCGCGCAGGAAAACAGAAGACCAGCTCTTCCAGTTTCCGGCACTGCCACACACAAAAAGACCAGCTGATCATCGTGCACGCATGCGCGCCAGAAACCCAGAAGAGGAACAGGCGATGCCATGTGTGCCAGGCGACATGGCTCCACGTGCCCCTTCAAGCACACATGCCATAGGTTCACCATCATGGTTCTATAGTATTGTTGCATACTGCAGAAAATGGATTAAAGATGGGCATTATTAACTGAAAAAAAGCTGATTCTCACCTACATTGCTAAGTGTAGGATATGTGAAAACATTAATGAAAAGGGACAAAAGGAAGACATGTTTTTGCTTTTCTTTAGATATATATCTAAAGAATATATATCTACATATCCCATTAGAGATATGAAACTTGTAGCCTCTTTCAGATGTTGCTACAATACCCAGCAGATCAATCTCTAGCCTAACCAATGGTGTGGGATGTGGATGTTGTAGTTCAGTAACATGTGGAAGAGGCTACAATTTCATCTTCTTTGCTGACACATATGCATCTGGCCCAAGCTGAAAAGCTGTTACAGTTTTTCTGCACTCCATCTCACCTGAAGCCAGGAAGCATCCAGCACAAAAGAAACATACTATGGCAAGATTCCTGCTGGAAAAATTCACAGCGCTCAGAGATAAATAGCACTTTTCCAAGGTCAAATCCTTTCCATGTTTTCATTGTTGGAGCAGTTCGTATTTGCATTAAGTCAGGGGTCAGCAACCTTTGGCCCTGGAGCCGCATGTGGCTCTTTCATCCCTCTACTGCGGCTCCCTATCACCAGTCAGCTCCACAATTGATAGGGCTTTCAGATAAGGTAGGTAGAGGAAAAAGGACGCCGCGCTAGAAGGAGACTCAATGGTGTGGGGGGGAACCGGACTTCTGGTTGGCTCCAGTATTGAATGGGCTTCCGGTTAGGGCCTTTGTGGCTCTTTGAATGTTTAAGGTTGCCGACCTCTGCATTAAGTGAATCCAAAACAATATGACTTTAGATATTCTTCCCTCTTTATGTTGTGAGAGATATACCTTGTACATACTCTGCAGGTCATAGATCTTGGCAACAAATTCTGTAGTTTTCTTTTCTTCTAATAGTATATGAGACAATATAATTCAGGGGTGGAATTCTACCGGTTCAGGCCGGTTTGGGAGAACCTGTAGCTCGGACAATCAGGTTGGCCCACCTGCTTGCCCCTGTGCTTTACTTACCTTTATCTTCTCAGCAGATTGGCACGGCAGAGCGGATTGCCGCGCCTAAACTATGTTATTCCAAGTGGTAACACAGAAAAACTGCCTGAAGCATGCCATCACCAAACCGGTTGTTAAACAGCATCCCACCACTGATATAATGTCTACTGATGCTAATGTATTGATGGATACAGCTAGTCCTCAACTTACAACAGTTCATTTAGTGACCATTCAAAGTTACAATGGCATTGAAAAAAGGGACTTATGACCATTTTTCACACTTACAACCATTGCCGCATCCCCATGAACACATGATCAAAATTCAGATGCTTGGCAACGGATTCATATATATATGTAAATATATGACGATTACAATATCCTGGGGTCCTGTGATAAGCTTTTGCAACCTTCTGACAAGCAAAGTGAATGGGGAAGCCCGATTCACTTAACAACTATGTTACTAACTTAACAACTGCAGTGATTCACTTAACAACTGTGGCAAGAAAGGTCATAAAATGGGGCATAATTCACTTAACAAATGTTACACATAGTCGTAACTTGAGGACTACCTATACTCGGTACTTAAAAAAAAAAGTACCTATTGCATTCAGCTATTGTGTAAGGATACTTTTACCTAAAGGATATGCTATATTAGAAACTAGCATACTGTAGTGCAAAGAAAAATATACCAGACTCTAGGATTGCCTTTATTTTCAAAATAGTCTGGAATTAATTAATGTGAAAGTCTTCCAGAAGGTCTATTTTTTCATATCTATAAAATAGAATAATTGTAACTGATAGGTTATGGCAAGGGATAGGAGGCCTTAAATCTACCCATCTCTTAGTCTTAGCTATATTGCATGCTTACTCGGTGGTGAAATTCAATTTTTTTTACTACCAGTTCTGTGGGTGTGGCTTGGTGGGTGTGGTGTGGCTTGGTGGGCGTGGCAGGGGAACTGCAAAATCTCCATTTCCACCCCACTCCAAGAGAAGGATATTGCAAAATCTCCATTCCCACCCCACTCTTTGACAAGCCAGAGGTGGTATTTGCTGATTCTCTGAACTACTCAAAATTTCTGCTACTGGTTCTCCAGAACCTGCTGGATTTCACCCCTGTGTTTACTTCTTTTTAACAGATGGAATAATATAGAACTCAATTAATACACAAAAACATCTCTTGGACAGAAGCCCCAGTTCTAGCTATTCCAGCCTCACAAAGGCTTTTTCTATGTTCACAAGTGACAATACAGTTTAAACAGTGTTAAAATGAGTATGAAAGCTCAAAGTCTGTCCAGATAATTTCATCTTGGAATGCAGTTCTCATACTTTCTTAATATCATATGCTGTATTTGCATATGCATAAGCTACATTCATATTCATTAGTATTCTGATGATATGCTATAAAACATGCACGAAAATCTGAGCTGTAGGAAGACAAAAGAAGCGCTAAACATACCTCTCTTCTTTCTCTTGATGAACACAATGACAACTAATGCGAAGGCAGCAAAAATTGTTAGAGCAACAGCAATGGAAACCAGAATCCAGACAACCTGGTAAACTCTGCAATAATCACAGTTGCATTAATTAAAACAAGTTAATGGTCAATTTGGCAGGTTACCTTTGTACGTGAAGCACAAAGTTATATTTTACATGGCTTTCAGAGGGAAACAGAAAAATGGAAACAGCTTGAACTTGGTAGCACACTACTGGAGTGAAAGAAAAAGACCCCCTACAGACACCTATGCTAAATACTCTGTCATGAATCTGAAAACTTCCAAGTCATAGAAAATAAGCCTGGGAATGCTCTAAAACAGGGGTGTCAAACTTAAGGCCTGCGGGCCGAATCCGGCCTGCGGGTGCTTAGATTTGGCCCACGGGGCCACCCTGAAAATAGTGAAGGACTGGCCCACAGTGCCTCTGCCAGCGAAAACAGGCTCCCAATCTCTGTTTTTGGCTGGGATGGCCTCCTGCAACCCTCTGCCAGTGAAAACAGAACTTGGGAGGGTTGCACGCTCCATTTTCGCTGGCAGAGGGTTGCAGGAGGCCGTCTCAGCCAAAAACGGAGAGACCTTGGAAGCTATATTTGGCCGGAAGCTTCAATGCTGCCACCTCCTCATGTGTGGGAAAGTAGGAGGGGGGACTTAGGAGAGGGGAATCAGTAGACATAACAGCGTTCATCCCATCGGTCAGGGCGGTCCAGCATCTGGAGGAGGAGTGGTCAGGGGCTGGGCCGAGGTGAAACCGACGGTGATTGGAGCATGTGACCGATTGGGGAGAAAGGGGTTGGGTTTGGGAGCTTTGTATTATTGAAGGAAAGCCCGGGCTTTTCGGTTTCAGGATTTCCCAGATGTGCCAGTTTACCTATTGCTAGTAAAGAGAACTTTGGAAAATGCCTGCTTCCGCATCTTTACTGGGAGTTGTGGGTTTTCTGGAACGCTGACATTGAGATTGGGAGCCCGTTTTCGCTGGCAGAGCACTCGGGCCACCACAGGCGCCCCTGACATGAGTAACATCAAGATGACCACGCCCACTTCCCGAGGTCAAACACAACTCTGATGCAGCCCTCAATGAAATCGAGTTTTACCTTCCTGCTCTAAAATATAACAATCTATTAATGGAAGAGGCAAAATCTACAACTGTATCTTTGCTTTGATAATTAGTTAAAACTAACTGCAGTGTCTCAAAGAGTGAATAAGTAGATAGATTCCACAGCAACCACAGTTTCTTGATGAATCTTTTCAAATTGCAATTTAAATGGTCGATACCTTCGTTCATCTTCACTGGTTGCAGTCCCGGTATCTTCCCTTTCCTGTTCTGAAAATAAAATCATAACAAAAAAGAAACTGAGGTATTGACATTATCATTGCTGTTCTTCATAGATAAGTTTTAGGTTTACCTTTAAAAAAAAAAAAGTACATTGTACAACATCTATTTCTTTTTCTAAAACTCCTCCTTTCTTGCCCATCAAGGTCTTAACATGAGCACAAACAGTCGTAGACTAAAATAGACAATGTACAAGTTGTTGTATCTTGATCTCAGATGCTTCTTGGTATGTGAAGGCACTGCCCCACCCCCCGTCCCAATGATCTGTTAGCGCTCACCTGTTTGAACAGTCACCCTGATGTTTCCTAAAGGGATTATATTGGGGCCATCAAGAACCCCAAACCAATATATCCCTGAATCTTCTGATTGAAGAGCTGACATGAAGACATAAATACATCCGTTTCCCAAATCATTTAGAATGACACGTTGATTTGGTTGTGTAGTGAGTCTTTTCCATCCTGATCCGGAGAAACTTATGGGCTCTGCAAGATTGCATTCTTTCGTCAGTTCCTCTTTGCACCAAACTTTCTCTGTTTGCGCATATTGCTGGGAACAAAAAGCCTTGACACTAAGAGATTCTCCTTGTATCTTGATCATCTGTCGTGTCTTCATTCCTGATACAGTGGAAGTAAATGGCATCCTAGATGTTGGAGGTGAGACAGGTATGCCAGGCAAGAAATGACCTAGGAAATGAGCAGTTTAAAAAAAGGTTAAGTTTGGTCTGTCATATCTAGTGGTCTTATGCCTTACTTGTTACAGCAATGAGTATGCAAAACATTCAACACAGTAAGGAGAATGAAGCAATGGAATAATTAAAGAAATTGTGACTTTTGTGAGGTTCATATGGTCCTTTAGGAATTGTCTCTACATGTATGTGCAGGAATAGCTGTTTTTGAGAATACTTAGGATTTTCAATTCAATAGCACCTCATTAATCGATCTTGGCTGGTTCAGTAAATCATTCAATGTCTTCAGAAAAAAACAGTAAATGCTATTAAAAAGGAACATTTGGTTAGGTTTGACATCAGGGCATTCAAGTGGTTAAAAAAAAAGTCAAGATGACCCTGCAGTAAACTATGCCCCCCCTCTTTAAATGTGTACTGCACACATGGCACAGGTATAACAAAGATAAGGCTTCAATTGTACAGGGTTTTTTTCCAATAGCTTTTCTCTTATAGATGCACCCATTCAGAATATTAAATTGATGATGAAAATGGTATGGGATATAATGCAGGTTATATTTGTGTACTGTAACAAAAAAATTGCATTCTGACAAAAATGGATAATAGGATACAATAACACAGCTGCCACAACACATGTTCCTTCTGGAGGAAGGTGATGGAGGGAGTGGTAGGGACAGAGACAGTTTTCCTGAACTATGGATATATTTTAAAGTACGCCTATTTACCTGAGGCTCAAGGTGAACCAAAGTATTATCAAATACAAGATTGTCCATCACAAATCTCAATACATGACAAACTCCACTCATATGGCTTCTCAGTCTCTGCACACCAGAGGAAATATGGTACCAGCATTAATGTCAGATGCCTATATTCCGAAAGTCCTTTTATCTGAGAAATGGTTAAACCCCTCCCCCACTTATCCATCAATGCTCACCGTGCTCATCATGATGAACTACCACTTTGATTGACTTTACGGAACCCATCTTCATGCCGCTTTGAATTCCAAACCAATAACTCCCTGAATCTTCAATTTGGAGATTCTTCATGAGTAAAAAAATGCAACCATTCACTACACCTTCAAGCATGATCTTTTGGTTTGCTTCAGGAGTCAGATATTGCCATCCTAGTTCTGTGAGATTTCTTGGATTTTGGAATCGGCATTCATTGGGTTGTTTTTCTTTGCACCAAACGAGGTTTCCTTGCAAATATTCATAGGCACAGAAAGCTCTTATTCTGAGGGAGGTTCCTTGAGTTAGTACGATCTCTTTTGGACTCTTTCCTAGGTTTTGCAAACTTGCAGTAGAAGGACTTGGGAACAAATAAGACGTACAGGATGCAAAAAGACCTGGAACAAAAGCAGTATTGATAAAGTTGACAGATCAAATAGTCTAACTCAGGGGTCTGCAAACTTAAACACTCAAAGAGCCATTTGGATCCGTTTCCCACAGAAAAGAAAACACTAGGAACCACAAAACCCTTCCCGTGCCTGACTATTTCTTGAGCGGCCACAAAACTAGCGTATGTAGTTGAATTAAACATTCTGTTTTCTTCTGAAACTTTTATTTTCTTGGATTTATCTATGGTTGGCCGACCGGGGGTTGAAAAGCTCAATAAATCACGTGCTGGTGGGTGTTGCACATTGGTGGTTGTGACACAAATTTTAAGTGACAGGGAGCTGCAGCAGAGGAGTGAAAGAGCCACATGCGGCTCCAGAGCTGCAGGTTGCTGACTCCTGGTCTAACTCAACCCTTGGCAACACAGGTTCTCCATGGGAGGCATAAAACTTTCTCAGCTTCAACAGGATTGAATGAATGTATATTTGGAATTCTCTGGGACTGGCCGGCCACTCACAGAAAGATGCCCTAAAGGAGGAAGAATATACATCCAATCTATATCTCTTTTGTATATGCTTTGTAGGTGATGGAACTTACCTGTCACTCTTTTTGAGATGGCCTGAAACCTTTTGCTATATATGAATTCAGCTCAATTGTGGTGTTAAAGTAAGCAATGTAGCATCAGATTGCTGAACCCCAAATGGTTTTTCTCAAAAGACTATCTCAAAAAGCCTCGGCAAAACACAATGTGTTTTTAATGCATTACAAATCTTAATTCTGAATCTATTTGTAACCTATATGTATGCAAAACCAATCTGTCTTTCCCTCCCTCCCTGCATTTCATCCCAATTTAAATCCCACATCAGTGGGATTTACACTACATCAGTGTAGTCAGTAAATTTTATGTCTCTGTTGAACAGTGGCCCTTTAATAAAATGTGTCAGTTTGGAAAGATCTACCAGACTCATCCTGATTTCTGACTACTGTCTAGTCATTACTGGCCGTGTATTAATAGCACTCTGGTGGCCTTTTTGACAAAAGAATGCCTATCTTTAAGAAAAGAGTATTTGTTGAAAGCACTAAGTCTTTTACCTGGCCTGAAAGTACATCTAGCTAAACAGATTTTGACCTCTTAGAAAAGTGGCACAAAAAGTATGACATCCCTTTTGTGACCTCAAGATCCCTGCAGTTGATGGGGCTAAAAAATGTCCCCACTTTGTATTTTTGATTGAGTTTAAAAGGAGAAGTGCGTATCTTAAGCCTATAGATGCTAAAGGTACCTATCTCATCACTTAAAACTTCTGAAATCCCCTCCCCACATCATTTTCATCAGCTCTTCACATGCTGTATGAACTCGGGAGTAGCCCCTAAAGTCAATAGAAGTTGCTCATCTATCTTTAACATCTCAGTATAAATTCCTAATCTTATTAGTGAAGTGTAAGAGCAAACTCCATGCACTGTACATGTATTAAATACCATGTTTTCCCAAAAATAAGACCCTGTCTTATATTTTTTTGAACCCTGAAATAAGCACTTGGCCTTATTGCCATGCGCTCAAAAGCCCGATTGGGCTTATTATCAGGGGATATCTTATTTTGGGGGAAACAGGGTATTAATGAAGCCTGAGTATGTATGTATGTATGTATGTATGTATGTATGTATGTATGTATGTATGTATGGATAGATAGATAGATAGATAGATAGATAGATAGATAGGTAGGTAGGTGGGTAGATAGGTAGATAGAATTGGATATTTTCCCATTCTTTCTGGAAAAAATAGGAGCAAAACATAACATTTGTTTGTATCAAGAATAGAATAGAATAATAGAGTTGAAAGCGACCTTGGAGGTCTTCTAGTCCAACCCCCTGCTTAGGCAGGAAACCCTACACCACTTCAGACAAATGGTTATCCAACATCTTCTTAAAAACTTCCAGCGTTGGAACATTCACAACTTCTGCAGGCAAGTTGTTCCACTGATTAATTGTTCTAACTGTCAGGAAATCAATTACCAATTATTAGAAAATGGATAAGCAAAGCCTCACAATATAATTGAACTTCTATATTGATCAAGAAAAGAAAGTATTCAGTATCATACCTGTGAGCATCAACAGTAGTTGCAGGCCTGGGAAACCTTCCATCTTGTAACTGATCTTGAGCAGAGAAGGCTGTGGGTAAATGTGCCCTTGCAGGAAGGAAACAAATTCCCTTCGTCATTGTCACTGTTGGTCTGGAACTGTGTGTACATGCTTTACAATGTCAATAATTTTTATGTTGGTAAGTTGTCTGACGTGGATTGCACCCAGCTGCATCTGAACATGTGTGCGTCCAGATTCACACATGTGTGATTTTTGAATAGTGGAGTAGTGGTGGAAATGTTCGTTACTTTAAGATACTTTTTTAACAAACAAATCTGCATGCAAATAATAGTGACTGCCTCTGAGTAGCTCATTCATTCATTCATTCATTCATTCATTCATTCATTCATTCATTCATTCCTGGTGGTGCAGTGGACTAAACTATTGTTAAAGTAGTATTTAGCTGCCAGCTGCCTGCAATTACTGCAAGTTCAATTCTCACTAGGCTCAAGGTTGACTCAGCCTTCCATCCTTCTGAGGGATGTAAAATGAGGACCCGGTTTGTGGGGGCAATAAGCTGACTTTGTATAAAATAGAACACTGGTTAGGGGGCCCAAAAAGCCCTACTAAGTAGTATGAAGTATGAAGGCTATTGCTTAAAAGTATTGTAAGCCGCACTGAGTCTCCGGAGAAGGGCGGCATATAAATCAAACTAATAAATAATAAATTCATTCATTCATTCATTCATTCATTCATTCATTCATTCATTCATTCTATATGACTACTCATCTCATATATGACTCTGAATTGCTAAAAAGAATAAAAATATTATAAAAATATAAATAGCAAATAGAAGAGCCAGGATGAAACCAACCAGCAAGGTTGACAAGCTCAATTACACAACCTGAAGCCCAGGCTTGGCAACAAAGCCAAGTTTTTCAGGCCTCACAGAAAGTAAGATTGGGGCAAGTCTAAACACTGGTGAAATTATATTCCAGAGGGCAGATTCTACAACAGGAAAAACTCTCAAGAACCTGCCAGGTGCACTTCCCAGTAGACAGGACCTCGGGCATGCCCCCCCCCATGAATCTCACAGGATAGGTAGATACAACTAGGGACAGATGCAAGTAATTTGGCCCCATCTCATGTTGGTGGCTATGTTCCAGAAAATAGTAAGGTTAGGATTTGTTTTTATATTTAATTAAATATAGAGGTAATATAATTCTTCTACAGTTGTGTATTAAATAATTTTCTGCCTCTTTCATATTCAAAATTATAGTTTGGTAATCAGTTTCAGATATCTATGCATGTGCATCCAGGGGCTTTGGAGGCTATTGAATGCTCTTCTGGGACTTCCAATTCTACATCTTTATATTAGAGAAAGATGCTTTTGCTATTTGCCTCCTTAGGCATCAAATTCATGATGTAATTTGTCTTATTACTCATTCCATGTTGCCCATACTTCCGCACTCATAGATATTACAGGGAGGGCTTCATAAAGGTTTGTGAGGTGTGAATGTGTGTTTTTTGTAGGATTTGCTATTTTTTATCACTTCACTCATTTACGAAATTAGCTTATAAAGAACATATTGTGGTTATTACTGATATCCAAAAGTTTATGTGAAAGATAGTGGATGTACATGAACATATATGATGTGGGTGAGATGACCGTTAGCCAGGCAACAAAATTACATTTTTTGGCTAATATAAGGCGAGATCTCAATTCAGCCCTAGCATTCATAACAGTCTTTAACATACATCATCCAGATGGTTTTTCCTTCTGCTATTTTGATGTATGAGGAGAAAAAGGGCTCAGCACTTGATTCTTACCTTATCAGAGGAAATGAAGTTTGTTTTGTTCCTGTGCTGCCAATGAATAAACTAAGCAAAAATGATACTTCGGGCAAGCAGGGGAAGCATAAACCACAACCAAGAGAAGAAAAAGGGTTGTCCTATTTTTATAAGCAAGCCTATTGTGCAACTAGGAAACAGGCCTTGGACGCTGGAAATGAGATTGGACTTCCACATGCTCAGGCAGAAGTTTCAGTTAATTATATCCCACCCACCCCCCTACCCCGCAGTAATTTTTGAGCAGGCAGTTCAGTGGAAGGGGTTCATGCCACACAGTCACAAAAACCTTTCCTAGCTACCAGGGACATTTTGTTCTAGGTTGAGTTATAACTCTAACGAATCACTACCCAGAATTGGCATTTGGTGGACTTGTTGTTAAGGCATGGACTGATAGAGTGAGTCTTCTATATCGATCATCACCCTTCACAGGTTTTCATGGCAGAGCCATTTCTAGCTGCTGATTATTGGGGGTCAGCATGATGGACATTGTAGTCCAATACGTTAGCTTTGGGATGTAAACTTTCAAAGATAACAGTGAATGTCGCCCATATTTTCCTAGGAATATACGCCTCACTGAATATAATAGCACCTACTTTTGAATAAAGAATTAGGACTGCAAGGTAAATGGGGGTGAAGATACGGAGTGTCAGAAGAATAATTTGGGGTTCCAACTCGAGGCGGGATTGCACAAGAATAAATAAAAATGAGATCTAGAAAGCTGTAAGGAGAAGAAGAAGAAGAAATATTTATTCCTAAAAGCAAAGAGTTTGCTTTTAGGGGCAGCTGCAGAGAAATGGGATACAGTAGCAGACATTAATAGGGGGAGCTTGTCCGGGGTGTGGAAGTGTCTACCTGCTGATTCTAGAGCCGTGATGGCAAACCTATGGCACAGGTGCCACAGGTGGCACATGGAGCCATATCGGTGGGTACGCGAGCATTGCCCTAGATCAGCTGCAGTGCGCATGTGCGCGCCAGCCAGCTGATTTTCAGGCCTTCTGGGCCCACTGGAAATTGGGAAACAGTCTGTTTCTGGCCTTTGGAGGGCCTCCAGGGGTGGGGTTAGGGAAGGCCCGTTTTTCACTCTCCCCAGGCTCCAGAGGCTTTCTAGGGGGTGGGGTGCATTGCATTATGGGTGTGGGCATGCACATGTGTGACTCCCCTACGCTCCCCCCGCTTTTGGCACGCAATGGCAAAAAGGTTAGCCATCACTGTTCTAGGGTGACGCTTGAGGTGTGTGTCTGTGTCTGTGTTTGTGTGTGTGTGTGTGTGTGTGTATGTATTCTTGTGAAGACTTAATTTAATTAACTCTATTGTGTTTGCATACGTTATCCTTTGATATGTAGATTGGGTAACTTATTTGGGAATTTGAGGAAGTTTGGGTAAAGGATTTCCCCCCATTTGCTTTTTTTACTTGATTAATTTAGTTTCAGCTTGACAATTGTCAATTAACTAGTGAAGGCGCTGATTTTCAGACCATTGTGGATTCTGTTAATGTTTTAAGGGAAGATGGAAACAATATAAAGAACAAAATATATTTGGATATAAAACTTCTCACAAGAGCTAATATACGAATCTGAAGCTGTCATGTAATCATCTTGCAAACGACAGTTACTGAGATTTGAGATGCATAATCTTTTAGTGAAATCTCAGAATTTCTGCTTTATGCTAGAACTGGTTGAGGGGTGGGATTTTACCAGTTTGGAACGGTTCGGGTGAACCGGTAACTCCGACAATCAGCTGGGAGCGAACCAGTTTTCTCCGATGATCAGCTGTGCCCGCTTGCCTGCCCCTGTGCTTTACTTACCTTTATCTTTGCAGCTGATTAGCTCGGCAGAGCGGATTGCTGTGCTTCAGTTGTTTTAATTCCCTAGCACTAACGTGGAAGGTGATTTTGTTGAACTGCACACACACGCAAAGCATTTGATCACCAAATCGGTTATTAAACCGGAAGGATCCCACTACTAAACTGGTTGGAATAAAAGACGGAGATTTCTCTTCTTCTTTTGTGGATCTGCTGTCCATCTGATGGCATACCTGGAGGTTTGTTTTCAGATCATTGAAGGAAGGAAGGTGGCAGACAGCATGAGCAAGAAAAGGAACCCAGACTGCTTATTCTGTCCATTTAAATTGCAAGCATCCTGACACAAAGCATGAATTTAAAGCATTTGGATGAGATAAATGCGATGAAAAAAGACGAGGAGATATAGATATTTTCTAATGGTTGCCTGGTGTTCTTTTCTAGGACTATCACCTCTATTTGTGGTAAAATTACTAAGATTTTAAAAGCTCCAGTTACAGGAGCTAATAATTAAAGGTGTGGGAGTAATACGTTAGGAAGAGAAAGACATTTCAATGCACAAGACAGGGTTTATCCTCATGTCTTGTTAAGTGCAGCAAGATTCCCCACCAAACAACTTCAAATATTTCACAATAATGTTTTCCCCCTTCCACCAACATAAATCTTGCCGTACAGCCTATGATGTTTCATTGATAATGTGGTGATAACTGATAATGTGATGAAGGAGCTTCATTTTGGCTTCCTCAGACTGTTAAAGACATGTCTGTTCCTCTCCAGTAGCTGGACATTTTCCACCATGGTCAGTTTAGCTTAGACTCTAAGGAGACAGCCAGATTTCTGACTTCTGCTGAATGGCTGTTTGCATAATGCCTGACTGATCTTTTGGAAAGCACTGATGGGCTCTCTATATGCATAGTTTCCCGCTTTTTAAATAAGAACACTTAAAAAAAATCCAAGCAAGGGAGCCTGATTTTATCTTCTCTGTGTTGCTGTTCCTATCACAAATGAACACATTATAGCATCACTGCTGCTTCTGCTTTCTTTTTCTGCTGAGAAAATCAACTTCACTTTATTCTGTTTGATTACTGGGACATGGGAGGGGAGAAGAAGTGCCATTTTTCTTACTTCTATGCTACTACCTACTTCACAGGCTCTTTGGCTGCTTACTGCCTGTACTGCCATTATTCGGAGCACTTTATGATTAGGGATATTTGTGTGAGATTGTGAAGAGACTGAGAAAGTACTGGATGGGGTAATAGATATAAACAGTCAAGAAATAGCAAGCGTGTTGGCAGCTTAATTTAAAATGCTAACTCAGGTCAGATGACAAGAAACTTGGGAAGAAGCATTTCAAATCAGAGATTCCCCCTTAAATGAATTTCCTATAAATGAAGGTTGGAAATTCCTCTTGCAGTTTCCAAGATTCCATATTTACCACAAGAGTAGCACGAAGGATAGCTTGCTCAAAATCTGCACGATGTCTGGAGGGGGTACTCTCTCAAAAAGTGAACTTGGTAGTTCCAATAGGCAGACTAACTTTGATCTTATTGTCATGGCTGCCATCTTGATTTCCACCACCAAATTCTGCAGAGACTCCTAAAAATCTGGGTTGCTCTTGCTTGCTTTGTTTTATGGGGCCTGACAATATGGAGTTGAGATGAAACTGACAAGAGTTCTCTCTGGCTTTTTTTCAGCCTGAGTAACAGGTCACAAACATAGTCGAGGGACATGAACCAAAGTGGGAGAAAATTGCTTGATGATCCACACAATTCTTTATGCACTAGTGACTCATCAAACTATTAAATGTGTGTCTATGGAACAGCACAGTTGAACAATTGCATGCCTGATAGATGGGCAATACCTTCCCACTTTAGTCTGCATTCACTCACCTTGTGTTCAGTCTGTTAACCAAGCTGCCTTTTTGGATAGAAATTTAGCATTTTTCCAGAAGAGTGGTGGAGCTACATTCAGAAATAGCCTGAAAAAGCCAAAATGCACGGAACACATCCATGCTGGCAATCTCTTTCTCAGGTACCTTGAAAGGGGGCTAAGCACACTCCATCCCAGGCCCCTTCTACTCTGATCTAATCCTATTACCATACCGCCAGGTTAAGGTTAGCAATTGGTGGTTGCCCCTTCCCCCAGCAGAATATGATTGGCAGGGAGAGACATTAATCTGGTCACTTTTCTTGACCAGCCTCCCTACTGAGGCCGATTAGATCTTGGACAGTGGAACAGCACAACACATACTTTTCTTCTGAGTATTATAGGAAGAATTATAGAAAGAATGCATATTAAGATGGCCATGAGGAGCAACTAATAATATATGTCTGAATAGTTGCAAAAATATTTAGAATATATTTGCAAAATAATAGAAAGGCTTTGACATTAAAATGGCAAATCAGATTTTTAAACCAAGAAATTGCAGTGCTTGCCTTCTCAATTCACATGGTAACCTGTGTGGTCTATTTGATTATTTTGTTGAATCCAATTATTGTAATTTACAACCCTGTCTTCATGTGTAAACTTAGTTTCAAAATAAACCTTGTCTGCGTTACAACCTGAGAATACAAATCTCTGCCATGCCACAATCTGTAAACTTCCTCTGTAAGGAAATTGCATCATGATCACAAAAAGAGTGCTAGGACAAGGCTGGAATAATATCATACTGTCAAATTTACGATCGTCTGAAGATTTCCCCCCCCCGCCCCACATTTAAACAGTCATCTTGGTAGGAGATCCCTTAGACTTTTTTAAATTGATTATGTGCCATGAAGTCATGTTTTGTTCCTAGCAACCACATAGATAGTTCTTCTCTATGACAATCTCTCCTTAACCTGATCTTTCAGGTCTTCCAATGATGTACTCATCACAACTGCTACTGAGTCCATTCACCTTCCTGCCCTCCTCCTCCTCCTCCTCCTCCTCTTCCTCCTCCTCCTCCTCTTCTTCTTCTCCTTCTCCTTCTCCATCTCCTTCTCCTTCCACCTTTCCTAGCATCAGAGCCTTCTCCAGAAAGATGGGTCTTTGCAGAACGTTCCAATAGACATTAGATCTGCTTATATTACTTTATATATTTAATCTTCCATTTGAATGTCTCAATTTGTTTTAAGTTAGTTTGCTTACATTTATATTAAATAATTATGTAGTATCAGGTGTGTGATTAATTGCATTGTCTGTGAGTGATAAATACTTTTGTAAATATTTTCTTTTTATCTTTTAATTTTTTTTTGGTAAACTATAAAAATAATTAGACATTTCCTCCATACTGATGTTACCAAGTGTAGTTTGCTATCTGTGTTCCCAACAGAGACACAGGAAGTATGCTGAGGTGTTAGACTATTGTACCTCAAAGGAAAAATAAAGGGACAAGGGCTCACATGCACATTGCTCTTGAAAGAAGCATTTTCTGTCCTGATAGCCACATCTTTGTGGCTTCCTGTAACATTATAGGAGCCTGGCATGCAATGGACATCTTTGTCAACAAAATGATTTTGTGTCCTCCTCCAAATTCTCTCTCACTCTCTCCCCTCCCTCCCCTCCCTCTCTCTCTCTCTCACACACACACACACAGACAGACATACAAGAATTTACTTTGGGAAATATTTTTTTTTAAAGAAAAGAAAAGCAGTGCTATTTTGATTCTTTGTCTGCCCAAGCAATGACTTTTTGTTACTGAAGCAAATATAATTCTTGTGACACTCTGTAAGAAACATATTCTTAATTTAATTATTACTTACATTTTTATGGATTATAGGCTGCTTCTGGGTTGGAGACAATTTGGTCTATATACCCAGAAAAGAATGATTCAAAGATCAGAATGGAAATTCCCTTTTTATTCTTTTGTGCTGAGTTCTTGGTGATATGTACATTTTGCTGCAACCTCTTATTTTTCTATGCCATCCTCTGTTATGATAGTAAGAGTGGAGAGAAAGAGAAAAGCTATATTTATTCTTACATGTGCAGTTTGCTCACCAAGATATGGTGTAATTAACAGTATAACTGCAAGGAGCATTCATTTCAGATTCTCAGTGCCTTGTTGGACAAATTTGGCTGTGCATACGGAACTCCAAGCCCCTGATTTGGACTCTTTCTCATCTTGTCTTTGGACTTCACCCATGGATACTGATCTATGAATTCTTATTTGTTCTTCTCCTATCAAATTCACTCATGCTGGTTCTTTCCTGTTACGTTGGAAACAGGAACAGGCAGAAGAGTAATAAAATGAAATGAGGCGGAGAGGCACATAAAGCCAATGGCCGTAGCTATTATAGGAGTTATTCTTTTAAAAACAGCAAAAATATGTTAGTATACTGACACTGCTTTTAAAACAATAGTTTTCATTTTTACCACTGAGATTTAGAAAAAAGACTGAAAAAAGAAATCACAATCTATTGTAAAAATTCAGAATCCAAAAGCAACGCCGGCCAATGAGTCATTGGAAGAACTCGTGAGCTGCAGTTGGCTGCATGATTTCAAAGGCCTGACTCATTGCTTCAGTGTCTGCATTAAAAACGGCACAGAGGTTTTGTTTAGAATGGCAAGAGCTTCTGAAACAGTAAGTTCTCAGGATCTGTTCAGTTCTTCTTGCTTCTGGTAATAATTAAGATGACAATAGGAGCCAACAAGTTCTCTGTTTCTGAGAACTTCTGAGGTACCTAGGAGAAATGGTAAATTTGAGTTGGATTTGGCATAAAAGCACAAACAAAGCGAAGCCCTCACTCAAGGAGGCACAGTACAGGCAGTCATTTGCAAAACAATGCATAACTGTGAGATCTTTTATTCTTTCCAGGCTGATCACTTTTTCAGAATAACTGAAAATGGGCTCTAGAATTCTGGGATGTTACTGGAAATGTGAAAATTGTTTAACTCTACAGGTTAAAATTGTTTAACTCTTCTTGGCAGTGGAACTCAAGAAACCTTTCTTTTGCAAGTGTCAACATGCCTATTTTGGCTCTTCTCTCATAATTTTCAGCCTTGCATACAAAATGAATATATTGCGATGTGGAAAAATATACAGCTTTCTGCACTCTTTTACTTTTCTACATAAGGTATCTTGAAGAACAAACCTCTCTGCTACAGCCAGCTTTCAGTTTCTCGTATTCAGAATACTACTTCACATTGCATGGATGTAGTAGATGATAGAACTCATAGCGCAAGATGGCTTTAATGGCTATTAGACAAATTTAGCAGAAGATAAGGGTATCGGTGACTGATGAGTGCTATGCATTGTCTAGATCAGAGATAGATAACAGTAGGAGAATGATATTGGTTTCCTGTATTGTCTGTGGGATTTTTAAAAGACTCTGGTTGGCTATTAGACTAGATAAGGTTTGGTTTAATTTTGTAGGACTCTTTTTATCCTTATGCTGTCACCTGTGGTCATTGGGAGGTGAAAATGCTGGTCTTCTCCTCTGCTCTCATTCCCAGTAGTTCTCTTCTTGCATCTGGCAATCATTAGGATAATAATAGCAACCACTAGTTTGAAACCAAGAAAGCCAGCTACCAGGAAGGCGAGATTGATTCCAGCAGTTGAAGGAGAGCTTTGAAAAAACACAAATACACATAGAAATGAATTAGGCAATGTAGAATGAAAATGTTTATTTAAAAAGGGGACTTTGGATATTGTTTGGTGAAGACTATGGCTCAGTCATAGAGCACTTGCTTTCCAAGAAGAAATCCTAGGTTCAATTTCTACATTATCCAGATAATACTTGGAAATGGAAGTCCCAGCAAATCCTTGCTGATCAAAAAAAGATAACCTGAAGTATCAGATGATACTGAACTCAGAATATTGTTTACTACCTTTAAGCAGTGCTTTCTAGGAAACCTGATAGTAGCAGTTATTGGTGTGAGTGCGTGGACTATCTGGGTTTGGGACTTTGCATTCCCAACTGGTTTTTGTCACCTTTGCCATCTTCACTCTTCGTTTTTGTCTATATTGCATCTTTTTCTTGTTTTTAACATTTTTATTTGTAATTGCCCAGAGTATTTTGAAATTGGGCTTGCTCTCTCTCTCTCTCTCTCTCTCTCTCTCTCTCTCTCTCTCTCTCTCTGTGTATATATATATATATATATATATATATATATATAGATAGATAGATAGATAGATAGATAGATAGATAGATAGATATTATTAATATGAATAATAGTTCGCCAACATTTTCTTTTCTTTCTCTGGAATTTCTGGTTCCACATTAATTGGACATGCAGGAATTGTCAATATGGGTTGGGTTGTGAATGTGCAGGAGAGCCTGGTTTTCAATTTAGCCATTACACGCCCCATACAGTAAGAGAACTCCACAAATCTAAATTGTGGAGTATAATGTTTGTCCCATTTGACCAAACAGTTCTGGTTTATATTTGGAGTTATGAAGCTCACTGATTTTTCAAACCCACTACCTGGTTGATTGGGGATTGTTGCTCTATCAAAGGGGAAATTGCTTATGAATTCCCTTAATGATAACTTCTCTGCAGGATATCTGTGGGCTGCTAGGGTGTCAAAAAAGTTAAGAGGGCAGCTGTGACCATACTATTGAAGCCTCATCTCTTATTGCATGTAAAAACAGGGCAACTCTGATCATATACCAGTAGTCTGAACGGCTACCTTATCTTTTTGGATCCTTCTGCAGATGTTCCTATCCTGTCCTATATATTTCAGACTATGCATGCAGTTAATGCTAAGAATACTCAAAGTTAGGGAATGTACTTTAGAGATGTGCATTTCTATATTTATTTTACATTTGTCTTCAATCTGGCTGGGGAATTGTGGGAGTTGAAGTCCATACATCTTAAAGTTGCCAAGGCTGAGAAACACTAGTTTAGAGTAATGAGACGCTTTCTTTTTCCTTGATTGTGATGTGTAACAAAAGTTCACCCCATCAATTTTTCTTAGTTTAATGTTATTTCTGGCTGAAATTTTTAAAAAAGAGCAGAAAATTATAATTGGGCTCCTCCCGGTCAAATATGGTCTCAGGGTTAAAAAAAAATGTGATGGCAGCCTCTGTGCAATCAAAGCCACACTTTGGGTGTGTGTTGTGTGCACAACTTAAATAAAAAGGGGCTTTGACTGAATGGTCATGGCTGCTACTTGACATTTCTTACTTTCTTTCTTGGTGAAAGTCTTGTGATAATTTCCAACAATGTGGAGCAGTGGGGGCAAAAAACCCGCCAAATTGCCCCATGCTGCATATATACCACAATATTTTCAAAAGGTTTTTTTCTTACAGACAGGGCTTCACAGCAGGGACCAATTGCCACTGGAGAAAAAATAGCTTCCAAACAACAACAACAACAAGAACAAGAACAAGAACAACAACAACAACAACAGCCCTGAAGCAAAAGGCACCATCCTTCAAATTTGAAAACCTATACAAAGCAAGAACCTCACTTTCTGTGTCACTCTGATCCACTGTAATGTAAATCAGAGCACTGTGAAATTCTTCCTGATATTTAATTAAATCCCTTCTTCCTCTAATCCAAGCCTATTAACGTTGAATTGCACACTCTGGTGCAGAATGGGAAAAAAAAGTACATATAATCTTACCCAGAGATGCTGTGAAGGATTCTGAGTGTCTCTTGTACATTAGAATTCTCTAAACCTGGTGGCAAAAATGCAGCAATACATAATTAAGTCAATAAGAATAAATATAATAAACATATCATTGAGCAAGATTAAAGTTAAACTGAAAGGGAAGAGGTGCTGAAGAAGAAATTCCCCAGGCCTCCCACCTCCATTGTCTTGGGTATTGGGCATCCCCTTGGCCTCTACTTCTCCATCGTGAAATATACACAAAGACTCACAAACTCCCACTCCATTCTTCTCTTTGCAGCTCTAGATTTTTCTTTCTCTTTTCATTCCTGTCTTTGCATAACATAGGGTGGGGAACTATGGCCCTTTTATGACTTGTGGACTTCAACTCCCAGAATTCCTGAGCCAGCCATACTGGTTCAGGAATTCTGGGAGTTGAAGTCCAAAAGTCAAAAGTTTTCAAGAGGCAACTGGACTTTCTGGTTTTTCTTTGAAGACATTTCACTTCTCATCCAAGAAGCTTCTTCAGATCTTACATGAGAAACGAAATGTCTTCAAAGAAAAACCAAAAAGCCCAGTTGCCTCTTGTAAAAGCACCTTTGGGATAACCATGACCTGGATGACTGAGTATCTCCACAGACATAAAGGGGCCAAAGTTCCCACCTCTGGCAAACAGATTAAATCTTAATTGAAATCAGATTTTATAACCGCAAATCTGATTATTTTGAAGATAGCACAGAACAGGTATAGGACTAAAGACTTACTTGTCAGAACATTCACCTTGACCTTCTGCAGGGTCTCCACAGTCCCCAAGAAACGTGTCATACACTGATACCAACCAGCATCCTGTTTCTGGAGTGGGTTGATGGTTACCATGAGCAACCCTTCCTGGATATTGTCAGCAATGGCAGTGGTGCCATTTCTTCGTTTGAGGAAGGGCAACCAAAAACGTCGGGCACTGACAACATGCTGGCATGTTTCCTCACTTATGTGCTTACACCAACTTTTCTCTCTCCATTGGTTCTTCTGAGGAATATAGGAACAATTGATGGAAATAGGTTCCCCTTCAACACCGGAAACCTCTGTAATTATCTCAGCTGTAGACACTTCTTGAAAAGAAAGATAGAGAGAAAGAAAGATCTATTTTTGCACAGAGGGGCAATTAGTCTGCAAGGCTTGAATCCATCATTCACAGTCTCATATAGATCCATACATCTAGAACAATAATGTATTCTAGTTTCCCCCCGTCAACAATTACTACACTGAAATTCTTTCTGATCTCCCTTTTACTATTCCCCCCTCCTTTCCCCCTCTTTTTGAATATTCTTCTTTCTCCCAACAATATTCTATGCATCCAACCAAGTCATCTGTGGTTCATGAAATCTGATGGCAAAATAAATTTTCATTTTAAAATTAATGTGTAGAAAAAAAGCATTGAAAGTGATTCCTTTCATTCTGCCCTCACATGATTCACATCTTAATCATTTTTCCATAGCTTTATCACTTATATTCAAAATTATAAAAAAATATTAAGTCTGCCCAGCTGGAGGAACTTGTTAATCACTTAGCAGAATTCTTACTGAATTGAGATATATTATAATTTAAAAAAAACAAAAACTGTTTAAGAAATGTCATGAGCAGAATGCCCTTCCAGTTGTTATTGGACTCATTCATACAATCCATTGAACAATAACATATAGCCAATTAATCACATCAGCAACCAATACAGAAAAGCAATTTCCTACCTGACAAGTAGACCAGGAAGATGAGATACAAAAGCTTTTTCATGTTTCTCTGGAAAATCAAGAAGTGCTAATTAAAACAGAAAAGAGAGACTTGTACCAGACAAATACTTTGCTTTACTAGACACAAGGGTTGAAGAAGAGGAACTTATGTTGCTCCCTGTTGTAGATTAAGCAATGCCTCACCCAAAAAAAATCTGGCATTTGCTAAAAATGTGAACATCAGCAGTGATGAGGGACTGCTATATCATGGAAAGAAATCATGATGATCATCAGGGGTGTCTT